CAAGGCTGGACTGAAGCCGCCGCAGTAGCGGTCTGCCCGTTGGATTTGTCCGTCGCCAGACCCGCGTTGCGGGCGCGTAGCCGCGGTTTATCGTCATTTCGACCCGGTGACGTGTCTCGGTTTCACCGTTCAGTGTGCGACGGACGTCTCGACCGATTCCGTTGTTGCCAATCATCTAACAGACCAACACATTCGACGAGTTAAAAAAATAGAACAACGTAGGGCATTTAAAGCCGCGTATACGCCTGCCGAACCGTTCGCGAGAGTCCATCTACCGGCGGGTTTTTCGACACGAACCAAGCCGAACTGGGACGGGCTCGCGATAGGTTCGGCTTGAGCTACTTACTACGGTTAAGCTACTTAAAAATCATTTAAGTGTTAAATAATTTTACAACATAAAGCTCTGTATCTAAGTAACATTTTTTCGATAAATATGCGAAAATAAAACAAAACTTTTATACAACGGGTTGGGACAATAATTGTCTTGACGATTTCATTGAAGGAGCAACTTTAAAAGTGCTAATACAACGCCAAGATGTTTGTATAATTTAAATGTGTTCGAAAAGGCTTACTAGGTATTTATATAAAACGTTACGTAATATTGTTTACGCCCAAACGTCCGGTCCAAAGCAAAACAATACACACATAATACAATAATTTTAATCTACTTACAGTTGTGTATGCGTGGGAGTTTATATTTTTTTGCTGTCCAATGTCCAAATCTTGTGCCGTATGTGACGTCCGCTTCGACTGCGGTTTGACTGATTACTTCAACAAAGTCCTAAACAACGCCAGCAATACAAGCGGCGGCCAACCTTTGCCAACCGTACATGACGCATGCGTTTATCGCACTATGCAAAAATCAATACTCCCCGACTCCCGAGGGTCAAATACAGTAGTAACACGGTAAAGGGTACCTTTCGTCGGGCTAAGGGGAGATTAAGCCCACTGCTGTTCACAAACTACACATAGGCGCGCGCTGGCACAACACATTTTTTTTATTATTATACAACTTCCAGGGTACATATATATTTTTCTACTGCGTTCTTTCTATTTGATATATATATATATATACTTACCTTCTTAAAACATACGTATGACGGTAGATTTAATGTGCCCCTATAAAATTATAGGTACCAAAAGTCTGTAACCGAAATGTTTTTCATCGAAAACAACCAAAACCCAACACATAGGCACGCAGACAATACATTTATCTTCTTCTTTATTGTCTTTTACGGGCCATACAGGTCCAAGCCAGTTCCTCTCCGTTGTTCACTCCCAACCTCAATTCATCTTTTGTGATCCTGTCTTTCCAACGCTGTCTGGGCCGCCCTCTCGGCCTTCTTGTGTCCGGTTTCCAACTTGTGGCCAACCCATCCCAGCCTCCAATTATGTTTGTTTTGTCATATATTCTCTCTCTATATTCACTGAATCGTATGCCACAAACTTGAAGTCCACAAACTGGACATATTTGTCAAACTCGTGACTTTTTTCAATTATCTGTTTGACGACATGAATTTGGTCCAGTATTGATTTACCAGCCATAACATTTATCTTCTATGTAGTGATTTATATTGTGTATATTGGTGATTAATAGGACTACAGATTTGCAACGAAGAACTCGTTTTTAAAAATGGTATTATTTTTCACAACAGATAATACATTTTAAAGACCCGTGTACTCGTTGCCATTTTGTCAACTGTTCAGATAGTTTTTTTTATTATGTACTCTCAAAAACAAATGCTAATAATATATATGAATTAAGATTTTATAAAAGGTTTTTAAAATAAAAAAGAAACAAAGTTCTTAAAAAAGTATATTTAAGATATAAAGCGTCAAGGAAAAAAAATTCAGAAATTTAAATTCCAATCCGTCAACTAATAAAATGACATACAAACATTTGTTTTCGAAATAGCTAAATATCATGACGTACTAAGCAAATAGCCATAATACAAACGGTTCACATTGTTTTATTCCGAAACGTAATACTTATTGAGTAAATAAAAATGATTTTCACCAAAAACTGAAATTAAAAGTGGTTTTATAAACGTATTTTAATTGCTCACTAAGCAATCAAAAAATTTGTAAAAAAAAATATAGGTAATATATTATTAAAAATATATCGGTTTATTTTTCTCTGTAAACAGCAATTTTTCTTTTAAAATATATTATTATTTTGACTTCTATACAAAACTGTTGTTTTTGGTGATAACACATGGATTTTCTTTTAGGAAAGCGTAAATGTACAATTTCTCCATAAACAAAAATTAATATGTATACAGGATGAAACCAAGGCTCATCACTCCTACCATTTTATCAAATTCTGATTTTTATATTACGCATGCTATCACGATGAACTTCAATTGATTAGCAGTCTAATATTAAGTGTAAAAAATTAGCTATTTTTCAGATTAAAAAAAAGTAAGTACCATCCTAATATAAATACTGAATATCTGAAATCTTAAACCAAAAGCGTTTTACCTCTTTTTCGAGCGGTTTTTGAATTTGAATTTAAATTAACGTTAATTGAATAGCAGTTGGGTAAATTTAATTTTTGGCACAACGTTAATATTTTAGTGCTGTATTGGCATAATTAAGTTTTTATCTGGCAAAACTAATAAATATTTTGTAAAACTGCATTTTTTGAAATTAGCCTTAGTAGAGATATTTATTAATAGGTAATGCTAGTAATAGCGCTAGTCAAGCTCATAAACAGTTTCCATTTCAATTTGATAATATTTGCTTAATTATCGGTGTGTATTGGTTTTACATTATTAATATTATTGTACAAATATTTTCCAAAATATGTCAATAATAGTAGCTCAAACAGTGTATAATATACTAGCAACAGTATAATCATCCTGTAATGGTGATGCTACGTGTTGTAGTCGGAGAAATACAAAACTGGAGTAATTCGACTTAGTGCCTATTTCAGCATTATATTTAAATTTTATTTAATGTAACAATTGTGAATTCAAAATGTCTTTTTGTCAACGACACCCCTACGCACATATTTCTATATAGCTGAACCACTATAGTAAAGCATGCTACAAAACTAGTTCAATATCATTGTTAGACTAGAAACAGTAGCAAGTACGGCGGAGGACTTAAGGTCCTCACCAGGAACAGATGATACATTTTTTTATTAAGCCAATAAAAACACATATTCTTAGACAATAATTCTAGGAAATATAGTAAAAAAAAAAAAATAATTGAATAAAAGTATTAGGTTTATTTAAGCTACAGATAACTTTTTTTTATTTTTTGATTATCTATTATTTACAATTATTGTCAATGCTATATGAATAGTTCGATGATCTTATAAGAAACTAGAAATTTTAGGAAATAATTACAAGCTGTTACTTCTAGTAATCTTGTACTAACTAGGTAAAAAAGGCTTTGAAGAATGTATACCACTAAACGCAACTTAACTCTAAGTTAAAAATATGTCTGCGGCCTTGCCTTGCAATAAGAGTACTCATTGTTGTAGATTTTGAACCGTTATTATTTTTGCGGAGACCTATTATCAAGGGATGTAATATCAATTGTGGGAGGGTACCAGTTAAAACAAACACAAAATAATTAGAAAGAAAATGGGGTTAATCAAAACAAGGATATAGTAAAACGTGGGATAATTCAAAGAATAAATAGGGGAATGACACATTTTTAATTATGTAAAAAATAAAATAAAACACAACTCTTACATACGATTATATTGGTAAACAAATGTAGGTAATTAATGCGTTATTATAAAATTTAGTTAGTGATTGAATATTGTGATTTCGGTTTATAGAACTTGGGAATTGTAAATAACACACATTTTATGCAAGCACAACCCTAAAACTGACACGACTACATTTTTAATAATGTGTTATACTTGTTTTAATGTATTCCAAATAATTATAATAATTTTAACGCTTGCAACGTAGGCGATTTCAAGTATCTTAAATTGCGAGAACAGATGTACAAATTTTCAGCAATATACCCGTCATTTACTTGCTGTTCGCTTACTTATAGACAATTATTAAAAAATATTAAGTGTGTTCGAACATTTTTTCCGATTGTGTTTTAATATTTTAACAAAGAGAATGTACATAACATTTTAACAAATTCTACCAATGTTTCATTAAATTTTAAACATGGTTTCAAATGAGTAGGGTAAGGTAGGGTTAATTATTTAACTAATTATTTACCCCTAAAAAAAAGGGAAAATTACCCTTTTGACTGCAGTGAATTTCTAGGTTGCACATAGCAATGTGTGAGTGAGTCAACAGGTATTTGAAAATGTTTTCATTATATTGTTAATTACGATAAATGAGTAACTATAAATTATTACAAACAGACGATCAACCCTAAAGGCTAAGCTTATTCACTTTAATAAATATACATTATTACGCACAATATTTTCATTAACTACAACAAATTATAATACTTTTTTGTATTGTCTTTGTTTTTCGATATTTGTATTTCTATCATTAACAGATTCGAATCGAAGCATTTTATGACGTTCAGTTGTAATAATTCATATAGACCTGTAAGTTGTAACATCCCCCACTATGCCCCGACCGCAATGTACTTGCTGTTTTAAAAAAAGCCAATGGTATAATTTTAAAAAATGAATATACCTCTTTAGCTATCGCATCGAAGCTAAAAACACATTTTTAACAATTTTTTTCTTTTAAGTAAATATTTTGAAAATCGCATTTGCAATTTTCTCTTTAAATTTGTCCTCTTTCTACTCAATTGTAGATAGTTTTGTTCAAATCCCATAATGGAGAAAGTAAAATACTTTTTATACATATTCATGTTTTGACGGTAGTTAATCGGGGGTATAACTTCCTGTTAAGATTAGTAAAGCTACCCAAGTTATTGAACACTTTATAATTTATCTTTTGTGCCAGACACAAAAGTCTATAAAACACACTAGTTAAAACACATCAAGCGACTGATGTAGTTTAAGAAATAAACTGTAGAATAGACACTAGGAATTATAAATTACATTTATAACTAGAATATACCTTTTTATTATTGTATAAAAACAAAGTATAAAAATAAAAAAATAATATAAACCAAATATAACTTACAAAACTTAACTGTTTATAGTAATATTACCAATACAGTAATCACTATAGGAAAGCACTCCATCCAATGTACATTTGACATAAATTATCAACAGAAGTAGCCTCTTCGATAAGCTTACGCGTCTGACCAGCCACTGAAAGTGCCATTGACGAATTTTTCAAATTGGCTCTTACATAACCTTGGAGTCTTAATTCAATATTGTTTAAATGTTCTTTGGCCTAAAATCAATTAGCTGTTTACCACTGAAATAACCGTAAACCGAATATTTTGAATTTACTTGATCATTTGTCATTTCGGAATTTTCGTCAGCTTTAGTATTCTGACCGGTCCACATTACTAACGGATCATATAAGAACGGTTTGAGTACACTAACCAGCTGCTCGGTATGAGACCGCATTACACGGTTTGTTATTTCACAAGCACTCGACAACATTCCTTCCAGACCGCCAGTTCCCATTGCGTCCACCATATTGTGCGTCAGACGAAACGGTACACGTTCAGGCCACTCAAATTTTTCTCCCTACGATCAGAAAAAAATTGTAAATATGCAAATGTTTTGCACCCTATTGGTTTTGTATTGGTTTTTTTTTCTTAAATTAAACAAAAATTAATACCCGATTAAACAAACAATTGAAATCAACGTGAACCACTCCACCATTTGTAGAATCTAATAGAATATTTTCCCCGTGACGATCACCGAGTCCCAGTATGTAACCGACTATAGACATAACTGCAGTCGTTCTAGTGAATTCGTTTCTAGCCACATACCTACGACAACGATAGTATCATGAAAATTGAATATCATAAACTATACAAGATGTATCAATCAAAATAGTTTGAACTCACCATTCTCCGGGACTGGGAAACTCTTTAAGATACCAATTTCTAAACACGGGTGGATGATTTGGTAAAGCTTTATTTAAGAATATTGATCGTTTTTTATCCAAAGGATCCTTGATATCTAAAATGAGAGCGCTTACAGTAAATTGATATTTAATTACAAACAAAATTAACAATTTATTATTATGTAACTGTAATTTATTATATTTGGTTTAAGTGTCAAAATTAAAAATTCTTACTGCTAATCAACCCTTGGTAAGTTGATTTTGATATTTTTATTCCAACTGCTTCGTAATTGTTTAAAATCACACTTCGCATCGTAACCACGTTCTGAACCAATTCGATTAAACCACAATCAAGAATCATCGGTACCACACTCTATAAATTATTTGTGTTTTAACAATACAACATTATAACGACACAAAAATAAGCATTAGACACATCAAGTGATTTGGAAAATAAAAATAAACCAAGATTACATACGTAAGTCTTAATGTAAAGATTTCGATCTCTGGCTTCTGGATCGCGCTTTAAATACATATTAACAATGGTATTGAATTCCATTAGTCTCGAATCAATTCGTATGTCATCCTAGAAGTTATTTAACTTATTTCACTTAGTTTACTCTTAAGCAAATTATTATTTAAGTTATCGCTAAATATTACTTTGGGTTTACACATCATTGGGTATTCGTTGCCGTCCGAACCTTGTATGATAATACGTTTTGGTTTCTGTAGTGAACTGTATATATACACTTCGTCTTTAATTCCATTGATATAAACTAGATCTCTGTAAAAATATACATATGAATTATATAACACAAAAAAAGCAATGATTTAAGTTAATGAAAAATCCTTGACAATTTTAGTGCGAAAAAAATGTACAATACAAAATTATTAAATGTACCAAAATAAAAAAAATTGATCTCTATTTAAATAATTATATTAAATTATAAATTAAAGAAAATGTGATTGCTTCTACAAAAAATATTATACGTACTCTGGAAATGGGTTATGTTTGGCATTACAATTGGCCTTTATACGTGGCAACACCAAAGTACGAAACTTTTGAGCTGGTACCATTATATTGCTAAAGTAACCATTAGTCAACAACCGCGGTAAATTTTTCGCTATTTTTTGTAATGAAAAGTTGACACCGACTGGAACGTTTTGAGGGCTTGAATTGCATAATTCTGATAAATTTTCAAATAGTTCTTGAAAATTCAAAAGCAATTTTTTCACTTTGTTTAATTGAGGATTTTTCAATATGGCGTTAAATCTCGATACTCTTACATTAAATGGCGACTGTAACATATAATTTATATATTAATGTCAAAAACAATTAATTATACTATGTTCATGGCGAAAGTGTATTAGTTGAACAACTGAAAATTGTTTATCTACTCTTAAATACTATTCTCAGATACTTTGATCAGTAATCGATCTACATCCATACTTGTAATAGGCTACTTTTTTTCTTAATTTTCAATTTGATTATAGAAAAGAAAATTAGTCAAATAATTTTTCTTACTTTATGCAATGTCATGAGCATCCATAATGAATGATTAGGATAGTCAAGTATACATTTGACAATTATATCAGTTAATGTCTTAAAACATTCATCCATTGGGTGGCATATTCTCGATGTAATTTGAGAAAATGCAGTTAGAAACATAAACGTTGGCAGTCGCATGACAAATCCTTCTGTAAAAATCAATCAATACATTTATTTAATAATACAATAATTAATATAATACAATAAGACTCATCTCAAAGTCGAACTTACCAATAAGTTTTATCATTTTTGTAAATGCTCTTTTTCGCTCGATTAAATACAATGATGTTTTGTTATTTTTCTTTTTTATATCTCTATTGAGATCGCTACCAAAGTCCAACCAAATGCTCAATAATTTTGGCATAGACTGATAGATATACTCACAGCCATATTGCAACGACATCCCATAACAATTTACAACGTTAATAATCAGAGTTCTGAAGAAGAAAAAAAGTGTTTTAATTGTATCCATTCTCATTTTTGACATAGGTAAATATTTCTTACAATCCTTTTGTATAATATGTTTGGGGTGCCATAGTATTTAGTAGACGGTCTTGGTAGTGAGCAAAACGTACAAGACTTTTTTCCCACATCTCAAACATTTTGTACGCACTTTCGATATTTACTAAATTTGTTTCCATATCAACATTAGCTGTTTTGTCATTGTACTTAGACAATAACAGTAAGGCCTAAAGTTTGATTTTAAAATTACATAATTTTTCAAACATTAGTTGTAAGATGTACTAGCAAATACATACAGACGCACACGTTTTTCTTTCTTCTACTTTTTCGTCACAAGGTATCATATTGACTGTCGCCAAATTAGGAAACAACGCATTAACACCTTTTTTCAAAGTAGAAATGGCTTGACCTTGATCAGATTTTTTCCATAACAACTTGGCTTTTTCTAAAAACAACCCAGTTGGCTTGTATTTTTCGGCAGCCAAAATGTTAGAATACGCTTGTTGAAAATTCAACGACCTTAATTGAAATAAATTGCATTACACACAATATTGGCTAACAAAATAAATCTACACTGAACATACTTTCTCGCAACCTTTATACTCTTCAACCAGCTGATACCAATTTGATGGTTAATGATAGGCTTTAGTTCATCAGAGACCAATTTCTGGGCGGCAGTCAATACGACTCGTCGCATACACAGAACTTGTTGCAAGACATACGCCTGAGGTTGTAAACACTGCAGTCTTTCATCCATTTCATACGTGATTAGTTCTTTTAATTTATCCATAGCGTTGTTATCTCCATTGGTAATGTGTAATATAGTGTTAAATATTTGTTCCATTTCGTTTAGGATATGTAACCTGAAAATAATAATTAAGTATGTTAAGAATTATAGTTTAAATTTTTATTAGGACATCTCACTTAGCTCGACGTAATTTAATAAAAATAATCTGATGTTCTTTTAATAATAAAACAAAATGATTAAAAAAATGACATATAGTTTTGTGGACAATAAATAAAAAATAACAACTCAAGTCAGTTTAAAATGTTCTATGTTAAAAATTAAAAATACATACTTAACGATAAACGGATATGCTTCCTTGTAACCAGCCGATCCGACCATAGTTTTATACAATGACTCCATAACAATATTTGTAATAGACAAAATTTCTTTTTGTACGCCAGTTTGATCTTTGTGTAAGAAAAATACCAAGGCTTGACCAATGCATGCTCCCCAGCTCTCAATGGCACTCGGTGGTTTTAAAACAAGAACGTCTTCCAACTCATCAAACTTCATAAGACTCCAAATTGCCTCAGCTTTTTCCCCGAACAATGCATTTTTGTAATCAGAACTAAGAATGATTTTAGTAATAACTTTTAAAAACAAGTAATGATATTTTGTGAGCAGAAAGTCTTTATCAAATAAGAAAATTTTCGTTCATATTAATTTTTTTGATTTTTGACAGTTTTTAGAGATGACATAAAAGGTGTACGGATGAATATTTTTTTCAAAATTACAAGGGGAACAACTTTTAGTATTAATTTCCGATATTTTTTTGGTAAAATTATCAATGTCTACATAAATGGCCCAACATAACAACAATAGATTTCAGTTCTCTTATAATTAAGACTCTCTATTAATTAAAAGCACGTGTTTTAAATTACAAGACAAGTTTCATTACTTGACATTCGTTAAACCTTCTGCTATTTTTAATGCTGTAAATGGTTGGTCTATTCCCAAATAGCATTTCACCATACCTTTATGATATTCTAAACTTGGGTCTGAAGACATCTGAGCAAATTTTTCATAACAAGCTGCAGCATCCTGAACAAATATTCAAACAACTATTAAACTACAAATTTTTTTAATTTTTTTAAATTATTATTTATTACTAGTTGTTCTTCAAAAGATAATGATTCCAATCATTTTTTAAATCTATTAACACGTTAACCGCTATGGGTAGTGCCGGCGATCCTAGTTCAGTTATTTTTCTTATTCAGTTATTTATCTTGGCAGTTAAAGTGTTAATTGAAATAAGCGATTCTTATATAGCTGCCCACAATCTCTATCCACTAACTTATCAGTACAGGAATAGAAAGTCTACTAAACAGTTAGCATGGTATTTTTTAAAAACTATTCAGCTTAACCGCAGAATCATGTGTAAAAAAACCCCACTAGTAATTGCTGAGCCGAATTATGTTGACATAACATTTCACGACAAGCTACGATCAACTTATACCCCTTCTCATATCAAATCCTAGTTGCTAAATTATTATATAAGTATAAATTAATTGAACTTCATCAGTAAATGAAAAATTTTAAACGGTTATAAAAATTTGTTAAAAACTAAACAAATTAATTAATTGTTTTGATTGTAAATAAAAAATATTAAAACTGGCAAGAATAATAAACCGTTTACAAAATTGTATAGTATAATAATGTCAATACTAAAATCAAATAAATTCTCACTTGCAGCTGTCCATTAACTTCGTGTAAAAGTATCATTTCTTCCGGCGACGGGTCATTATAATGTACGGCAATGATACCTTTCAAACTATCCGCATCATTCAGTTTGGAATATATTCTCTGAAATATAATATTTGTATAATTGTCATTGACTAAAAATAATTTAAGACAATTATTTGTATTTTGTTCTTACGGAAAGTGAAGGTAAATGATCTTGAAGTTTATTTTTATTTTCATTTATATAATCTTCAAGGTACATAAGAGCTCTTGGGTACTCATCGTATTCTAAAGATTTTTCAGCCAATTTTAGCTTACAAAAACGAGATAAAAAATCTAAAACATTAAACATGTGAATACCAAATTACTATTATATAATATTATTAATTATTTTTAGCATTACTTGAAACTGGTTTATGAATTTCGTTTTTCGAAGCTTTTTGTTCTCGGGTCCATTTAAACAAAAAATCAAACAATGTAAAAGCTGTTTTCACATACACCACACGTGTAGTGGTTTCATTTTGTTGTTCGACAGTTTCAGCACTTTCATATTCTAACGCAATTTGTCGACCGCTTAACTGGGTGTTGCCTGGTACCGATTGGTTTTTATTATTGCTCGATGTTACATCTTCTAAATCATTATTGATTACGGCTAATAATTCCTCGTAAATTAAGTTACCATCACTATCGTTTGCACTTTGTATAGCATAAACTACAAAATTTGTAAGTTTTTAAACACACATAAATACAAAATTATATTTAAAAGTATACAAATGAAACGTACGAAGGATATAAGGTAAAAACAAAAGCATTGCTTCATTATCAGATCTTATACTTGATTTACAGTATATGAATGTTTGCTGAGCATTTGAATCGGTTATCAAAGGCACAAGACGATTTACCCAATTATATGCCCAAATGTTCAAGGTGACACTTTTTGTAGAACTAGTAAAAATACAAAAATTGTTCAAATTATTATCATTAATATTATTATAAATTACATTAATGCGGTTTAATATATTACCCGAATATAGGATGAGGTATTCCACTTTGTTGTTGTTCTGATTCGAGAGTGTACCTGGACGAAGACAAGGGATCTATGACTTCGTGCAATGTACTGGGAATTGCCGACCAGATCACAGCATTTTTCTGTACGTTGTAAGCTTGTAAAATTTGCTATAACACTCATTTGATTACTTTCTATGAATTTAATAAATATTTGTTATTATTATTATTATTAATTACTTGTATAGCAACTGCAAAAGAATCCATGTGTCTTGAATTTCTGGCCGATTGCAAACCTTGTCCTAGAACTGTTAACGCTCGAATTGCAAATAAATTGCTTTTTATATCTAGCGGACATTTTTTTTCTTGACCTTAAATTTAAAAAAAAATACTATAATTAAGTATAAATAGTAGAAGTTTATGGGGTTTACAGTGCGGTCTGGAGATAGCAGTGTCGGGTAAGTCACGTGTCTAAGAATTATTATAACTGAATGTACTAACAACACATTCAAATAAACCCTGTGATGCTAAACCGTAGATAGGTAAAATCTATTAGATATAAATATAATATGTTCTTTATTTTTTTACTGTAATGAATGTATTTTATTAACTTTATGCATTGCGAAATTTATAATATTCCAAATATACTAACATAAATATTTTAAAACAAATATTACAAAACTACTTTAATTTTCAAGGGGGATGAATTTCAACTCCTAAATTCATACCGAAAGGGTTTCCAGCCCTTTCGAGGCAAACGTATAATATTTTCTTTGTTTATGGGTAGTAAGATAAAAAACATGCATAATTTGTATCTATTTTAGTCTCATAATAAGCACTTTTTAGGTACAATGTCTTATCTATATTATAGATTCGCTACTTGCAAAAATAGGTCCAGTAGTTAAAATCTTATCCTTGGCTTACACATTACTGGGATTACAAAACACGAAAAATAAAAATAAATATACTTCTTCTTAGCTCCGCACTGAAGTCATAATAATAATCTGTCATACATTTATGTTTTAATAATTTTCGACCAACTAAACTATAAATAGGTAATGATTATCATTGTACCTTTTTTAATGATATTATTCGGTAAATAACTTGGATCGAGAGCTCCGATTTTTCCTAAACATTCACTGCTAGCAAGTCTCACTCGTTTGTCTTGATGTCTTAAATTCTCAGTCAGGACTTCCAATAACTGTTAAATTACAAATACATTAATTGAATAGCGTTATACAAAAAGCAACAATCCCTCAAAATAAAATAATAGTTTGTTGAAGCCGTACAGAAAATTACTTTTAACTAACTACTGAATTTTATAATAAAAACAATCAAGTAGTATTGAGCTATATTTGTGTTTTTTAAAATCGCCCGAATAGTTTTTTTTTTTTTTGTATAGTAAACTTAAAAAAAATAATTTAGAAAGGTTGCTTTTTGCACAACAAAATTCATTTAATAATGTTATTAGTGCAATTTTTTATTTTACTAAACATTTACTTTATTTGTAACTACTCGCCTTAATAACTACTGAATTGACATTTTCACTGGATAAAATTAATTTTGTGACTTCCGACTGTTGAGCTGAAAGTTCATTGTGAAGTCTTCTTAAACCGTGCAATTTTACTTCTAATGTTTTATGTGTGACAATATCCAATAACCACATTAATAGTTTATGCAGTGGCTGTTTACTGAAATTGAATACAAAATAATTATTAAACTATATTTCATATAAACTTACGTTATGATACATGGCTTTTTTTTAGATTAATATAATATTAAATTAAGGCCAACTAACTTACAACATAGATTTGGCGTACTGTTGAACAATATCGTACACTACAGGGTTAGCTGGATGTGGTTCTAAAAAGTACAGCTCTGCTATATGTTGTTTAAGATGTGATTGATTTTCTTTAATCATAAAGTAAAACATATTGGCTACTTTATTTGGATAGATATCGAGTAACGGCATAATGGATACAAATATAGTGCTTAACATTGGTCCTAACGCTTCCATGTGAACACTAAAAATTATAATTAAATATTCAAAATTAATTTTGAGTCAATGTATAAAATAAATAAACAATTTTAGACAAAACTAGTTTTACCAATGAATAAATGAGTCCCAAGCCTTCAATCCTAAAAACACAAATGTACTACTTTTCAAAGAAATGGCTGTGCGCAACATGGCCAGAATTTTAAACCTAGCAGGTGTAACGTAACGACTACCCATCAACTTGAAAATATCGCCTAGAGAGAGTAAAATGTTTTCTTTGATTGAATCAGGCGAATTTTTTATTAATCTTGATTCTAAGACCATTAAGAGACCTAGAAATCTTGGAGAAAGAAATTCCGCCTGCAAAAAAAAAAAATAATAATATTAAAATGTGAATTGTATTATTATAAGTTTTAATTCAGAGAAGGTTGTAAATTGTAAAAAAGATTTTACAATGATGTGCTTTTATAAATCAATTATTTTTTTTATTATTCTTGTGTCTCGACCCATAATATTTTTTATACTGCAAGAATAATTTCTTTATGAATCAAGACAATATGTTCAAAAATAAAAATAAGTCATTCTTCCCCTCTCTAAAATAAGAAAATCACCCTAAAATGTACATAGTTTTCATCTTATAAATAAGGTATGGTATAAGTTTGGAATATAGTCGAATAACTTTCAAACTTGGGGATTTTTTTATACACAAAAGAACCGATAAATAGTGAAAAACCAAGGAAATAACATCAACCCAATTTCCCTGGAAACGGTAGAATTTTTTTTTTTCGGTTTTTTAGGGAAAGTTTTTGAACATAAGCAAAAAAAAACATATTTACAAAAATCTGTAGCGACATTTATGTTATTGAGTTAATCTAAAATACAAAATTAGACAATAATAAAATAACACTTTGTTAATTATAAAATAATTTTTTAATATTTTTTACCATCCACAGTTTTGCCTCGAAGCATTTATTTAAAAGATATTTATCACTTTCAGGTATAATAATTCCCAATTAGTCCTGACCCCACATTGCTCCAACCCCACTGGGCCAGCTTTTACTTAAGCAAAAATTGTATGTATTAATAGTTCATTGTTAGAGATATTACTTATCAGAGTAAAAACCAACTGTACTAATTTTTATAATAGCCATCACATACCTAGTACTATTTTGTAATATTTCTACTTCTACTTTCTTTAATCTCAATACTTTTTTTTAAAGAGGTTTATGGAGTATTAAACATTATGAACTTACAAAATTGAATACAGAGGCATTATTTTTTTCCGTGTACAAAACATCATAAACTTGTATCATTTTTATAGCTTCTTTGGCCTGTTCGTTTTTTGAGTGTAGATATGTCAGTATTTCGGCAATTATCGGCTACAAAAGATATAGTAAATATTAATTATCTTTATTTAAAATTTGAATATTAAATACAATGAAGTATGTTTTACTGTATACGACAGTCGAATTAAATGTTTCAACGGAGTATTAGTTATTTCTTCTATCAGTTGACAACCTTGTTTCCAAATATTTTTTTCTTCAGATAAAAGTAGATGTGAAAAACAATACTAACAAAATAACATATCAATTACATTAAAATCATTAAATATGGATGTATGACGACGTACGAGCCTACCTTGAATGATTCTTTGAGTAATGTGCATTCTTCTTTCTGTGCTAAAGACGCGATTTCGCTTAATATTTTCCGTGTTGTAGGTTTCTTTATGCACCATGGAAATATATATTTAACCATTTGCTTAACTGCATACAAGTCTCGATGTGTAAAACCCAATTTTATGTAAGTTTTCTTAACATCAATATTGGGATAATACGTCTCATAACATGCAACCAAGTTGTTAGCTATGTACTGCATCAAGTTGTTTTCATAACGATCAAAGATGACCAAAAATTTAGTATTGTGAGCCGCAGCTATTTCCGTCATATAAAATTTTGCAATACTTCCGTGCGAAGAATTTGGATGTATTAAGTACAAAAACATAAGTTGTATTGAAGGAAGAATGGTCATTTCTATTGGCACACTAAAAACAAGTATAAATATTAATTTAAATTAAAACTTAGGTTGAAAATTGTTTTTTTTAATTCACCATCCAATGTTGAATATTGTCTCTATGCAAGAATATTGTAACTCGTTATTTCCCACTGTAAGACTGTCGTTTGCTGTCGTGCAGAGAATGTTTAAAGTGTGTATAAAAAGTGAATCGTCTATTTGTAAATCACCAGTCGGATCTTTTTCAAAAATTACATAATTTAACACTTTAGAACACTGAATTCGTACACTTTCGTTTTTATCTTGGATTAGAGTTAGCATTTGACTTTTAAAGTTGTTGTCTGGTTGAAAATGATTGATTATTTTCGGCATCATTTTAATAACTTCACATCTGATATGCATAGTTGAATTATTGACAAGCGAGAGAAGCACGACATTCCAAAATTCATTCAATTTATTGGCATAAATCTTGCTATGTGGAGATATTTCTTGTTCTGAACTGAATTTATTGTTATCACAGTCAATACAAAATAACTCTTCACGACAAGTAACTTTGTTCTTGAGCAAAACAGTTTTACCATACATAGCACACAATAAAATTCTTAGATTCTGCACAAAACAAACAATAGTACTATCGTCAAACTGTTTGATAACGTCAAATAAAGCAGAGACGTTGTGATTGTTTTTTCTATGAAACAAAAAAGGCAAGTTACGTAAAGAAGTTTTGCATAAATCTGTTTTACTGAATGACGCAAAAATTATTTTTTCTCGTACATCGAAGCAAATGTTCTCATTAGTTTGGCTGATATACATCAAACAACATTGCATTATTTTTGTATTTTCTAAAAATTATTTTCAAATATATTAACATACACCTTTTTACTATATTCTATAGGAAACATACATAAAATAAAAATACTTACTAAGCATGACAGAATATTTAATAGACATTGTGTTTAAATGTTTGTAAAATGACAGTGTCTTAACTATACTGTTGGAAGTACTTGCCCATGGTAATGTAAGAACTGCTATCAATGTTTTAACATTGTTTGGTGGAAAGGAAATACATTCTTTCAAACATATTAAGCTTCCACACGAAGTTATCAATGTTTCCAGTGTGTGGTAATTTACATGATTTACAACGTAAACCAATATTTTTTCTAGTAATTTATCAATATTAATATTTTGGAATAGTTGGTAAGTTTCCCAACTCAATTTTGTATCTAAACAACGAGCAAGCCGAAGAATTGCATTGATAATTTGGTATTCATCTAGTGTGAGTTTTTCAGTTGTTGACTTGATAATTTTAGATAATTTTTCCCAGAGTTGATGCCAAATCGAACTTTGCATTAATAAATTATTATCTTCTTTTCTAAAATTAATTACATTAAATGAATAATGAAGTAAGAATATTTTTTAATGAATCACGTGTTAGTAATATTCTACTCACGTGTTAGTTTCGAAGAAATCGTTTTCGCCATTTGGTTCTTTATTAATTTTTTCTTTACTTTGTAATATTTCTTGTAAAATAAAAAACTCCAGTAGTTCCACAGTTCCCTAAAGAAATATCCAAAATTAAATAAGTAGTGTAGTTTTTTTAAATATTAGCAGATATCATGGTGATACATAGTGTGGGTCATTTATAACTTCGGTATTTGATGATGCGAACAATGTTTTGAGACAAAATATTTCTAAGTTAATAATACTATTTTAAATGTAATCTATTTCATAAATTGACAAAAAATGTTTCCTGTTAATTTATATTAAAATTTATGTTAAAATTGCAATCCCTTTATAAAAACCATTACACTTTATAATAGTGGCTTTAACTTAAATGCTTATGAAAAATATCAGCAAATAATTCATTTGAAATTTGATTATTGAAAATTTATCAAACTATGTGTGGCCCAAATAAAATGTAACCATATTTAATAAAACTGGTATTAACTTCGATTGTCACACACATATAAATGTAAAAAACTGTTAAGCTTCAAATTATCAAATCTAAAAAATGTAATAACATACTTACAGTTAAATTCAATAAATCTATCAACCGATTTATAGGTAGTTTTTCTAAAACAACAGTAGAGTAAATCATTTGGTCTTCTAGGATTGATTTTATAATATTGCACATTGATTCAGAAAGTTGATTAGAAACTAAATATATAATAATACAATTATAAATTAATCTATGAAATTAAAAAACAATTATTAACTTATAGTTGAATACCTTTAATTTTTTCAGATAATAACAGCTTTGAAACTATTTTTATTATTTCCATATTAATTGGAAAACCACAAATTGGTCCTGATTTACGTATAGTCTCGAAAATATTGCTTATAATATTTTGTAGACCATTGAATTCTTCTGAAGCATAACAATCATTACAAACAATACTGATTGTGTTTAGTAAAAGTTCATAAACATCATCTAACATCTGAAAACAAGATATATTTTATTGAATTGCAATATAAACATAACAATTAATACAACATACTTGAAAAAATCTTCTATGCGATGTAGAAGCTAACATGTGTAAAATTAACTCAAGACCGGTGGATTTGATTGGAACCGCGCGAGTGTTATTTATGGCTAATGTTATTGAATTCCAAAACTGAATTGTAATGTTTTTACTTAAGTAATTTATTGAAAATACTTTTGTATTAAACAACTTCAACAGTTGAAGTAACAAATTTAAATAACTATTATAGTCATTAATGGAGATATTGATTGAAGTAAAATTAATTGAACACACTTGAGTACAAAAATACTCATCAGGTTCACACCACGTGATAACAATTGGCCATTTCTTATAGGGAAGATTTTTTGACATTTCTAAAAAATAAATATAAAAAACATAAATACTATGGTGATCAAAAGTGATAATCTAAAACAACGCTCTAGACTATCTTTTACAAATTAGTTTGCCAAGCCGCTCTCAATTGAGACCACTCTCACCCAAGCATTTTGACCACTAGGTCAATTTATACAATGGCGAAGCTAATAAACTCAAGACAATATTGTCTTAGGAGAAATTTAAAAAAACCAATGCAATTGGAAAGAGAAAAAACAATTTTGTTTTATTTAATTAAGGGTATTGAAAGCGGTTGGTTTTTTGCATGTTTTATACCTAAAAGCCTGATCAAATTACACCTACTTAATGGTTGATGGTTCGATTTCAATAATTTAGTATTCACATGGTTAGTTTTTTTAAGTAAACGAAACAGTTATTTAAAAAATTTATTTTTACACTAACCTGTGCTTCTCCACAGGTTAGTGTCAATGAGCTTAAATATTTTTACAGAACTAAAATCCGATCATTCTAAGTAAGCGTAATTTTGTCAGGCTTTTAAGTCTAAATTGGTTTTTTTTAAGAACAAAATGGTTTTTACTCATAGAAAATATTGTATACATTAAAAATTATACCCTGAAGCTTATACAAATTATCTTGAAAATAAAATAACATTGTGGAAATATGATATGATCCCCTTAAAAACCGCTCGCTTTCAATCCCCTTAAAATAACAAATATTTGTATACTAATTTTAAGTAGGATTTCTTTATTGTCTCCCTAAATATAAGGCTAAGGCCTTGCCACAGCTTTTGTGTGTCATTAGGTGTTTATAAAATAATTTGATAGATAGATAAAACAATAAGAAAATGTTATTACTTGTTATAAAATTAGCATATGCACTAATAGCACATTCATATATGTACGTATTTTGGCATGAAAGAACTTCTAATAAACATGTTTGGCTGTGAATTGAATTGTTATGCAACGGTGTAAAACTTTCGAGGCTGATGATTTTTACAAGTTGGCCAATTATCCAAATAGTAAATTCTAAAACATAATTATTTAATTATTTAAAATAACTTCTTATAACACACACAAAACATTTTTAATACATATAAACAAGATATCAATAGTGAAGACCGTGGCATAAGTATCATTTTTCAGTCTTTGGATAATAAAAATAATATTTATCTAATAATATTGAACAATTGTTTTTCGGTTAGGACCAAACCGAACTTTAATTTGTTAAATTAACCTAAAATTTTAAGGTGACAGTTTTTTTTTCTATCACTCTAAACAATCAAATTTGAATTTAGTATATATGCCAACTAGCCTTTAAACCATCGATACTGCACCAATGTATCTAAGGTAACCTTATAAGTATTACCTTTATAATAATCAACACTTATTGTATTTCCTTTGACGCCGATAAAAGGACTAAATACTCCTTCCTGTTCGCCCATTTTACTAAGCACTTCACTCATAATGTTTGCGTGCTCGTCTAATGAATCTGCTTCTTCGTCCATGATAAATGTGAACATACTTTTAAATTTTCTCCATAAATCAAAAGGTAACTTTTGGTCCGATACCGAATCAACTTCCATTTCCTCCATACCGAATTTACATAAATTTCAAAGAATGATGTTAAGCCTAAATATGAAATAGAACTTCTTGGTATTTATAATAGTCCAAGAGGATCATTGTTCAATAAAAAAAAATCTTTCAATACGGGATAACTACTTAAAAAAAACCGGGTTCAACAAAAAAAACTAAGCCTAGGTAAAATGGCACAAGTGACAAAAAAACACCAAAATTCAATGAAACAAAATTTTATCAGTGAAACCGGAAAATCTGTAGTTTTCAACTATTGTTGTGATAAATAATTGTTTGGTGATATGATATTCCCGCCAAATTAAGTACATACATTGATAACCTATCACTGATATTATAATCAGTAAACAATTTCAAAATTTGAAATTCAGTCGTCAATCGTAATTCGTATATTCCAGTTAAAAAATTCTCACCACGATTTTATATCTTTAATTAACATAATATACACGTTATAAGACGTTTTGAACCGTGTATCAGACTATATTATATTATACGATTGTATAAATAGCACAATATTTGTAGTATAATCATATAATCATATATGTTTAAATACAACACAAATCTAATATTTTGTCATGTATAAAATAACACTTATAACCAACTCATTTGGCATTGTTTCTAGTTTATAATTTCTGTGACTTAAACCACATAATCAGGCTGATGCGGAACTTCAGTTTTTTTTTCATACTCGATACTCATCTTCAATAAAATGTACTCCTCCATTACACTCCTTGTGCCAAGTTTCTATGCCACAGCGTAGTTGCAGCAGTTGTAGCAGACTGCGTCTTTCTTAAATATTTTGTTTAAATTATAACCAAATTTGTAATGATTATTGATTTATTATGAAAGAAATATTAAGAATTACTCCACATATATTTGGGTCTATAAATGTAAAGACATAAAAATAATTTTAAATCCTTGAGTTTATTATTTAATATTTCATAAAATAATTACAAGTGTACATAATTGTTTTGAATATACATAAATACAACTGTAATAACGAACACATTATGAATTCATATAAACTAAGTAACAGACATTTTATATAAGTTTTTAATTAAAAACAAGTAATGATGATGACTTCAACAAATTAAAGTAGCAATTATATTATTGATAATATACATCGTCTATATAAATAATAATAAGTGAATCTGTTCAAAATAACTTCTTCCTCTTTGTATTTTTTTTTGCCAATGTCTTTTGCCTTTGATCGTTTAATAGTTTAGATCGAAAAGTTATACACTAAAATAGTAAATCAAAATATAATTAATAAAAATTTCATAGATCATACATTTTCTGCTTAATTTTTTTGGCACACATTGATCAAAACAAACCTTAATACTATAATGAAATTTCAATTTTACACTGTACTACTAAATTAAAATTTATATTTTTCTTATTACTTTATCGTCCAAAAAGGTCATGAGTTTCTGCATGCCGACATTGACATTGTACTTTTTCAAATCATCTTTTAAAACTTCTATCCAAATGGGCTCATAGCATAAAATCTTATTGTGAAGATTTTTATTGTCTCTTAGTAACTGCATGAAACCAATTTCGATTGCAACTAAAAAGATAAAAATAACTTTAATAAAATATAACTAGAAAATAAATTATAGCCAAAAGATATTTTAAAATATAATACAATCAATAAATAAGTTTGGAAAATTGTACTTATCAATAATCTATTAGTTGTTAAATTTTAATAGTCTTTTAAATAGTTAAAATAATCATAATAATCATAGGATTGATAATGATAATTTCATAGTAGACATTACCTTTATTAGAAGAATTGGCTTGACTTAATATTTCCAATTCGTCAGAACTATCTTCATCTTGGTACTCGGGAATCCCACATGTGGAACTAAAAACGTTAAAATGGTTTATAAATAAAACAAATTATAATTCCCGTCAAAACATAATATAATGTAAATACTGAAATCTCCTCTCAAATAGATATACTATTTACCTTGCTGTGGAATCCAAGTCATCACACTTATTAGTATTAGTTATTTCTTCGGATTCCTTCGAAAGCACAGGTAAATCCGAGTGAAGCGTATTATATATATGTCGCAACAACTGTTTTCCTTTACGCTTTCCTAAATTTTGCTTCAACCCATAACGATCGAGATGTTTCTAAAAGAAGAAAAATATTTATACATAACAGAAATGATAATTTTTTAGTCGTTTTCAACATATTTATAAAAAAAATCTAAGTAGATAAATAATATTATGTATACTTTCAACATCTAATTAATAGTTCTATAAAAACGATAGATTTTCAAAATAATTTTAACTTGCCACAAATTCTGGCGTTTCCATAGCACTGTAATCCAATAATGGTGTAACAGGAACATTTGAACTAATAATTGATTCCGATCTAAACCTACGAATACTTCTTGGCGTATTCGTCTTACTGCCATACTTGTTCGGTGTTTTAGCAATTGCTTTTGTAATACTATGATTTGAGGGAGAAGAATAATCTGTCAACGATGGGGTAACTACGTTAAGAAAAATGGAATCGCCATTGTTTTCTTTCTCTGGAGTTTTTTCATTTTGTTCGCAACTTAAATGAATAGAGTTATTTACTGGGCTATTTTCAATTTTATTTTGAGGACTTGTAATCATAGGTTGAAAATCATAATAGTCCATCCAAGGATCTTCAATAATCTGTTCATTTTCTAAGTTGTTTTCACCGTCAAATTCATTGTGGTTTTCATTTTCTGGAGGATCATCAATTAGCATGACGCTTGATTTTTCTATTACTTTATCATTCATATCAGTATCTTCATTGTTCAGAGAGTCTTGATTTGTTTTCAGTACATTTATTGGTGACAAATCAACATCCTGTGAAATAATAGTACTTGGCAATGTCTTATTCGATATATCATCTAAATTTAATTTAAGATTCGACAGCTTGTTTTTAGAAAATATGCTATCATCCAAATTATCAACACCACTCGTATTTGAAAGTAATGTCGATGACAGAATATTATGTAATCTTGTTTTCTCTGGCATGATTTGATATGCCGATGTATCTTTATTGACATTTGATAAAGTTACACTTAAAGTATTATCTAAACTTTTTTGAAGGTTATTGTATTTCGAGCTTAGCATAGATGTATCTATTGTCGATTCTTCACTTCTGTCTTTAGCTATAGATTTAACTGGTGACTTTGATAGATTTTTCACAATTATATTGGTAGCCATTGAACAAATACTATTAGTATCTTCAAAATTGATGTTATTGCTTTTACTTATTTGACTATTTAAAAATGATTTGGTATTAGATGAACTCTCATTAGACGGCAATGTAGAAAAGGATGCCGAGTTATTAACCTTTGGCAAGATAAACGTGTCATCAGAATAAATTGAGTCCGTACTACTATTGTCAATTAAATCTATTACATTAGGAATAGTACTTAAATCTTGTATTTTTCGTTTACTTTTGGTTATAGATGGACTATGCTCACTAACATATATAATAGTTTTTTTATTAGCACTATTCACCTTATTAGGTGTTAACGAATCTGTAATTTGTTTGTCCGCTTTAGGTTTAACAGGTAAATTTATTTTACTTTTATCAATTATATTAGTAGCCATAGAACATAAACTGACATTGTCGTTGAAATTAATATTACTCTTATTACTTGGAGTACTTAAAAACGTAGAATTAGAGTAGTTGGACACATTTTTCTTGAATGAAGATGAAAAGGAACACAATGAATTAGTTACTTTTGCCAAAATATTTGTACTTATGGAATGAGACGAGTCCGTACTACTATCGTCATTTAATATTATAACGTCTGTAATAGAATTTGTTGAGTTTTTTTTCGATGGAGAGTTGTTTGATACTAATTTACTAGGTTTCTCGTATGGTAATGAATCTTGAACTTGGTTTTGATCATTCGATAAAACATTCATAGAACCAACATCTGTGCTATTCTCACACGAACCACCAATAGGAGTTTTAATTAAAATATTGGATGCTGTTGAATTAACAGGCGCATTCATTTTAGTTTTTTTAATTATACTGATACTATCATTAGAACACATGCTACTCAATTCATTAATATCATTATTCATATTCTTACTTTTTGCATCATTCATAAACAATGCAGAATCCAAGTTATTTACAATTGGTGATTTTTTCTCCAACACTAAATTATTGGTTTGTGGTAAAACAATTGTACTTATAGAGTTTATACTGTTATTATCATTTAAATCAAGAAATGTTTTTTCCGATGTAAGACAAGTTAATCCTGAATGTCTCTCATTTCCTGATAACTCACTCATAGGAGCAATAACTAAGCTATCTTCACAATCATTTATAATAGTATTTTGTTTAATATTACTCGTTAAATTGGACATTGATATAGTTGATGCTCTAACAGCTTGTGGAACCATTTGAGAATCTTCTTTTTCTTGTGACAAAATATTTATAACAGAATATATAGAATCTAAGCTTCTGGAAGATTTTTGTAACCCTTTAGATGATAATTTCTGAGGTTGAGTTACTAGTTCAGTAGAACTTTCACTATCACTATCAAGTGTAATAACTTGAGGTCCAAAATTCAAATTTTGTAATTGTAATACATTTTTGGTTGATATATCATATTGGTTTCTAGAACATATATTGATGCTAAGAGAAGTATCTTCGTCCATTTTATCAATTCTATCATCATTAAAATTAATATCATTGATTTTATCAGATGTAGAAGAAAAGTCCTCTTTTGTAGAAACACTGTGGAATGAATGCGCTCGTTTAGATTCGGGTGGAGTTTCCTCCAATGGTGTATCGTTGTATTGACATTCTGTGAATGATGAATGATGATATTGCGTACTCAAATTACAACTTTTTAGCCACTGTTTTGTTTTCATTGCACTTAAAGTTTGATCATCATTCACAGCCATCTCTAAAAAATTAGGCGATCGAGTATAAACCCTATCATTGTCATCTGACGAGAACATATCAGGACTGGAAGCTTTATATCTTTTACATTCTAAATCATTATATATTTCAGTACTTTTTCGTTTATTTAAATTTTCCTGGTCACTACAAACCCAACCGAAATTTTCATTTTCGTTTGTTTCCATTAACACTTCATATCTTTTGCCCAAATTAAAGTAATCTCTCTGATAATAAGAATTTATTAACGATTCTTCACCAGAGTATACCAGTTCCAAAAATGCCAAACATGCTTCATACTGATATTCGAGCCACATAATCATTTTCTTTGATTTTCCTTTACTGTTTGACGATTCTTCCATTATAATATCTTTTAAAATAGACGGACACTGAACATGTAATACGAGATAATGAGCAGATATTTCTTTTTCGTCTTTGGTAAATATAGTCACATCACTCATGAATTGATTATTGACCATCAACTTCCAGTTAGTAGAATGTTTCAATATTTTTTTAACTGCGGGAAATTTAGAATGATTATGAGATACGTCTGAAATATTTTCTTCAAATGGTATAGACTCGTGCATTTTGGAATCAACAGCTGAATCCCTAACTTCATTATAATTTGAACTTGATTCCTGAAATGTATAAAAAGTTTAAAATAGTATATATTTTTTTAAATTTCCATTATTTATTTATTTTTAGTTTAAAAAAAAAAAAAAAAAAACTGTTATTATAAGATATATTACTATTTTAAGGGAAAGTAATGTTGTAATTTTTCTTTTTAATGACATTTTCGATTTTTATTATTTTACACTATTAGGTCACAACATAGCACTAAATAGTACATAAAAAGGTTATTTTTAGAAATTATATCATTATAATAATAATTTGGTAAAATATATTCAAATAAATAAACTCTATATTTCAATTATATTCTGAAAAAATGAGTGGCTTACATTAAATGGATCACAATGTACGCTATTTCTTATAATAGTATTATTCGTAAAACTAATTTGGTATATAATTATATTTTGAGTAAATCCTAAACATTTTATAGGCTTAATAATAATAGATACATATTGGAAATTTTTGGTTTGGGTTCTTTTTGCCAATTCAAGAAAAACTTTACAAAAAAAATTGATTTAAATTTTTTTTAGTTGTACTAGAATTAAATGAATATTTGGTCTAGAAAGTGATCCATACTCCTGTTAACAATATTAGTAAAATTTTCTAAAAATATATATATATATAAATATACAAATAATTACACGTATAGGACTTCTCCAACGTCCAGGAATTTGTGATACACTTCTCAAATTACTGCCGACATCATTTTCACTGGGAGTAATAAATTTGGATAAGTTTTCTACATAAAATCCAGAAATTTCTGTTTCTTCCTGAGACGACATTGTCCAAAGATAATTTTCCTATAAAAAAAAGTAAAATGTAATAATATTTATTCTCAAAGTAAGTGTAAAAAACACAAAACATGTTAAATAATTAGTTTCCGACCTAAAGCTAAAATATTAGTGATTAAAAACTACACATTACTTTCCAAAAAAAAAAAAATTAAAAAGACATTAATCACTATTTAGAACTCGAGACCAAAACAAGGCCGTCGTATTTGACATGTTCACTCGTTTATTATCCCGATTCAAATGACGTTTTTGTAGTATCGTCTTTAAGGCAGATTTTTTTTTTTTTACTTTACACTCCCTGAAATTGTATTTTAAATTTCCATCTTTTTCATTGAAAATCGGACTTTTGCAACTTGACTATTTTATACGAGAAAATAAACAAAAACAGCAAACACAAAATACACATATGCCTTTCTGGTATGTGTGCTAACGTCTGGTGGGGGACGACCCTAATAGTTTAATTGAACAAGGACAAACCTTGTTCACCCTCGGCCCTCGTTATTTGAAAAATTCTTCCACCCATGTGAGTTTTTAAGGACGTGAAAAGATAAGAGTCTGAAGGCAAGTCAGGGTAGTATGCGGGGTGGCTCAAAATGTCCCAACCGAATGAGTTCAAAAACGCATTGTTGACGAAGGGAGTGTGCTTACTGCACGACAACGCCCACCCGCACACAGCCTTTGCCACCAAGGGGTTTTAGGGCTCATTCGGTTAGAACCTTTTTAATCAACCCGCATACCCTCTGATTTGACGCCTTCGGACTTTTACCTCCCTGAAAACTCATATGAGTAGAAAAAAAATGTTCAACTGTCGATGGGTGAAACAATAGGTCCTGAGCTGGAAGGAGATGCCAGGATTTTTTATCGACATATTTCACACAAACGGACACTACAGGACAAGTCTTTGTACTACCGAAGTCCTCCAGTTCTCGTTGTCTACAGAAGAACTTCCACTAGCACTCAGTATTGTCAAACTTGGAAAAAAATTTCCCTGCAACCCGAGAGGGCAACAGTATTTTTACTTTCTGGACGCGCCTCGTACCTTTATTCGGAGTACCTACAAGATCACCGCACTAGCTATGTTTAGTAACAATTTTACAACATTTCATCAAACACGCGTAAACAAAAAACTGTCCGTTATATTTAAACAAAAATTTACAATAAAGTCCCCATTTAATGACTGCAACAATTCAATGGACCTCACGGAAAACGAGATTTCGGCATAGTTTCTAGTTATTGATATTCACGTGTCCGGTTTGACCATTCGACGCGAACTAGTATTTTTTTTTTAATGAACTGTCTTTTTTGTAGCACGATTTTTACGTTTCATTTTATTCAAAGCACGTGCCAAGCAATTCTCATAAAATTGGGATTTTATGCACGTATCGAGAGGACACCACTCACCATATGTGCAATAATTTAAACTAGACACTTCGTACATGTATAACTATTTTATTTGTAGTAATACAAGTTTTAAAATTTTATGGATCACTATTATTTATTTTAATTTACTCATGCTATGTACATACATTATAAATACAAAGTATTAATAGTTATCTACATATATATATATATATATATATATATATATAAAAGATCTTGACAAATAAGAATCTTTTTTTACTAATAAAATAATTGTGAAAAGGAATAATGATAAAAAAAATATTTTTCTAATTCATCCAGTGTAAATTCCTACACTCTCAGAAAAAATCAGAAGTAAATTGAGTATTTAAATAGTTTTTCCGTAGTTTTGAAAAAAATAATTCTAAAAATATTTGTTTAAAGTTTTAAGTCCGTTAGATGCAAGGCATACCTTTTGTGTTAATATTATTAAGTACATTAATAATCCCGAATTTCGCCTAATATATTCTTAAACAATTTTAATACTTATTGCTGAAAAAGAAAGAATAAGAAAACTTAGATTCTGTAAATTAGGTTCTGCCTTAAGGGGAACGGAAAGCGTCAATTGTTTTACAAATAAAGACTAAAACGCGGAGTCACTTTCCGAAGTGTCTACCGAACCGATTTCAATAATATATATATATAAAGTTTCACATGAAAATAAAAAAACTTCAAATCCGTCTAATAGATACGTCAGAAAATGACTTCTACAAAAGTCATTTTTTATTAAACTTTCATCATAATTTGGAGAAAAATAACTTTAAAAGTATTATAATTAGAAAATTGTAGTATGTGTTCACCTTGAAATTAGTAGGCATATGAAAAATGGCTAGCAGATCATATTTTGCCAAATAATGCCTAACCTTTGCCCCTTAATAAATAACGCTTTCCGTTCCCCTTAACAGGTAATTACACTCTAATAGTACTTTGGAATCCTGAAAACCCTATGATTAATAAAAAATGTGGAAAAAGGATGTTACACCTCCAAATCAACAGAGTAATTGTAACCTCTAAAAGATAGCCACCTCCATTTAATGGCCTTTTTTTTGGTCCCATCAAGTGTTATGGGGAAAATACTTTAATACCTCTATACATATAGCAGGCACTCTAAATAACGATCAAAATATCGAGTTATTTTAAAATTATAACATTATTATTTTAGTATTTATAACATCGTCTTATCAAAGTTATACAACAATACGATAAATACAATGAATTTATTAGGTTTCTTTATTCATTAGTCAAAGTATAATAAAAATTTTAAAGTTATTTACCAACAAATGATACTTAGGAGCATTTATACCTTATTATTATTATACCTTTTTAGAGGATTCCTCATGGATTATTAATAATCTAGTTGAATTTGACTTATTTTATAATCCATTAATTAATTGTTTCAAAATTACTTTTTTTACAACTTTACTTTTATTCATCACATTTTTTGTTGTGTACTGTTAATATCAGATTATTATTTTCAATAATTGTATTTTGTAATTGCCGTTATGGCATAAATAAAATAAAATAAGCAAAATTACTTATTTAAAAAATATTTTTTGATATGAACTTTTTAACATTTTTTTTTTTTTGCTTTATATTTAAGTGTCTAGGCACCCCCAAAACACGTCATAGTTCCGTCATATGTAATATACTATTAACTATTAAGAGTTTAAAAATGTTTATACAACTCACTTGGTTCCTAATTTTTTTCAAGTTTACAGAGTTTAATGTTATGTTTACATCAATGTTTTCATTTGTTAATATTGGTGATGAATTTTCTGAATCTATTAAAATAATAGCCACCTTTTCAGTTATTCTCCTTTCACGATTTTCTTTAGTTTCTTTGAATAATTTAGTGTCGGCCCTATTAACTGCAAAACGTGTTCAGTTGTTTGTTAATAAATCATGTGTTAACTAAAACGATTATTATTAGAGTTATACTTTTAGATTTAGGTTTTATTGGTTGATCCGAGACAAAACCAAAGCCTTCCAATGTTCTTCTTTTCTCTAGAGCTTCATTATCTAATCCTGCCTCAAATAAACTTTCTGACTGTTTCCATATTTCTGCTGCTTTAGATTCTTGCAATGATACAGACATAGCTATGGCTAAATCCAAGTTAGAATCTTTTCCTACCTACAAATTAGAAACAAATTAATTTACCAATGCTAAACAATAATATGTGCTATTGTTGATATAATTAAAAATTGAACCTTAAGCTTGGTTTGTCTTTTAACAGTGGACTTTTTTTTAATTTCCGGTTTTTTAGTTGATATGCTTGGCAACCCTAGAGCTTTTCTTTCAGCATCTTGTCGGTCTTGAAGATCTACTGCTTTAATGACTATGTCTGATGGTACATTATGGAATGTACCACATGACTTAACATGGCTAGTGAATTTTTTTTCATCAATAAAATCAGAACAAATTGGACATTGTTTTTTGGAAGCTGCAATTTGACATATCTCTTCTTGCTTCTGAACAGGAGAATTTTTAAAAACTGATTGAGACAATCCATGTTTTTCCCCTTGAGTTTGAGTAGCATGCAACAATTCTACAAAACTATCAGATTCAGATATTATGCTGTTATTTCCATTTTGCTTAGCCTCATCAGATTTGATTTTGTTGACGGCTTCATTTTGACCAGAGCTAAAGCAATTTAATTTAAAAAAAAAATTAAAAACCAAATAATAATTTTTTTTTAAACAATTTTTTATAAAAAATAAATTACCTGGTTGATGACGTTACATTTGTATTGTTAGAATTTTTTAGTTTCAAGGATTTAAGTAATTTAGCTTGTGAAAAAATATTCATTTTCAATTTTAATTTCTACTTATTAGTACTAAAACAATAATGTAGTGCTATAATATGTACATAAAAAATAATGTTGCTGCAATTTAATATTTAAGAAGTTCAGGAATATCTGCTTTTCCACGCAAAATTTCTTCTTTTTTCTGCATCAGGTCTTTTTGATCAGGATTAATTTCACGTCTGATCAGTTCTAACCTGTGTTCTTGTTCTGGTGTACGATCATATAAACCATTTTGGATACGCTCTTTTAACCTTTTTGTTGGAGGCAAACATCTAGAAAAAAATAGTATTAAGTGTTAAAATGATTTTAAAAATGTATCAATACCATCACATTAAAGCGAGAAGATTTTTGGTATTTTTATTCAAAGTATTTGCAGTAATTTATAATTGTATTTAAAAACTCAAAAGTTATTCAAATTAACGATTGATTGCTTATCATTTGGGTAATTAAATCAAAAAACATTTTGACAATGTTCAAACATTTTTTTAAAAGAACACTACCTATAAAAAAAAAACAAGTCAATTAAAAAAAAAAAACAATAATTTCATTAGTTAAAGTTAATACTAAAATCAAATATTTATTTTATAAAAAAAATTGGAAGTTAATGTTTTTTATTTTTTATTGTTACTATAACCTCATGTCAATAATGTAACCTTACATTTACTATTTAATTGTTGAGCTAAATATTTTATAATAATAAAGGATATATAAAAAAAAAATTAAGTGGTGTTTTGTACAAATGTTACAAATTATATGTATTCCTAAATAACTGGTAATTAGGTGCAAATTATATAATGATTTCAGTTTATATTATAGCTATTATTTTATTAAGATTTACCCCTAAGCAAGCAATTATACAAATAAATATAAGTTGGCAATGAACTTGTGTCTGGCAATTTCAGGAAAAACCATAAGTGGTTTTTCAATTAATGTACTATTAGTCGAAATTTGTAGACATTAAATCTACAAGTAAGATTGTACTTGATGAATGTATGGCCAATTTTCTGATTTATTATATGTCCAGGTTAAAAAATAGAGATGTTTTTTCAATATTATTTTCATCTTGCTACTTTTAAAAGGAAATTTTATAGTTGTAACTTTTGGTATTTTGTAAATAAAAATAAAATTGACAACCTTTAACTGAAATCTGAATGTTTTTGCTAAAATATTGAACATTTTAAAATTTAAGATAACTTGTAAAAATATAATTATATATTACTAGATGGTATAAACTCCTTTTTAAATAACTCTATAAAGTTTTCTAACCATAAACGTAATAAAATAATTTCATAGGAAACATAATAGAAGAATAATTCTAATAAATTAATCTTAAGTATTCACTATTCCTCCACAAATATTAAAAAATCTTTATTACTATACTTAGTAATATAGAAGTTCAATGCTATCTTTACTTTAACTTTAAATTAAAATAAAGCGGAAAAAAATGAAATAAAACCTTATATAATCCAATTTTAGTTTAAAAAATGGTATCTTATGATCAAATTGAGCTATACAAGTATTCGCTTAATTTTTAAGATATTAAAATGTGTATATTTTTGTTGGGTAATTTATCTGAATCACATCTTTATTAAAAGGTATGGGCAATACTGTCACTTAAAACGGTAGCGTATAATTTCTATAAGTAAGTAATAAGTATAACAAATTAAACATATTGATAACAACAAAAAACCTAACATTCATGTTTTTGCCCGAATTTTACACTTAATTTAAAAAAAAAAAGCTAAATAATTTTGTTTAACAAAAAATAAATAAATATTAAAAACTCACTCAAATAGGTACCAAGTGAGTCCACTAATAGCCAATGTACCAAACACAAATAAATTTCGATACTTGTAAGCAGTAGTCCCTCTTACTTGTCTTGGTTTCCCTGGGTTTTTAGTTTCTAAGGCCATTTATGAAAACAGCTTGTTTCAAATCTTAAAATATAACAAATACATACACATTATAATATTTGTATATGCATAATATTATTTATGATACCTAGTTTGAATGTTAATTTAAAAATAAAATATTTTATGAATGCAGAATTTAGGATTTTAGTTGAAGTAGCCAAACACAATAAAACTGTCACTATATTTTTCATAAAAGTTGTTTTTTTTTTTCATACAATTAATAATCTACAAGATCCTAGTTTTAGAATTTGAATATTGATATAAACTACAAAATAACTATTAGATCATTATCCAGGAACGAGTATAACATTTTTAGAGCTCCTGTTCACGAAATTAATTACTACCTTAATCCATGCCAATTAAAAACTTACTAACTTTTTTAGAAAAGTTTTATGTAGACATTTTAAATTTCGGGCAATCGTATGTTAGAGACATGCATATAAAATATTCCATTAAGTATACAAATTCTGACTATCTAGTTCTTAAACTTTAAAATCCAGAGGTATCCTAAGTTTTTCTTAATTACTAAGAATATAAAAACATTTTTTTTTTTTTTACATTTTATAGGTTACATACAGTTCATACCTACAAAACAACTAAACTATATTTATCTCCTTCCAAGCAAGATATTTAGCAATTATTTTTTAATTTTGTAAATTTTAAAAACGATATTACCTATTTATTTGTGTCATGTAAAATGTTAAAGCTTTCATCTAACAACTCATATTTAAAAGTGAATTCTTAATTTGGGGGGAAGTTATTTATAGTCTAATAGTAATATTAAGTAGATAAAATTAAAACATTTATCAGTCATGTTTCATACGAAATGTTCATATAGATAAGAGAACCATTTATATTTTAAAGTTTTGCAAAGTCATTGGCGAAACTCATAACCAAAACAGTTATACTTACCTATCCTCTACTTTTTATTTATAGTGTTTTTTATGCTGATTTCAAATCTGAAATCAGACTTCTGTAGTAAGTTACAGCTTGCAAAAGTTAGTTGCGCAAGGCGCCGCGGAGGGCGCACTGCGGCGGACCCCACCTGCTGATGCTACGCTCGTGAGTCGTGCGGCAGCACAATACAGTTGTAGCTGCGCAGCGACGTTTGCGATAATTATCATATTTTACAATACAAATAATTTGACAACTTTAAACCTGTGACCTCCGCTAAACTAAAAATATCCTAGGTTTGCAGGTTACAGTCTAAGAAGAGTCTATTATTTTGTATTTGATTGTACTTAAATACTTGGTCATTTGTTTAGTCTGACATTAGTATTTTGTACTTATGTGATTTAAGTAACTATATGCGCTAATAAAATGTTTTTGTAATTTATAGTGCAAATTCCGAAAACTAAGCATTTTTACCATCTTTGTTTAATCATTACTAAAACTATAATAATGTTTTAAAACAAAACTTACATTGTTTTATTATACCAACACCTCGTGAATACCAGAACGACGAAAACGACGATTGTTTATCTGGACTTGATGATCGAAAGCTTCAAAATTCAAGACAATTCGACATAACTAATAGCAATAAGGTATTATAAGTAATTATAAATTAATCCACTAACATAGTAAAGTTAAGTTACAACTTGCATCGAAAGCAATATTAAATGTATAACCATAGATAAGTATGTAACGCAACAAATTGAGGACCCAAGTTATATCAGCCGCGAATATGAGAACAACCAGGTTATCAGTGCTGATAAATCGGTTGTTATCATAAACGCTAGTGAATATTACATGGATCCTCAGTGAAAAATAATAAGTTCCATGATTTTTCCACAAGAAGCGCTAGCAGTCACTGACTTTTTAGAAAGAACTCTTGTAGCCGCAGATAGAACATTGCGAGGTATAGGCCGATACGCAACCAGTCTATCTACAGCTGTGATCAACACATCTAAATAAACATGTTTGCTTTCAGTATCACCGCAAAAATGCGCTTATTATATAGTTGATTTTACTACTAGAAGCGCTAATAATCAGTGAGTTTTTCATAACTTAGATAAGAACCTCTACCACCGTAAACTGCTGCAGATAATCATTGGCCGTTGCGTAACCATTCTATCTATAATCGTGGCTTTACCGCAGAATAGATAAAATGTGGTTCCACACTCGTACATAATGTGCATATACATGTACATGACGGTCGTTTTTTCTATCAAAATATAACAAAAAATTTAATAGGTATGTCAATAATTGTGGTAACCGTGAAATGGCCGTCAGCGTTTTTAGGGCTATCATACATTTCTCATGAACCTGAGGGCTGGGAGAACACCAACAGACATGTTATGGATTTTGATAACACAAGTTGCTGACATACCTCAATTCTTTTGGCCATCCCACAAAAATGTCTACAGTAACTCCAGTACCGACACAACAAAATAAGTCGAAATTCTTGAGTACAGCGCACTGCGTACCGGCTCTTGTATTGACAGTATACCGGATTTTTATTGTAATTTATGTAATTTACAAGTTAGGAAACGGTATCAATTTCTTATTTTATTTTTCCGATGATTGAATGTAGATAAAAATTATAAACAGTAAACTTAATACGTATTATCTACGGTAATTAAAAATATACTTGTCATTACTGATAATTAATATTATTTTGTTCACTTTTGAATTTGTGTACTTAAATATTTTTGGTTTTAATAGCCTTCAATTATGTCTCAAGATACGATTCAAATGCTAGTAGACATGGGGTTCGAAAAAGAAAAAGTGTAAGTTTAAATGTTTTTAAGTATCCAAGTTTATGTACAAATATAACAGCTCTGACTGGTTTAATATAATGTATATAAATTGTATTCTAGAGAGAAAAGTGTTTCCATGACTGGAAATCAAGGTGTCGAAGCAGCAATGGAATGGTAAAGAATTTATTTCTATTTAAAAATATAACTATTAAAATAAATTTGATTATCATTTAGATGGTTTGAGAGTGTTTAAATAAATTAGAGAACAATATTAAATAGTAAAACAGGTGAGAGATATTTTGGCAGATATAGACTAAAAGAGAATTGGTAGACGTCATATGCTTAGATGTGTAGAGTGAACAAAGAAATGTTGATGGATAGCGATTTGTTGAGACATAGGATTTGGCTACCCCACCACTTTACAAATGATAAAATGAAAAAAAAAATTCTAAACAAATATTTTAAAAAATACACGACAAAATGTCTTCTTTTTCAAGTCATAAAGTAAATGATTTTAATAACATGTAATTGAAATTTAATCCATACACTTTTAATAAGGTTGTTGGCACACGGTGATGAAATGGAACCATCAACATCTAAAAGCGGTAGTACTAGTTCTTCAAACCATGCAACTATTGCAAGCTCTTCATCGTCTCCAGCTGTGGCCAAGTCATACAAATGTGAAGAGTAAGTAATAATTTAGTACTTTTTAAATGATTTCATTTATAAATAGCAAATAAACGAATAAAATAATACTTGATTATACTGTGTTCGAAAGTTGCGTACTATATGGAATAGCGATAATAATTTTGTAGTTTTTTTTATAATACCGCTATAACCAGAATTCAATAGTGAGTTTCAGTAGCAAGCTATAAAATGTATTAATAAATAGGGGTAAACAATATGTACAAGGTATAATCCCATGATCTAAAAAACACATTTTTACAAATGCATCTAGTTCATAATAAAGAACTATTAATTATTGGTAGAATTCATAAAAAAACAATCATAAACATTTAGCTTAATCCTAAACAGTGCTAACGCCAACTTTTCAATTTGTATTTTTTAGTTGTAACAAGCTGTTTGCCGATACAGCTGCATTAGAATATCATGCTATGAAGTCTGGCCATAGCAATTTTTCAGAATCTACAGAGGAGAAGAAACCATTAACTGAAGCTGAGAAAAAAGAGCAGATGAAAAAACTAGAAGAACGTTTGAAAGAGAAACGGAAAGAACGGGAAGCGAGAGAAAAAGAAGAAGAACTAGAAAGAGAAAAAATGAGAATTCGTTCTGGAAAAGAGTTAGCTGCTGCAAAAAAAAAGTAAGCAAACGTATATGAACAGAAATTAATTTTTTTTCAATACCCCCTTTAAATTAAAAAATACAAATGTATGCAAGTTATTGTGCCAATTAAAAAATAAATAAATACAATTCAGTTATAATATTTTTAGGTATTAAACATAAAAAAAAAACTCTCTTGAAAATTAGTTATTTATATAATTTATGTGTATCTACTATATACTAGTATTATTTATAGGTTAGAAGATGAAAATATTAAAAAAATTATGGATGAGAGGAAACGTGAAAAAGAAGATGAAAAAAAAGCACGTGATAGAGTTCGAGCTCAAATTGAGGCGGATAAATTGGCCAGAAAAAAAATGTTTGGAAAAGCATCTGGTGAAATAGAAGCAGTAAAAGTACAACCTGTAAATCCTCCAAAACAATCTAAGGACTATACAGAAACTAAATTACAGGTATTATCTGCATTACTGTAATTTTCAAGAACCATATTATTTCATACATGTTTTAGATTCGCCTTACAAATGGTCAAACAATTGTTCAAGCATTCAATATTAAAGAAATGTTAGCTGCTGTTAGGGTATATGTTGAATTGAATCGTACAGACGGAGATACACCATTTTCACTTATGACAAGTTTTCCGAGAAAAGTGTTTACAACCGATGATTATGAAAAGCCGCTTGATCAATTAGGTAATTTTTAAGTATTACATATTTTGTATTTTATGATCATCACTATAAAAAAATTCAACTCTCTAATTAAAGTTATTTTTTTAGGTTTGGTCCCAAGTGCTGTTCTCATTTTAACCAAGCCACAATAAAGAATTAAAGAAAACAAATTTATGGGATGTTGTAAGTGTAAAACCAATTATTTTGACATTCATCATGTTAATTGTTTTGCATTTTGCAATTTATAAATACAAGTTCATATTTTATACACAATAAAAACCCTATTTGATTAATAATAATTGGTATCAATAAAATAGTGTGTTTAAAAACATATTTTAAGTAAACTGTAAATTGTATGAGTTTTTTATTTTGTTTTAATTAACAAGTCACAATAGTATTGACAATTACATTAGCTCTTCTCATTATACAAGAACCAACGAGTAAAATCTAAATCCATTAACAAATAGTTATGTGGAGTAAACTGTAGTTGACTTTGAAATAATAGTAAACAATAAATATTGAATTAACTAGGACTATTTGTACTTGTACAAATAGAATATGTGTATTATGTCCTTTTTGGGTAAACAAATATTTAATTATTTTGTTGTTTGTTAAATAATTGTTATGTGTATTAATATTTCATTTAAACTATAAGATAATATCAATTTATTGGTTGGGAAATTATTTTTATGTAATCCTTTACCATTTCAACACCACAATTGCTGTTCTTTATATTTTTCAAAAACAATATATTATCATGGTAGCTTTTTGAGCCTAATTACTGTATTTAATAAATTATTTGTTGAAAAATAAAAAAAACATAATACAACAAATAAAAAAAAACTACTATTCAATACTTATAATTAACAGTTTATTGTTAAATTTAATATTTGATTTTTTTTTTACAAATCAAAGTGTACCACTGGTGGCCAGTTATTAATATTTATTGGTTTTAATTTTATCACGTCATATTTTGTATTGAGTAACACATATTTTTATTTCAATAAATATCAGATATAGTTTATATTAGGATATTTCAGTGTTATTAAATGCAATATTCAATTTATATATACCATTTTAATAATTTAAAAAACGTAAGTAATAATTATATTTTAATTGTACATAAAAAATTATGCTAGGCTTATCGGTAATATACGACAGTATTGGGGTAGCCTACATTCATGTTTTGAACAAATGTTAAAAAAAAAAAAAAATGAATAAATAAAACAATAATATCAACAACAAAATGAAAAACGATGCAAGTTTATTAAATAACCAAATTAATTTTGTAATTTACTGATGTTCAAGTCATCACCATTTTCCAGCAAATCTGTTGTGCATATTTTTGGGATATGAATTTTTGGCAAATCTCTGAGTTCAGCTTTACGTTTGTGAGTTTGACTCACGTCTTTGCCTATGCAACCGGCTAATATCTTTTTTAACATATCACGTTTACTTTTGTTAACTTTATTGTTTACCGTGTCATGGCTCATCACCCATTTGTCAAATCTGTCTAGTGTGTCCAAATTTACTTCGGGTAGTTTCTTAAATACTCCTAACAGCTGGTCATTTTTACAACGGAAAGTCTCATACACAATTAAACATGTGCCTAATAGTGGGCCAACATTAGAATCGTGATGGCCGTACCAATGGAGACTTTCTAAAACTGCTATTAATAAATCGGGAGCAATCGCAATAGCAGACGTTTCGTCATCAGTTGCTAAATGCTTAACAATTAACTGGATCAAAGGTGTCGATTTAAAACTACTTTGGCTATCACTCCAAGGTGGTATTATTGGTCTGTTATCCCACTGGAAAGTTTGACAAGATTTCCAATACTGGCTAATTGAAGTATTCCACGACAAACCATTGAGAATACTTTCAACGATTAAACGTCTAGACTGCTCATTTCTCAATAGTTTTATCCCCAATTCGGATAGATCACTACTAGGCTGACTCACAGGAATATCTTCAACGCTACCATTAGGGCTGGTTTTGGTATCGTTAGAACAAGTTAAACACAATCTTATCAAGTCTATATACTCTCGTGTCAATAAACGTATGATCATATCTTCTAGTAACTCCTCGGAATCCCCTTCTTTGGCATCATAATATTCCTCACGTTCTGGTATATTTTGCCATGTAATATTCAAACGCATTAACATATGAGATAAGAATGAATTTAGTATTGGAATAAGGACTGTTTCGTGATATTTACTTGAACAGTTAACTAGAAAAGGTTTGATAAAACTCTTCATGATTGTCCTAATACGAACATGAGGTAATGATTCTGCATCACTCATTATAGTAGCAATAAAACTAGGAGCAAAATTTTGTAACGCGTAAAAGTGTTCTCCGAGTAGATGACATGATCGTCCCAAAACAAGTAAACATTGCTCATAAACAGTCAGAATTGAACTTTTCACTTTATACACCGGATCAGGTTTGTTGTTCTTTCTAAACAACTGGAATGGGTCATTTTTTTCTGAAACCGTGTTCTTGCCCAACAGTGTTTCTTTTTCTTGGGGAAATAATTGCAATACACCAGTATAACTGGGATACATGTTTTTTTTCACGTTATCCGAGCAAAGTGAATTTAAATTCTTTATTAACAAAAATACATTAGGAAGAAGTAACAAAACAGGTTCGGTGACAGGAGAAATGAATGGTACTTTAGATAGACTCAAAGAGTTTGTATTACTTCTAGTCATTACACAAGTCAACACACTAACACAGTGAGTCAGATGATTTCGGTTTTCTAAACAAGGATCAGATTCCAGATCAACTGGAGGCCTATCAAGACCCAAATACGCTAATAGTCCTTCAGGTCCTCCGGACACTATACTTTGAATTTTTTGCCACATCAATTGACACGGTTCCAAAATATGATTAATTAGTCGAGTCTGTTTTTCATAATCTGGAATATGGTTATTGAGTACTAACAGAGCTTCTTGCAAACGTAAACAAATGCTTAAATGATCCCCAGCTTTATTAGTCTTCACGTACAATTGATCGCTTAATGAGCACAGCTTATCAAAAACTGGCAATAAGAGATTTGGAAACTTAATACTAAGTTTTATAAACAAAGATGCTGAATGAAACCTTAAGTTCTTAATTGGAGAATAAAGTTGATCTTCTGGATGACATTCTAGTATTAAATATTCATACATTTTATTTAGAGTTGCATGCAAATACTCTGACGGCCAAGAAGTCGCAGTTAAGAACATAAACAACGCTGAGACAGACGAAAGAAGAAATGATAAAATCAACGGATCCCTTGTATCAAATTTTAAACACAATTCTATTAATTTTAAACCTCTCTGAACGATTTCCGAGTCTGGAGTCAGTGATAATTTACTAACGACTCCATCCAATATTAATACAATAACTTCCCATTCAAAAAACTCTGCAGAGTCTGTTTCGCATATTGAAATTACTTTCATTCGAGTAGATGTCTTTTCCATACATGTTTTGAGCAAGTTTTCAGTAACTAAGAACATTACATCATTTTCAACAACAGAAGCGTTCCTGATTGTTTCAATTATTTCTGCTCGACAATGGTAAAAAACACTGTTATAACTTTCTTCATCTGTGAAATCGAGTAATGAGAATGGATCTAAGTTTTTGTAGTCTATTTTAATTAACTTTTTTGATGACAACAAAAACCACTTGGGAATGTAATTCTGCTGCAACAAAACTTTCTTACAAATGTCTGGGTGTTTATAAAGCGTACACCAAGCTTGGTTAATATTTGAAACAATATTCATAGAATTATGGTCCAGCGAAACAAGTAACAGTTCAATATAATATATAAGTATCTTTTCAGATTCTTCAACAGTAAAATTATGAAGTTTGTTGTCTTTCCAGAAGGCACATAAAACTGAACTTAACAATGATACGACTTTAGATAACGTTTTTAAAAATAAATTGTTTTCTTCACTAGCTTCTTGACCCATAGCCTTCAGCATAACCATAGAAAGTTGTTGTAATGGTTGTTCAAAAAACTTTATAACACATTCTCGTTCATCGTTCTTACATTTTCTTGATAATAGTATGGCCAAACATTCGACGGCTGGTTGTCTGAAATTAATATCGTCTAATAGCGAACATAACACTGTGATTATATAACACTCCTTAAAAGTCGCATGTGAAAGTTGAATAAACTCGAATAATTCACCAATATTTGTTAATGCTAACTGTATAACTTTTATTAAAGTGGTAGCTGCGTTCTGTTCATTTCTACTTAGATATTCTAAATATTGTCTACAATGCGTATCAATTACATTAAGAAAAAATGGAAATATTTTTGACATGTTTTGCTGCAACTCCTTGCTGATATCTCGCCTTCTGGCTGCATTGTCAACAGTTTGAAGTATAACTACATCTTCAATCAATCGAAGAAATATCAACATTACGGTTTCTGTTTGAAAACATCCTAACGTGGTGGCAAATTCTAGTTCGTTTAACATTTCGGGCCAATGTTGTGGCCATTCTCTTTTGATCATTTCTACAACTACTCTAGCGAGGGCGTCTTTAAGGTAATTTGTTTGCAATGCAGGTGTAGCGGAATTAACAAGATTCATAATTGTGTCTTTGATAAGTAACTTTTCATCTTGCCCCATCTGATACCAGCGAAACTTAATGCAATGTTCCATAAGTTGTAGACCAAAATGACGTACCATCGTAGTATATGGTGCGTTATCACTGGTGAAGTACAAGGCACACTCACATTGAACGCGGAGCGGAAATTCATTTTTAAAGCTGTCGCACAAGCGATAAGCCTCATGGCGTTTGTCTTGAGGCATTGATGGATTCATAGTTAGGTCAACAGCGTGGGCAAGCTGCTGAACTACAGCTTCAATAGGCATTTCCACATTCATGGTAACTTTGATCTGAAATAAGAAAAAACGGGGTTTAGATTTAATTATTGTTAATGTTAATAAATTAGGTATAGCTGCAACACTTACAAAATTGATGGTAAAATAGTTAACTCAGAATATGGATTATTTTTAGTTAGCTCGGTATGCGAGTGTAGTACATTTTAATTTAAATATTTTGAAAAAGAGATAATAATTAGAAAAATTGAGATATGCAATATTTTTTTGATAAAATATGGCTGTATTTGTTAAAAAAGTTTGAAAAGTCCTAATTGTCTAGTGTTTAAAATAAAAATTTTAACGAACCATTTAATTTACCAATTTTTTTGTACAATTTGACGTTAGGATTTTAAAGTAGAATGTAAAATATTAAAAATAACTGATAAATCAAAAGACAATTTTTTTAAATTAATAGTAAATGTACTTGATCTGGTAGGTTATTTTTTTGGTGTGACTATTTATTTGTGTTAAAATTTTTTTTTAAAGGATTTACATATAAATATTAAAATGTAATTTTAATATTAACTTTATTTTTTACATAATTAAGTATTTTATTTTGTAGTATATCGGTAATTAATTAGTATAATAAAAAATCAATGATAACATATTAATATTTTACAGTTTGTTTAGTTTTTTGAAGTAAAATACTCATAATATTTATTCGTGAAGATTTGAAATAAAAAAATCGAAATTAAGAAACTTTAAGATTAATGAAATAAGATACTCACATGTTTCAAAGTTTAATTCTGCAACGTTCATTTAAAAGTCGCCCATCGTTTTTCCTGAGGCATGCACTAATGACAACTTTATGGCAAATGATTAAAATTAAAATATTTAAAATATTTAATCAAATAAAATAAAATCACTTTAAAATTAGATTATTCAAAATAATGACAATTATTATATAGTGACAACTCGAGTGTTGGCAAAGTTAGTTGAAAAAAAATCATCCGCATGTTCGTCCAACAGACGTGTTATCACCCGACCCGATAAATGTAAACATTAAGCCAAAAAAACCACAAACCGTCAGATAGGTATCTAAAATATTTCCAAAGAGAATATAAATTAAACATTCAAGGCATATTCTACATTATGTCGTAGAGCAAGCTAAAATATGTAAACTGTATTAGCCATTAGCCGGTGATGTAATAATAAAGAATGTATTAATTTACTATTTTAGCAAATCAAATTTTAGAAAAAAGTAAAAACAAAATGTTTGTATGTTTAGTTTTCACATACTGCATTATTATTTATTTTTAAGAATAATTTCCTATTTACCGGATAAAAATTAAAAATTAAAATAGTTTGGTATCAGGCATTATCGCATGTTGAAGGTACCGCTACTTCTAAACATATTTTACATCGATTTCGCGTTACAAACATTTGTTTATAATATTGTATAACATGTATTATGATTTATATTTAATGATATATAAAATTAATATAAATAACATGTATATTAGTAAAATAAACATGTTATGTTTATTTTACTAACAAATATCAAATCGAGTAATGCCAGGAGGTACATTACTAACGATTTGCATTATACATTAATAGGCGATCTATGCGTTTTTCCATTGATTAAGTATACATTTTATAACTATTGGATTTACCAAAAAAAAAAAACAATAATTTACCATTTATTGTACTATACATTTAATTTAGATATAATATGTTATTCAAATTACGTAGGTTGGAACTACTAATTAAACTATATAAAAGCATACTAGTTAAGTATTTAATTATATTTAATATTTAACTATTATAACAGTTTAAGTAAACAGCTTAATATCGCATAGACTTGTCTGAAAATGTTCGTTATTAGCGACAGTTGTTTTTTCGAAAAAATAGCCAAATTCAAATGCAAATATCTTTGTGAACACCAAATCGTATACTATTCGACTTTTGAAACTTGATTTTTTTACATATACCTAGGTACCAACTCGACAAAAAAACTTCTTCGATTTTTTATAATTTTCTCATATCAAGTATCAACCCGGGTTGAAGCTACAAATATGGATGGGTTTTTTTTAATGAACCATGTTTTATTTGACAAGAATACTGAGCACTTACCTCGAATACCTCAAGTATTTAAAAGTTTATTTAGCTACAAAAAAATAATAATGGCGCTATATCTCTAGACAATGTGGAGAGTTAATTTTATAAATTTGCATTCAAAATAATGCTTTCATTTTTATTGGAGTTACATTACGATTTACAGGACTGTATAGCGTTAGTATTAAATTATTATTATAAATATTTGAGTATATTTTATAGTATATTGCTTAACTTATTTAATAGCTATATTAGCCCCGTATTTAGGGTAGCTTAGTATTTAGTACAGGAGTTTAAATGACACACACCGTAAGTACGTTTTAGTAATATTATTTGTATAGTATTCGTACAACGTAGGAAAAAACCCCTATTATACCTTTTCATGTTCAAAAAGCAATGGTTAAATATATTTTATATAGAAAAGTAATATTACTAATAGTAATTAGTGTCAACCTCCTTGTGATCAAACATAAGACACTCCATCCCCTTTGACATAAGAGTAGTATGCTTACTGAGACGACAGATTTTTGAAAACCACGGCTTTTAAAAAAACAGTTTTCGATCAGTATTTTAATGTTTATTTTTATAATTATTATTTACATAGTATCTAATAAGTACAAAGTATGAAAATATTTAAACGTAAATACATAAAATTATCTAATACTATTTAATACGCCAATTCATCACGTGTCAAACCTAACCCTTCGTCGGGTGTCCACCTTGACGCGGTGGAAGGGCTTCTTCATCTCTAGGACCCCAAGGGCTACTATATAGCAACGGGTTACCCAACGCTAGTAGGCTGAAGGTGAGAGATGCGACTAAGAGCCACCCCGGGTAGGCGAGCCCGTTAGTCTGGTAAGACGATCGCCTAGGGGAGGGCATACCCCGACAGAAAACCTGGGCTGACGGAGCCTGCAGGTCCTCGGACTACCGTCTAGGTGAGGGCAAACACCGATAAAAAAACTGTGGGTAGGCAGGCCCAATAGCCGACAAGGCGACTGCCGCCGGTCGTGACCTTAACTGGTTGAGGCCGTCAATGGGAACCAACCCGCCCTTCGCTCATGAGCCCTGCAGATATGCAGGGCAGCCACGAGATAATCCGTACCCCCGGGACGAATAAGTGGTGGCGACAATGGGGTTATGTCGGGAGGACGGTCAGCTACCGGCATCTTGGATGATCAGACTCGTCCCGCGATGCCCGCGGAGTTGCTCTTAACCGGGTGGCTCCCTGGGGTCGCGGGGATTGGAACACGGAACACGGACAGCTGGAGAAACCTGACAGAAGGTAAAAACTGCATTTGAAAACAAACAACATGAAGCACAACAATATGAATAACAAAGCTCCTGGAGCCCTCCTGACGGGAGGGGTCGGACTCCAAGGAACGGCAGTTGGGGGTGGCACGCCCCAAAGGTCGGAAAATCAAATCAGCAGCCTAGCTGCTGGTAGCCCTGCGCCGGGGGTGGTCAACAAGGCCCCCGGTCCGGATAATGCTACTGGCAACGGAGGAGGTGCGAGCAGTGGAGTCGTGTAGGTACAACGTAAAACGTACACAATAATCAACCGAGACGTCATATTTTACACAAAAAAATAAGTGGTGTGGAATCTCAAAAGAATGTTATTTGCTTTATATAAATTATGTATTAATAGCAAGAAATTTCAGGTAATAAGTAGGAACAGTTTTTTAAACAAATAGAATTCTAAAAACTACAGTTTTATGGGAAACTGCAAGAGACAAATTTTATAGGTTCTTTCTTATTCTTTCTTTATTTTCATTTTAAAAGCGACCGTGCAACTTTCTATACACGTGTATTTTAGTAGATCACCAAAACGAACTGAGCTTATTTGGGGAAAAGGTTTTACGTTGACTAAAAGTTATGAAACTCGGTAGAATTACTATTCAAGAGCAGTAGCTACTATTAGTATTTAGTACCTGCACATTTTAAAGAATTACAAAAATCGATATCATGTGTAACAGACAAGGTAGACTGGGATCGAGTTCTATAAGTACGGCTTATGTATTATTGTATAAATTATCAAGTTTTTTTATCAAATATTAATGTTTATGTAAATTAATATTTAATATCAATGTTTTCGGATCATATATCTTTGAAAATTCAAACAAAATGTACTGCGGACGTAGAAACTTGCATAAATTAAATAAAAAAACTTATCTACGCAATTATCAGCCATGAGAATTAAGAAATTACCAAAATAGAGAATTGTGAATACCTACTAAATGTTGCACATGTGCTATGGAGTTAAACAATGAACTTATATAATCAGAAAAAGATGTTGATAGCCTGAAAAATCTGACGTACCTATGAAAATATTTTGGTCTCAAAAATTGTCCGGAAATTAATAACCTGATATCAGTTTATCACTTGTATACAACTTTATCAATGGTATTCAAGGTCTATTGTGCCCTTTCCTTTATCGGTTATCTGTTATCCTATTATATTTATATATGTATTTTATTATTATTGTCTATCCCTCCTATTGCGTAACTATCATATATTCTTGAAGTAGGTAACAAGTAGGATGAATAGTGATAATATGTTTTTATTGAACTACAGTCCATAATATTAAGAAATGACGTTTATTGTTTAATTAAAACTAACTAAAATTCAACTCGAGTGCGATGTGCGTAAATTCGTATGATCAAACGATAGAATTTTTTATACATGAACATCGTTAAAATTATTTTTTCTTTGTTATTTTAATTATATGCTATTTAAGTTGAAACAAACGTACCTAGTACAGATTTTATAGTCATGTCAATATTTGAGAGCTCCACTACCCTCAAGGAAAAAGTGGACGATACTCATCCGTTTAAGTGCAAAATTCTCAATAATCGAAATACTAATGGCTTTACGGTAAGTAGCTGATAACTATAAAAGCTTTGTTTTATTTTTCTCGTATCTGATCTAATCATAATAACAATTATTGTTTTATTACATTACAATACAGGAGTATGTGATAGAAGTTACTCGTGTCAGTTCCCAAGACTGTTCTTGGAAAATATTTAAGCGATATAGTGATTTTGTAAAACTTCAAAACTCGTTAAATAAAATTTCCAGCAAAATCAATTTGGATCTGCCACCAAAAAAATTTATCGGCAACATGGATCGTAAACTTGTGATACAAAGACAAGACGCATTACAAGTAAGAAAAACAGTTCTGAGTTATTTATGCCTCCTACTTGTAAGTGCTGTAAATAAAACCATTTAGAAACTAATTTGTTTTTATGTAGTTTTACCAATTTCCTATAAGAATAAAAAAATGAGTAGAAACCAACAACACCTAAGTGAATATGCTGTACGTACAATTTATATACCACATTTAATAAGAGTATTAAAAAATGTACTGTATTATTGTCTATAAACCATAAAAGAAACATTCAATTTCATAAAATTGCTTCTTGTAGATACAGCACTTGCCGCTAGGAAGACAGTATCAGAGTTGGGTATTAATTCACAACAAATATTTTATTGCATCTTCTAATTTTTCACCCGAGAAAAAACGTTTGGCACCGACAAACAAAAAAACACTACGATTAACTGTAAATAAGAAAATAAATCTCCAAAGACCTAATTTAAAGACAACTTTTTTTTATTTTAAGTTTATAAATTATGAATCTTCTTAAGGTTTATATTTAATTTATTTTATTTTATTACAGAATTGTTTAGACATAATGGTTGATAACATCATGTTAGCAAATTCATTACTAGTTAGAAGCTTTTTGGATCCAGAAACATATGCAGGATATTGCAAAGGTAATTATTTATATTTCTACTATTGTTGTTGGGTTAATTCATAGTTGTCCTGTTCAATTTAAGGTTAGGACTCTAGGTTGAATTTGAATTTTTACAAATCTCTTAGTAACTTTATGTCAATTTATGAAATTTTTTTACACAACTTTTTTTTGATATATTATTATCATAACTATTTTTTAATCAATATATTTGGTCATGTGTACAGTACACAATTAAAACATTGATGACATTATATATAGTGTAGTTGTATTGATAAACTTTGATTGTGAATCGACGTCTTCAGAATAACGTTTAGAAAGCCTTGTAGCTCATGTCTCACATATTCATGTCACACACCCAGTGGACCACGGCCTGGTGTCTCTTTCCTTTCTTGAATATCGGCCTTATCTTGTCCTTGGCCTCGCTCTCGGTTATTCTCAGCTCTGGGTTTTGCCTAGCTATCATGGTCAGAATATCATTGGAAACCATGGCCGTGTCCACTCCCTTAATAATGACGGCCTACTTCTGGTAAGATTGATTTGAATGTACTGGATCATTTTTATGTGGTTGGTTCCTGTGCCTCTTGCCTAAGCACCTCTAATCATATTATACTGCACGACTGAAATGGGCGTAGCGGTCCCCATTACGTCTCTGATGCGGCGCTCATATACACTGTGTAACATATAACATATAAGATGCCATCGAAATAATAACGAGTCGTTGTCGTCATGCAAACGTTTTGGCCAGAACATATAATTAAGATTATACTATCGCCATAAATCGCAAGGATATTATGGATCAGAAATAATCACTATTCAGGAGCTAGCAGGCTAAAGCATATTCCATGTTTTATAATTTTAGCCTAGTATACTAACTTTTTTTTATTTATATTTTTACATTGTTAAACACAATGTTTGTTACTAGAACTCATGAGTTTTTTTTATAAATAAATCCTTTTATTTTCACGAGTGTAGTTGTTGTATTATTAATAATTTTATATATAGAGCTTATTTAAATTTTGAATTTCACTTAAAACTAAACAAGAATTTAAAATTTATTCTTTGTCAAGGTTTTTGTAATTATAAAATTTTAGTTCTTAATCTTGAAAACCTTGTAAGCACTATTGCAGATTTTTTTATGTAGAGAGCTTAGTTAAATAATTCTGCATTCTTTGTGTCATTACTCATCAATCAATGTACGTTTTTTATTGGCAGAACTACTATTTTAAGTTAGCAATAAATTTTATGTTGTGTTATAAATTCTCTATAATAAGTAACTAGTTGTATTTCAACTCATGTGTAATAAAAAAAAAAAAGGAAATACTCATATATGGTAGCCTTAATATATCCTTGAAATGGTGCATACACATATTAGTCCCACATAGTAAATATTAATTTTTAAATAGTATTTTCACAAATATTACTATATTCTGGCCCATGAGAAAAGGAACCCCTGTAGAAGCAAAAACATGTTTTTCCTGACTCCGCAGGCGCTTACAGAAGTAATGCATTTTAGTCTATGCCTTCTCTCAAAAAATAATAAATAATATTACTTATTATTTTTGTTTTATATGAAATTTCGTTCTTCAAAGTATTATTATTCGAAATTTGTGGTGTTACCTCATAATTAACATCATAAGAATTGACTTATAATTCATTTTCCAAAAAAATAAAATCGTCATAATATTTTGGCATTGTTTTATAATATAATAATGATGAAGTTCCAAAAATTATTTATGCTTGATGTATTTCAGAGTCTCACCTTCAAAAAGTCGGGATGGTCCTCAGAGGTAATAGAGAATTTGAGTTATCCAAAGAACTTCCAAGTATTGGATGGCGTTTACGAAGAAAATCGTTTTTATCTAAATGGAAAAAAGATCCTAAACAAGAATTTTTGTTATCGTGGACCGAAAATGGTCCTGATTTAATATTAAGACAACAAGATTTAAATTCCGTACTCAAGTCAATTTCTAGTATTATAGTAAGTTGTATTTAATTCATTTTACATTGAAACTGGCCAAGACGGAAAAAAATAAAAAAACCGAATAATTGGATAAAATAAGTTTGTGTGTCGTCTCACCAAACTGCACATTCCATGTATATTTTACTAAATAAGAAAGAAAACCGGTTAATTTAACATCTTGTTTCGATCCTATATGATTCCATCTTAGACAGGTTTTACTGTACTTTCAATTTTTATTCAACCAATATTACAAATCAATGTATACATGATTAAAATAATACATTTTAAAGTTGTTATTATTTTAAATTTAGCATCCCCTCATAGACGTTCCTGTGATACTACCAAGTCCCGAAGCATACACATTGTCCATACATAATATTCAAGTTGGCAGTTTAAGAGACCTTCTTTACCAGACAACTCCTCTACAACCCTTTTTAAAGAAATACTGGGATGTTTCAACTCATATATACTTGCCAGACCAAACTATGAGATCTTTAATTAAACAGATTTTGTATGGACTTAAGTTTTTACATGACAACCACATCCCCTATGGTAAGATATATATATATATATATATAACGTATAGAGTATATACTTTTACTATTTTAAATTATTTGTTTTTTAGGCCACTTGCATTCTGGGAACATAATAGTCTGTGATATTGAAAACATTAAATTGACTGGAATTGAAAATAGTTCGTTGGGTTTGTCGTCATATTATCGGTCATTTTTAGTACAACTTGGTAAAAAACGTATTCAAAGTTTGAATGATGCCGATATTTATGGGTTTGGCCATATTTTGTATGAATTAACAGAAAACGAACCTTTAACAAGGCCATCCTGCGAATTTTTCTCACAAAAAACCCCAATAAATTTGAGTAAGTATTTATTTTGTAATTTTCTAATTTAAGAGGTTCATTAGTTTTCAAATATTTAATATTACATCATACCATTGTTTAGCAAAACAAATGAAAACTATACTGGCGCCTTCTTCGTCCAAACCAATGCCTGATGTTAATGATGTAATAAAAAATTTTAAACATGCACGAATAATAGACGATCAAAAAGACGCATCGTTTTTTCAATGCAAAATACCAAGTGTCATTCAACAACAATACAAACGAGTTGCAAACAAATGTATTTCTAGGTTATTTGAAGACCAGAAAAAAGTAAATTGGTTTTTTTATGACTCATCCGATTGTGGGAAAATAATTTAATTAATTTTTTCATCTAGTTTAGTTATAAACATATTATCTTTTTTTTTTTTGGCTTTTTTTTTCTTATAAAACTATTAATTAAAAAAAATTAATTTGTTTTGTTTGAAATAAAACATTTTTTATCTATTAAATTTCTTATAAAAAATAAGTTTAACTGTAAACAAATAATTTGAAAACTTCTCTAAAAAAAGAAAATTAAAATAATTTATTTGATTATAAAAAAAAAAATAGCATTTTTCTGTCATGATTGGATTAGTTTTCAAGTACATCAAATGATAAATGCCCACAAGCTTTTTAAAAAAAATGGATATTGTTACATATGTTATAAAAAATATTATTTAAATCCTAAATAAAAATGACTTTGAATTGGTTAAGATAAAAAATAAAAACAAAAAAGCTTTTTTTGATGAGTAAGAAAAATTGTACAAAAGTCAAATGCTGTACAGTTTGGCGTGAAATACCCTATTTATATTAATTACTATTTAGTTTTGGCTTGGACCTGTTAACTAATTATCATAAATAAATTAAATAATTACTGAGTAATGTTTTTTTTTTGTTTTTGTAGTTTTCGTTAGAAAAACGTAACAAAAACATGAAAGATAAAATAAATAAAATGTTTGATGATGAAATTTGTCCCAAAAATTTTGTAAGTATTATTTTTATACTTATTTCGTATCATATTAATTTATACTTTTCTTTATAATACTTATATATATATATATATATATATAAGCTTTCTTTTAACCTTGTTTTGTTTGATTTTTGTTATTAGAAGTTTTGCTCTATTCAAAATGTAAATATGAATGAAAATACTAATAGGTCACATAGTTCGAGCAGTAATAGTACATTGACATCACTTGGATCTGATACACAAACAAATAGTGAGTGTGTTATTACAAAAGTACTTTTGGGATTAAGGTTTGAATACATTTTTACCAACCCTATGCGATTTTTATTTTTAACACATGTTCTTTTTTATTCCAAAAATGATGGTGAAATAAGATTTTTGACGGACAAGCTTAGTATTTAAGTTATAAGCAAAACATACTTTTTATAGTTTTTAGAAGCCTAGTGTAAACCCAGTGTGTTTACATTTTTTTTTTAATTATTGGTGTTATACTGGAGGTTATCACAGGTCATTGAAAGATGTGCAGTATGTCATGTTTTTGGACTCTTCACTGATTCCATTTATAGTCAGTCATCAAAATCAGCATGAAGAACGTTTTCTTAATAAATGTTTGTTTTTGATTATGATAAAAAAACAACTAATAATAATCATTTTAATAATATCATATTTTTCTATTAATAAATATATTTAAATAATTTTCATTGTCTGAACTGGTTAAGTAGTTAAATTACTCAGAAGAATTTTCGATTTCAATATCAAACTTTTCGGGTTTTAGGGTTATAAAGGTCATCAGCTAATTAAAAAAAATAATTTTAGTGTACAAAAATAAATAGAATAAGATATATTAAAAGTAGAATAATACTGAACTTCTTAAACGTCGACATAAAGATTAAACATCTATACATGATAAATAGCTATATATATGTTGTATATTGTACATTATTAATTACTACTATTCTAAATCGGTAATCAGTTTATAAATTACACTAGATAAATTAAAAATAACACACAATCAAACACCGGATGACCTATTCACCTCCACTGTTTTTAACCAATAACTCAAAAATTAATTATGCTAGGAAAATTCTGATTTGCCAACAATATTTAAATCAAAAGACGAGTAGATTAAAAAAAAAAATGTTTTTGAGAGTTTATTTAACTTAAAACTACAAAAATGTAGTTTTTAATTTTTAAAGTAAGTCTGAAAAAAATTGATTATATAACATGAATAACATGAGTTGGAAAAAAAAAATTGTAAGGGTAGGTAAAATGAATTTCTTCTGGGTTTGAATTGTATATTAATGGTTAAAAGGCTATTTGCTGTAAGCAACACTCGCAGTAAGGGACATGAGCTGAAGCCTGTAAAAGGCTATAAAAGTTATTTTGCAGTATTTCTTCGTAGTTAAATCATTTATAATTTAGCTAACATTTGTTAATTTTTAAAATTTGTAAGGTATACACAGTCATCTGTAAATTAAATTGTTTTTCTGCTCAGCGGAAAAGTAGGGAAAACGACGTTTGCAGCAAGTCGCACTTTTTAACTGTCGAAAGTACAGTATTAAATATTATTATGTATTTTTTTTTTATCATTTTTATACCATAAAACTTATGTATTGTGTTTAGATCTTTCTTATTTTCTGTAAAAAAGTACAGGAATATTGTTAATATTTTTGTCTTAACATTTTTCTAGATGTTGCTAATACAACTCTTACAGCCAGTTATCCGCCGCCTCCACCTCCGCCACCTCCATCAAACACAGTAACTAATTCTCCTGAGCCCTTACCTCAGACAAGTTACCAGAGAACGGCTCTTTTATCATCCATTAGTTCGTTCAATCCAAACAAATTAAAAAAAGTGGCCAAATAGTCAAACTTAGTAAAAATTAGGTGGTTTTTTTGCTTGCCAACAAAATATTTAATTAAATAAAAATTGTTCCTAAGAATACTATAAAAAAAAAAACTAGTTCTTAAAACTTCTTTTGTTTATTATTTATTTTTAAAAAATCAATCTTATTCATGTGTTGTTGAAGTGCGGAGGTTTTTTTTGTTTTACTATCAAAAATAAACTGAGTATTTTGTTAAAAACATTTTATTAAATGTTAATTATTGTGTTATCATTTTTATTAACATTGATAGTTTTCAAGTAGTTTACTGTAAGTTATCAACAATTCGTGTTGTTATTTATAAATATAAAATTGCAATAATATTTATTTCAGTAATACTTTAAGTTTTGGTTTTGCCATTTAATAGCCTCTTAAGTATTTGCTACTCAACTATACATTAGTATAATGTAATTGTATACCTATTATTGAGGTCCTCGATAAAAACCTAAATAAGTACATGTTATATATATATTTTTGTTTGTGATTATAATCATCATAGTAAATTTCAAACTTATTTTGTTAATCGTTTATTTATTATTAGTTGATGAAATGTCTAATGTTAAATATTTTTTCTAAAGAGTAGCTATATTTTGTTAACCATTTTATTATATATTTTTGTATTGGATATTATTATTAGCAAATAATTGAGTTTATTGTTGACGTTTGGTAAATAAGAGATTTATTTGCTGATTTACGTTACCTATTGTATAATTTATTAATATACATTGTATTTTATTTGTTATTATAGCAGTCAATATTGAATACATTTATTTATATATGTATATCCTCTTTTTACCAACAATAACATTCTGAGTGAAGCTGTACTTTTAGCTGAAAAATTGGATGTAAAAGTACAATTTACCAACAAACAACAAAAAGTAATAAGAAAACTATTTGTCGAATTATCTTTAGACATAGACTTATTAAAAACTTTAAAATTTGGCCTAGACACAATTACTAATAGGTGTTTTTATATTATCTACATTTTGAATAGTACTTGGTTTGAAATTAGTGTTGGATATTTGATTTAATATGTCGTTTGTGGTGCTTGGATAAAAATTCGTTGAAAATATTAATTTTTGATGTGTAAACATCTTTACGCGCGGTACGATGTTTTGGGTAGGAGTAAATTTGTGCAAATACCGGAAGTAGGTAACGGAAATAGGGGTAACGGAAGTAGAACTAGCGGATGTAAATTTGACCGGTAAACGGAAGTAATCATTTCGGATATATGTCCAATGGTACCAGGGGTGTATGTTCTATGCCCACCATACGCGTAGCTGTACAACGAACTCTTTACCGACAACGTTTGATAGCTAGCCTAGGCAAGACTAGGCTAAGCTAGCCTTTTTGACAACTACGAGCCACGCTGCGCCGCCCGTGGTTGATCGCTGTATATTATACATATTCTATCCGCGCATCTTAACCTAGTACCAACAAGTTACAATCTGTATATTACCCTGACGGAAACAACACAGATATTGATGTGACAGATGGGATTAATTCGTGACAGGTTGTAAAGAAATGACAATGTAAAATATACTAAAAAATTACGCTGAACCAATTTTGACGGTACCTCTGTATTTTTCATAAGACGGGCTTCAACCTATTGTCAATACTATTTTGTTATTTATATTGTCATCACCTAACAAGACAAGGGTTAAGTTTAAAGTTGTTTTATCTAATAACTTTATTACTATTGAAATGTAAAAATAATAATTATATTGTATAAGTAAAATTTTAATGTACAAGTAAGTATTTTATTAATTAAATAAAATAAATAATTAAAATAGAATAGAAAATTAGAATTAGGTAATATACTTAATATAATATTTTATAATATGTATATTGTACATTTTATAGACCGTAACAAAAAATGATTAGGTAATTATTTAATACAAAATTATAAATGAAATTCGAATAAACAGTGATGATATAATTAGATAAAAAATTAGAAAAAAAACAAAAAAAATTGTTTTCGTTGATTTTAATTGATATATTGTGCTTAAGAAATAAAATTGTATCCATTTAACTAAATTAGATGCATCGACAAGTGCGTAACGCAGTACTGTAAGAGACTCTCACGAACCGGAGTTCCAATCCGTTTAATTCGAACATTTTTTTAGTTTTTTCTGTCTTTACTTTCACGCTATTTCTTTGTGTGGTTAAATTTAAATAATTAACAACTACATCTCATTGCTATTAAAAAAAAAAAAAATTATATAGGTATATTTATATGTTTAGGCCGTAACGTAAAATAAATAAACTGGGTTCGATTCCGATTCACCTTAAACATATTTTTGTAACATTTAAGCTATGCCTAACACATACGCGGAACAACAAAACAAATACGATGAGCACCATAAGGCCAAAAAAATAAGACTGGAACCAGCTTATACCATCTTGTACCAAGTACCATCTACGAGTGCAGTGTTCATACAACATGATTCTCAAGAGAGTAGTAAGAAAAATAATTTTTTAATTATCTAGTATAAATTTCATATTTTATACAATAAGTAAATAAGTTGATTAGAAAACCAAACATTGGAAAACTAGATCGTTACATAAATAACCAATAGGTAATAAATAACTTGGATTTCGATCCCGTGTCACACAAAAAAACAACTTTTGTAACATTTTAGCTATGCCTAAGACAAACGCGGAAAGACAAAAAGAATTCAAAGAGCGCCAAAAATCTATTTTCAGAACTTCTCAAGTAGCATCTACTAGTACTTCCACTACATTGTCAATAATGTATCCTCCAGATATATCCCATTCGCCTCAATAAATGTTATCAACTTCATCAGAACTTGAACAATCGTTAGAAGATAGAACTACTATTGAAACTTCAGAATATATCACTGTCGCCTCATATGATGAATATTATATACATTCCAAAGCTCACGCTCAATTTAAATCGAGGTTCTTAAACAATAACTTTGGTGCTGTATGTAGTGTAGTGATAGACTGGATATGATAACGAAAAAACTCCACTGCTCCACATTGTTCAAAAGATATTCTTTTATGTGAATTTCCTGGTATTAACATCGAATCATCTCTTGTATGTAGTACTTATTATGCCACACTTAAAAACTAAAAATGTTTACACATAACTATTGTGAGTAATTTCCACGGCTCAATCGGTTTTTTTTATGATAATAAAAGACTTGAGAACTTCTAGGATATACCAGCCGATTTTTTACACCAGTTTTCTCTTAAAATTGTTGAAATTTAGTTAAGTTTTTATTTTTAAAACAATTTTTTAATATTCAAATTTTTATATTTGCAGTATTTTTTTAGAGCTTTATCGACATTTGAAACTTAAATGGCAACACAAACATTTCATTAACTTTTTAAATTGAGAATAATGTACTACAAATTTAGGATAAGAGTTGATTAATCTTAAAAACTTAAGAACTTAAAAATGATTATTCAAAATGTATTATCGAACAATGTTTTTAGTAAATTATTCTTAATTTAAAATTTTAATTAAACACTTATATAGTTAACTAATTAAATTTATAGTTTTAAAGGTCGATAAAGCTCCAGAAAATTTCAAAAAAAAAAAAGATAAAAATTTAAATAGTGTTCAATATTGTAGTAAAAAATGTTTTCAAAAATAAAAACTAAAAAATTACAATTATTTTGAGAGTGAACTAATGCAGGGCTCACCCGATAAAATAATAAATACATTTTCCTACAATATACCTATATAGTTATAAGGAATTGGTGTAAAATAATATTTTATAAAATAAAACACAATTTTTTTCATGAAATTTATGGGTTTTTTTCTTTTTATGCGCAATTTTAGAATTTATGAGTTGGAAATTAGTCTTAGAAGATAAGTCTAACATATACGAATACGGCACTCAAAAAAGAAAAAGTAACACATATGTTATTTAAAAAAAACATATTATATACTTATTTATATGCTGGCCAATACTCTTAATATAGGTACATGTGTATTAAAAACGGCTTGTTTATATCGTAACTGTTATTATTGATGTTAATATTACATTTGTATCACCGCACCGTTTCAGTGTAAAACAACATATTTCTCCAAACCGTTTTTGCTAATTTTTCCTGTTTCAAAGGATTTCTTACAGCTAATACAATATGTATAAGCTATATTCTACGGTTTCTGTGTTGATGGTCGTTGTGTTGATTGGAACAACGCGCCAGTCAGCACTACACGAAATCATTTGGAATTTGACGATGGACAGCCGCCATTTGCACTGCAGTGTAGATATGATTTCCTACCCGGGTTCTTGCATGGTGTTGCCCGAAGTCAAAAGCCTTGACAAAACTTCTCTTATTCAATGCGGAAAACCGGATTCGTCGAACCTGCAGGTCCACACACAAGTAATAAACTTCTCTTAGAAATTTACATATTATTTTGTTTTTAACAGTTATATACCTACCCCACCGACCAGAACTTGTAAGTGTAAAATTAATTTTTTAAATTTAACTCTATCGCTGTATTCTTCAAATGTATTTAACAGGTTGTTGGAACGACCTTACTGGCTGGCATCCAGGAAATAGGCAAAGGCCTATTCGCAAAGGTGCGTTACGCAGTTGTGGTCAGTGCAACAGCTATTGTGCTGCTTTTTGCTAGTATTGTAATACTGGTTCTCTTATTCACGGCTATTGCACCTTTGCTACTTATATTGACTTCTTATGCACTGTTGCTGAAACTGCTGACTATCATGGTATTTCTGCCGCTGTTTCTAGTGTGGATAATCGTCAGTGTCATTGTAGTTTATATCGTTATTCATTTGAAACTTTCACATATCATATAATGTTATCATACATAAACAATTTTCGCAAAACTTATATTATTATTGTATAAACTAATTGTATACACTCCAAGCAGCTGTACACCACAGCCATGGTGCGTAACCCGTCTTATACAACTTGTAACACAAACTATATAATATTGTAAAATTAAATGATTTTGTATTTCACAAGTTTACTGGTTTGTTTTTTTATGCAAATATATTTTTTAGTAATATCGCATGTTATCGGATCGTTTTTAATAATACCGTTATACAACAGAACATATGTAGTGAAGCTATTTTTAGATACCGTCGACAATTACTTTTAACTTCAACTCAATACTTTTACTGACATTTGAAAAAAACGCTTTTACATTCGCCCCACTTAACCCTACCTGTACCACGTGGTGGCGGTTAGGTTAGTATTAAAACCGTACATTAAAAAACATTTGAGTAGAAAACCACACTAAGCAAACGAAACTCAATTTGTTACTAAAACTTTTCAAATCGTTGTTTACCCAGAGTAATTGCTTTTGCAGTGTGTGTCACAATATTCTTTCAGCTGTGCGGTAGTACGCGACGGCCCATGATCTTAAGATTGTCTTAAGATAGGTACGTCATAGTAATATTATTATAAGGAAATATTGTTTAGAGGATTATACGCTATCATCGCCGACACGACGACGTTGTGTTTTTTTTTCGTGTCCTGATCGATTTTTAATTTAACTCAATTATTCCAAAATTAGTTGGCGACAGGCGAATTTTTCCCCCTCAAAATGTCTACATAATAAGTAGTGTAGACCGGTCAGAGTCCGATTTTGGTTTTGGCGCCCAATTTCGAAACACAAACGCAATAATCATAATAATTATCACCGTCATTATATCATTGCGACCGGCAAGGTCGACACGATTTTTTTCGAATTTGACTAAACGCTAGAGTATTTTAACAATCTTACGAGCTCACTTATAAAACACACTATTTTTCTAAAGAAAAATTACACGTCGCATAGATTGTAGAACATACTATTGCCTAAGCTATTTGTGGAAGACTGGAAATGGATAAGAGGGAGTTTTTTTTATAGGTTTTAGCATGCAGATAAAGCACGTTGCAGTATGAACAAGTCCTTGGTCCTTGTTTTCGACGTAGGGATGAAGTGATAAAATGTTTATTTGAATGGTATTAGAAACGGATAACATTGACATAAACAAGAAGGTGAAATAAGGGAAGCGAATATGTAAAGTACCTACCGACGTAACGTGATCATTACAGCATATAAAATCGTCCATTTAGTTCCATCCTATGCATGGCTTAAAGTGGGAAAAAAATACAGGGGGGACTAATGACTCCATATAGCTTAAAGCGTTCCATATATAATTGTATGTATAATGTCTAATGCATATAGTATATGTAAACAAGTATATAAACAGTGTATAGAAACAGTGATTGTGTAACATACTCATCCCGCTTTTATCCCTGAATAATGTTCAAATTTGTAATTTATTTCATAAAAAATTTAAATCACAAATAATACAACATTTTTAAGAATAACTCGTGTTTTATATAAATTTAAAATTTTGAAAGAGAATATTTTTTCTTATAATATTAAGTTGTAAGTAGTGGTTGTCTTTTAAGAAAACTAAAAAAATCACCCAGACAAAAAATATATACATCATAAAAATGTAGTGTTTTTAGTGCTTTAAATTGTACAAGAAAAAATTCAAATTCTACGCATGGTGGGGTGAGCATGCTTAAAAAATCACACATTCACACTTTACCTATATATCACTTATTTTTACACATATATTAGATAGTCCATAATTTGTATTAAATACATTTGATAAAAGTAAAGTAACAATCGATAAAAAAATAAAAACCAAGATTTAATCTCAACGGAATTCTGAATTATATTGACTAATGTTTGGTTATAATTGGAGCGGTACGGTGTACCTTACGAATAATAATTTGTTAAAGGGGACGCTTTTTAACCACCATTAGAGGTAGAGGGACTGAGTCCCCCTGCGTCCCCCCCCACTTTAACCTCTGATCCTATGGTCAGAAGTTTTGAATTAGATGGATGCGGCTGAGGCCAAAACATTTTGTAAGGGGGGGCACAGTTTAAACTCGATATTAACCCGTGGTGGCTACGCCCCCTCCCCCCCAAAATCGCATACAATATTAGGCACACCATTAGATGTTAACTGTTATATTGTATACATTGTATATAACTTAACTAAATAATAATAAAAAATAACTAAAACTATTTTAAATTAACAATAATTTTAAATATTTTACTATTCCGATTGACATATACATAAAATTAACACAGTAGCATAGAGTAATATGGAGAGAGGTCCATAATGTCGTAGAGGTCTGAAACTTGACACAGACATTCATTTCGGATGACAATACAATATCCTGTAATATTGGGACTCGGACATCCAGGTCGCCGTACACGGGGTCATTTCACTAAAATTTCATGTTAATTCAAATCTGCCAAAATGAATTTAGTAATCTATTCACAATTATTAAGCACTAAAAAGTAAAAAAAATGAAAAAAAAAACTTTTTTAAAAAATAGTATATAAGTACAATTTTAAATAATGTTAAACATATTTAATTTTTGAATAAAAAGAAAAGCATTGGCCCTTTCAACAAAGTCCCTAACAAATTTATCAGATAAAATTTCAAATAATGTTTTATATTGTAAGTTTTTTGTAATTTAAATTTGGTTCAATAATAATAGTGTGTGACACATACATTTCATAATGCTTAACTCAATGAATTTGGACTTTGTTGAATAGGGCCAACGCTTTTCTTTTTAGTAAAAAATTAAAGATGTTTAACATTATTTAAAATTGTAGTTAATTTTCGGTTGTTTTCAAAGTAATTGACATTTTTATTAAAACCATTTCTATTCCGTGATAGAACATTTTTTTATTCTTGTAAGTCATAAGATAATTTCTAATAATGGATTATAATTTAGTTTGAAACCATACAAATTATAGTTATGAATCTGAACTAAATTTATTTAAATTTTAGAGTGGGCCATAGGGACGGCCGAGACTTTTTAGGGTGTACGTACACCGCCTGGGCTCACCCCGCCACCACTGAATTGTGATGATAATTTCCCTAGGAAATGGACTTTGTAATGTATATTTGAGTTGCAAATATTAATCATTTACCATTCTAACCGTTATATCCAGGATCCCAAAATTCCTTGGCGCTGTCTCATAATTGAGGAGCTCGTGTGGAAGAGCACCTTAGTGCAAAATCATTTTATTATAAGTACAGGTAAAACGCCGCTCGATCACATCAACTCTAGTCCAGACCATCGAGGCGTTGCGTTTTATACTCAGGTCCGTAAAAATAAACAAAAAAACGTGGTTTTAAACTTGGTACTTTTCCACGGGATCTCCCCAATTGTTGTCTATGTACACTTTACACTGTCGTAAGCTTGCTTAAAGTATACAAAGAGTAAAGACCATGCACTTGTAGGTATATCTTATCTAATGTTGAACAAATTGTATGTTTTGTAAGTGGATATCTGTTTGTAATTAATTAACAAAATAATATATGTTTGACGAATCAAACAGGTAATAAGCATTCGCCATACGGCAAGCCACTCTACTATGATAATTGAAAACGATTTTTTTTTTTTAAATTTGATAACCTTATCGCTTAATGGTCTACTCGTGTCTCGGTCCTCGCTTTGATGAATAAATTATAAAACTTGTAACTTAAAAGTAGTAACTACTAACTAGTAAGTACCAAGTTCAGGCTGTTCAGCAGCCCGTAAGGTATGTTTAATTATTTATTTGCTGTTATTAAAATATAAAAATTATACTTTTAATAATTATTGTGTTGACTGAAGCCTTTATATTATTAAAATTAGCAAGTGCTAAATATAATTAAAATTTATAAAATAAATAAATGTTAGAAAGTAGTTAAATTTACTTGATATCATAAAAAAAAATGGGTATTTTCTATAATTATTATCTACACCGAATTAAATAGTATGATTTTGATTATAATATATCATTACATTATATTATGTGAAGATATTGTATTTTGCTTATAAAAAAAAATTGTTTATTTATTATACAATTTACGATGATTGTATTTAAAGCGCGTACTGTTTTTTTTTCTTTAAAAATAGACACGCCTTGATTTTGTTTGCTTATTAGTTTTTAATAATATCAGTTTCATTTACCGACATTGAAAACAATGTTATAGGTTATCAACACATAATGTGTGTAAACGAGTCTATCATTCTACTAGACATCGAAGGAACAATAACGTCAATTAATTTTGTCAAGGAAGAACTATTTCCATATGCTGCAGAAGTCCTCGAGGATTACGTAAAAACCCATTGGAATGACGATGATTTCAAAGAGGACTTGGAACTTTTAAAGAAACAAGCAGCTAACGACACAAGTCTAGAAGGATTCATACCGATAGCTGATGATGGAGAAGATGCAAAAAAATCTGTAATAGAAAATGTTTTATGGCAAATGAAAAACGATAGGAAAACCACTGCGTTAAAGCAGTTACAAGGTCATATTTGGAAGTATGGTTATGATTGTGGAAATTTAGTCGGACATATTTATTCTGATGTGCCATCGGTTTTGAGTAAACTTCTAGACGAAGGTAAAAAAATATATACCTATTCATCGGGCAGCACAGACGCTCAAAAATATTTATTTAAGTATTCATGTATGGGAAATATTTCTAGTTTGTTTACCAAATATTTTGATACGAAAATTGGACCAAAACAAATAGAAACAAGTTACACGAATATTGCAAAAGAAATTGGTGTTAATTGTAGTGACATTTTGTTTCTCACTGATGTAATCGAAGAGGCCGAAGCGGCTGTCAAAGCCGGTTGTAATGCTGCTATTCTAATTAGACCAGGTAATCTACCTCAAGATCCTGAAAAGCTATTAAAATTCAGAACTATGAAGACATTAGATCCCTTAGTAAATGATGAATAAGTGAAAACAATTTTTTTATTGAATAACTTGTTAAATAACAGGTTTTAAAACATTAATTAATTTTAATGTATGCATAAACAAAGATTTTAATATAAATTCAAAACAAATTATGATTTTTTATGTATGTATGTATAAGTTATTCCAAATTTGTTGTCGTTTGTAAGTACAAACATTGATCATAAGTTTACACAAGAGATTATTTTGAAATAAAAAAAAAATAAATGATACTTATATATTTAAAGTAATTTAAAAAAAAACACAAGTAGTTAATTTTGAAAATGATTCAGATTTAGAAATTATAATAAATCTATTAAAAATAATGAAAAAGAAAATATTTATTTAGTATAGTTTTGAATATATGTTAGACAAAAGATATTATCTTATGAATTGTAAGTTGGCATTAACACTAAAATATCTGTTGTTGTTTCTTTTTTAGTTTTAAAGTGTACCCAGCTGAACAGATAGTGAGAATGTTTTATTTGTATGACACATGCTAAGTGTATAATGTTGAGACTTATTTCTTAAAGCCTATCTGAATTTGAACAATTTTTTTCAAAATGGAGAGGAACAATTCTTTTAAAGGTTAGCCTTTATATAAAAACATATTACCTACTTTTTAAAAAAAATAGTGTTAACTAACGATCTATAATATTATTGATGATTGGTTTGTTGTATCACAGAATAGATGGTTGTATAATCTTTCCAACTGCGTTTTTTCCTCCATATTCTACATTTTGATTTCTTGTTGGCCCTTGTGTTTTTAGCAATACTTTCTTTTCAAAAAGTAAGCAGCTTCTCCTCGCCCCCCACGTCTGATATGCAAAGGTACCTATAGTTATTGGTCACAAGTAGCAAGTGTAGGTTTTTTTTTGTTGCTTTTGATAGCCTAAAGCTGAAGCAACTCTGTCGACAGCACTTATACTTAGCTGTAGGTAACACATTAATCAGGGTGATCCCAAAACCTGGGACGAGACTGCATGTTATTTTTGATACTATGAAAAAAATTATAATTACTCGTCCTCGGTTTTGAAGTCCACTCACTATCCTTCATTTGGCTTAATCGATTAATATTTCCGTAGTACCCACTTATTATCTGGCTCTCGGTATCTCCTAATACAACAAAGCATATTGTTTAAAGTAGTTAAGCTAATCTCTCTACCTATGCTTCATCCTTAGCCTTAGGTAAGTCTATTTAATAATTCAAAACCAGTTCTGCCATTCAAAAACCAACGCAACGTTTTTTTTTCGAAATGATTTTTTTATCCAAAAATGTTGTTTTAATTTATAATGGGCATTGCAGCATTTGGTCATTGTGATCAGCTGTGCACCGGCTTAATATAAATTATTATGATTTGCCATTGACTATCACCGTTATTATCACGATTGGTATACGGTCTTGATTAAAAAACAAATATTGTGATAACAAAACGCGATTTTTTAAAATTAAAAATCGATTTAGCTAATAGTAATTAAAAATTTATTTTTAAAAATAAGATTTATGTACTCGTGAACGTGTTTTCGAACTATCTTATTGTCAAATCGTATTTATAGTTTTGGTTTATGTCAATAAAAAAAAATAGTTTGATATTATATTGTATTCGAAAATTCGAATAGTAATTGTATTTTTTACAAAAAGCATTTTACCAGTATGGATTATAACGAAGTGAAAATTAATTTAAGAAAATTTGCATTTCCACTTTCTACGGAAAATGCATTAAACCAAATTCGTAAGTATCATAGTATCGAAAGAGTTCGATTAGAAATCTAAAATATATTACTACTAGAAGTAAACCAACAATGATACTTTATATCAATTAAACAATGAATTCGATGACATGTTGCCAGTTAAATCTATAATATAAATAAAAGCCTTTATTTTGCTGTTTTCGCCAATGAGTCATAATTATGTAAAAAATTGATTAAAGTTAAAAAAATTAATAAAAATATATGAATTGGGCATTGTCAAGCTGCACCTACTCTTTAACTTTTGACTATAGAAATTTGAATCTGCCCTTACTAACTTATGACTCTTTTCCTTAAAAAAAACGACATACTATTTATTGACCTGTAGTCTTTATTGATATGATCTACTTTTGCAAGACAGTACTTTGTTTTTTTTTTACAAATATTTTTCAAGTATATATTTTGTTATATTAACAAAAACTAATATGGTGTGTAGAAACTATAATTAATGGAGAACCTACTCGCAAACAACATTTAAACGAAGATCTCGCAATGGATTTGATATCGGAATTTGTGTTTTGTGAAACCAATGAAGAGGGAAAATCAACAAAGGTGAATTAAATTATTGTTAAATTACATTATTATAGATGAAATATAATTGCAATAAAAGAGCCTGAAATACACATTTATTTTTTATTGTCGAGTCAAACAAAATATTATTCTCTGTGACTACTATTATAGACTAAATTCACCTGTATTAGCTCTCTAGTTTTAATGTTCTAAAAAAATATTTAACTTTCGGTCAACCTACTAAATGTTTGCTTTTTTATTTTATAGCCAATGTCTCGAATTAGGCACTTGGAATTATTAGTGATGATTTGTGAATATTTCAACAAAACGAAAATCAAACAAGAAGCAGACAATTGTTGTGGCGATACTTCGCTCAACGCCATATTCATGACTCTTTTCCCACAATTTGGTGCGCCACCTCAACGAGCCAACATGTTAGTGAGTCTGGTATCGTTGGCTATAACTACTTATAGCAATCTTATACTACAATCGACGGGTGTACAAATGCAACAACTCGGATGCTCTTCTAAGTATAGTTTACAGCTGGCTGATGGACTCGTCAAAAAATTTTTCACTTTTACCAGTTCTAAAGACACGGCGTTAAACGCACTACCTCAAAACGCTCCATTATTCACTGCAAATCTAATGACATCTTTGTCGGAACTTTATTTTAACACAAGTAGGTTATATGATTCATTTAAAAAATATTTTTTTTTGCATTTTTTCAATGCAAATTATTTTTGTTGACATGTGTATTTAATGTTTTTTTACAGACTCGTATATATTTCTTTTACTGTTGTAACAAATTGTATTCGATTTTTGTTTCAGAAACTGACATGTGCATTAAAGAGCCGCCACGGATAGTTTTGGAGACTATCGTTCGTTGGATAAATTCAGATCCTTGTTTATGCTTTACGGCACATTATACAGATCTTCAGCGAGCTCTACCGAGTGGTGCAATACCAATGGTGGCCACCATTCCATTTTACGGTTTATTCAGATGGTGTTTCCTTGCTCCTTTATTTGTACAGAACAGTACTGATTTAGAATTATACTCTGAACTACATTGTGCTTTAATAGAAAGCGTTATGCAAGGATGGAAAGTATATTCTCAACAGAATCAACGAGTCGATCGACCGTATACGTTGAACACGCATTCGTTGGTCCCTCCTCTGCTAAAGGAACGGATTGAAGAAGCTTTAAAGTAATTATAGTCATTTAGACAGGACGTGTGTTGGTTGTAGAATATTTTATTGTTGAATTATACAAAATAAAAACTAACGTAGTCTTTACAAGGTCTTCGATGTTCATGTTAGCATCTTGTATAATTAATAATCTATGATACAACATATACAATAGTCAACACCTGTACACTGTGTTGCCTTTCAACGCTCTAAATATTCTAGTAAATTTTCAATTGTTCTGATTTTTTACAATTTTTTTTTTTTTTGTAGATCAGGTGACCCAACATTAAGAAATTGTGTTGACATTGTCGTTGAAAGACTCGCTCAAAGTATTCAAGCAGCTATAATATCCGATACAATTTTTGGGAACAGGCGTAAGATATCACAAAGTTGATGTGTATACCTAATAACTTAATACCTTAATTATTTGTTTATTATAGTGGATTTGGTCAAACAGTTAGAATCGCTGCCACAAAATGATGTGCTACAAGCCCTAATGAAACGTATTCAAGCATGATAAAAAAACGCAGTGTTTTAAATTAATTTATTCCATTATTGGAATTAAATGTACTCTTGTTCAAACAAAAAAAAAATAATAATAATGATAATACCTATTTTGACTGTAAAATAATCATAATTAATAAACAATGATTCAAATTTTATTTTTATAAAATAATAACTCATTTTCATTTCAAGCTCTACTTTAGCCACATTGTTTTCCGATTAGTAGCAGTCATCTTACAAGTACACACAGGTTCAATTTTTTTGACACAAATCCTTTTTATTGGAAACTAATCCTTAAATAATGAATTTATATAGAAAATACATATTGTTTAAAGTACATAACAAGGAATATTTATTTAATTATGCTCTCTTGGAAGGAACAATAAAAATAAGCAAGTTCGATTTTATTAAATACGAACAATAAAGTTTGGCGTGGTAGCCGACATAGCTTTTTGCTATATACTTTAATACGGCTGCTGGACAAAGATGGCCGAAAAGGTATAGCAGAACGAAAAAAGTTGCAGTACAACTTGTAGTATAAAAATTGAACTTATAATTTGATTTGTATTTTATTCATTACGGGAAAACTTTAACATATTTTTGAGTTTGTAAATACGATGTTATTTTTATATGTAACTATGAAAAATTTACAAAATTGTTTCCGGTAATGAATAAAATACAAATCAAATTATAAAGTACAATGTTTTATACTTTGGCACTTGAACGTTTGACACTTTCACTCTTTTTAGACTCGATACTTTTTCCATTTTTAGATAGGTTAAATGGACAACTTTTTGTCGTACATAATTATTAAAACTTATTTAAATTTTAAACATATATGTAATTCTGGAAATATTTGCTCGTTCAGAGTTTAGATTGTCAGCTGTGGTGTTTGGTGGCTGGTGCAGTTTAGATGATGCTACCCACCCATTTATTGAGGAGTAAAGTATAGGCAATTTTTTGCAAAATATTAATATAGAGCTTTAACTGTATAGTGTATACTTATAAAAACAGTAATGCGAATTCCTTATCGATTGTTATTTTTTTTGTCAGGCCATTGAAATTTACTAAAAACCTAAATTTTCTACATTTAAATTTAAAAAAAATATTCAATCTATCAAAAAATTGCCACCTTAAGCACAGATAATATTCTCCTCTATTTTTCTTTGGAAATTTGGTGATTCTAGTACTATTACAGCCTCTACAGTATTGATTCACATTTCGCACTTTTAAACTACGTGGATAACATTCTCTTAAATCATAGTTGGCAACATACTGATTTTTGTTGTTGAATGAGTTTAACACTTTCAAGTTGGGATCTTGCAAGACGTAAAGGGCATATTTTTTGTTTTTATTTACAATAGCTAGTATAGCAAGGCTTTTTAAGGTATTTTGTTTTATTTAAAAAAAAAAAAAAAAAACATTACAGTATTAATGTTGATAGTATTTTAAAGATGATACACGATAAACAAACAGCGTTTTGTTGTAAATAATCAAAAAAATTATGTGACTGACTAAACTGGTTTTGTAACTATACACAGTAAATTAAATACATTGAATAATTTTTTTAAATAGTCTTATGATTTCTTACTCCTAGTGAAATTACCAAAACAAGGGGGGAGGGGAGTTTAGTTTTCTTTCATAAGTAGGAGATGATACAACATATAATGGAATGAAATCATAAAACTAAACAATTTAGTGGTTTGTTGCTTGCGTTTACATTTCATAGAATTGGGAGTATCACTGACAAAAATAGTATTTTATCCTTCTTCGGCCAGGCATGCACTTACTGCCTGAAATTTTCATCATAAATCAAATTTAATATTATGTATTGCAACAGCTATAGTAGTCGTGTTATTGCCATAAGCCTGCATAATTGCCACATAGATTTGCTGGTAACGGGCCACCGGCTGAAAATAATCTCGTGCCAGAGTAATCATAACAGTGTGTGTATATAGCTGGAGTATACTTGACATGCTGGAAACCTTGATCCATCATATAGTCTTCATCGGGATACTAAATAAATGTTGATATTGTCAATTAGGAAATTTCAAGTTACATTTTAATAATAATGAAAAAAAAAAAAAAATGATAATGTACCACATATCCTCTACTCGTTTTAAGAACAACGGCTCTGCTCGAGTTGATGCTGGATTCTAAATATTTTCCAGCCTTTATGTCGTAAAACATAATAACTCCGACGCCAGTGCCTATAGTTATTACGTTATCTTGAAAACTTAAAGATCTAATACCTAAAAAAGGACAATTATGTTAAAAAAAAATACTTCATTTTTACTATATCATAAAAAACATCAATATAATAAACATGACTAAATCTCTTAATGGCTTCTGTTTGAGTACTTGAAAAAAAAATTTTTTAAATATGACAGCTATTTGATGTATTTAAACTATAAAATACAAAAAGTATTTTGTAATACTTTATTAAATGACCATTTCCTGGTTGTTGTATATTAATTTAAATATTTTACAAAACGATAATCTAATATTAATTGAAATGCATTATTGGGCAGACCGACCCTGTATTTTATATATTGCCTATTGAGTATAATCCTATAGACAATAAGTAGATAGTGAGATTTTTTATATTAGAATAATAATATAAAACAAATTTAGGTATTATTAACGTAATTAATTTTTTAGAGTTAATTGAACTTAATGCAATATTTAAACATGTTTATACGAACCACATCCGCTATATCTTGCAGGAATTTTTTTTATAGTATGTAATGTTCTCGAATCCAGTAAAAGTGTATAAGAACGACAACCAACAGCGTACAAGCTGCTGTCATTTTTCATTGCCATACAAACGTTATCTTGGCACGACGATAATCTCCTTGAAAATCTCTATAAAACAAAATTAGGGATTTTATTGTATTAAAAGCAAGTAATAACATTAAAAATCACAGTAAATTAAAAAAAACATTGTAAAACTAATACTCCTTCAGCTTCAGATCAGCTTTAAATGATTATAATCGATCCTATGCCAATTATGTATGTATGTAAAAAAATTATGATTTAATAATAAATTGAAATAAAACTTTTATTTTTTTGGTTAAAATTAATGAAAACACAATGCAAGTGAAAAGGTATTATAGTTACTTGTCTAAAACGTTCAACATCCCAAATGTGGACATATCCATTCAATGATAATGTAACCATTTCTTTCATCTGTTTGTTGAAAGTGATGGCACGCACTTTTTGCGCTGTTTTGCAGCTTCTAATTACTGTAGGACTAAGATACTGTGTAATTGGTTGTATGAGATCACCATCAGCGTCAAACCGCTCTTCATATCGATCTTGAACTTGCCATAAAGCGAGTTTAGTGTCGCGTGATCCACTGACGAAAAACTCATCGTCAAGCCATTCAATATCGAATATCCAATCTTTATGAGCACCCTATGTTAAAAAAATGTAAAAATGTAAAATTGTAAAATGTAATTATAAAATGTAGTTAACACGTTAACCGCCGTACAGTCGCTGGCGGCTGCACAGTTGTTTTATATTGTACTACTGTCCATAAAATATTGTTAACCTACATAAAACGTTCCAAAATCCAAAAACTTGTTATTATTTGCATATCAATAATGAAGAATAATAATCGTGTAGCCGCCAGCAACCTGAGCGCTGTCAGTATTATACAAGTTATCGCAATATGCCAAAACGGTTTAAAACAAATGATAAAATAAATATGTTATGAATTGTTTATTTTATCCAAAATATAAAGATATTGTGTTATACTAGTAAATATATGATGGAAATATTTTTTATTTTGATAAAAAAAAAAAAATGTAAAAAGTCAAAATTACAATTTACATTGTCACATTGAGGTAAATAATATAAGGTTCGATTCGTTATTTTCTCATGATATAATTGTATAAAGCATTACAACAATACCATCAAAATTATTTCAGATTAAAATAAAATGGGATATATGGCCGCCGTAGACTGTAAGGCATCCTAAAAATAATGTGTTGCGGTAGCTGATAGCCTAAAATTCTCTGATAGATAACCACATTTGTGAGGACGCTGGCGGTCAACATGTTAACATACATATTGTTGGCTTAATTGACATAACTCCAAAGTGACTATTTTTAAGTAAAAAAAAAAACCATCACACTTTTGGAGTTAGCATAACAGATTGCAAATTAGGCCGCCAATATATACTGTATATAATTACCTCTGCTAATACGATTGGGTCTAAAGTGGGCAATTTGTAGACACCAATTTCATTTGAATTATATGCGCCTGTTGCGAGTAATGTTCTAGATGGATTTATTTTTAATGAATGAATACCACTTTGTTGGTCTGCGGCTTCATCGACTCTTCCCTTAATTGATGGTATTTGATCGAGTTCGTGCGATTTTACATTGTATACCATCAACTAAAACACAAAAGATACATTATTTTATTTCATTACGGAAAAAACATTTTTGGTTTACATTTTAGCTATATTTAGGATGGCAAAATAAAAATGTAAGTATTAAATTGCGTAAGATAAGTTTTTAATTTTCAGTTCAATTGCCAAAGGACACATAGAAATGTTTAAAGTAACCCCACACAAATTAATAATAATCAATTTAATATCATTTATAGTTGTGAATAGTTTATACTTTTGGCTAATCTAAGCTTCTGGGAAGGCTCAAAACTATGATACGATAGAATAAATTGTATATACAAAAAACAATGATTTTTTACTGAACTTTATTAGGGCAGACGACTTCGATTTTGCAACAGGTATAGCTCTAAAGGATATTTTCATTGGTCAGGAGTGGACTAAATGATCCTCCTCATCAACATAAAAAAATATTTCATTCGAAAACCTAAAAAGCTGTTTAGTGACAATTTCACCATTACGCAAAAAACGTGCAACTGATAATGAACCAGACAAAATCTAATAAACTTGTTTTTAAGCTACCATTTTATAAGATTTCATTTTAACTGAACTTGCTACACACCGTTAATGTCAACTAAATATTATAAAAATGTATGACTCGCTTTAATTGCAGATATCATAGGCGCAATTTCAATTTTTAACTCGGGGGGCTGGACATTTTTTTAAAATATATACATAAGTAAATATATTTTTGTATTTTTTAAATTTATACATAACCTAATTTTTTTGGTGGGGCTATGTCTAGCATTGAGGGGGCTAAACCAACCCTAGCCCCCCGTATTTGCGCCTATGGTAGATATTACTTTTTTTTACTGGAATTCAGATAAATATTAAAACATTTTTTTACTTACTTTGTTACATTTTGTTCCGAACACAATTTGTTTACTACTAAGCCATTGTGAACAAAAAACTTTATTCATTGTTTTCAATGGTATAGATCGCTCTTTAAATAGATCGTGTGTTAGTATGTGTCTTGTACCGTGATTTTGATTCACAGTCCTATACTCTCGCATTCCATATTCTCTGTTTCTCACGTAGTCGACAAAATTATAAGAAGAGTTCAACATCATACACAACGACATAGTACTTTCTTCTTCTTCGTCGGAGTCTTCGTAGCAGACAAAATCTTCGGGTTTATCTGATTTCCTTGAACGTTCTAGTCTAGCCATACGCAGCTGCATATGCCGTTCATCAAGACGAGACTGGTACGCACATGGCGGTCGTGAACCGAATATCGGAACACGTCGGGTTTGAGCCATGTTGGGAGTCGACCGATTGTAGTAATTATAAACGTCTAAGTGTGTTGCAACGGTTTAAAATCATAACAACGAGGAATATGTAATCCCATAAAATTTGTAAAAACAAAAAACATACAAAATTATACTACTTAAATATTAAAATTAAGATAAACTACACGTTGACGGTGTACGATTCGACTATGAAATACATATCGCTACAAACACTGATTTTTTTTACGTATCAATTAATCAATATTTAAAATAAATACCTACTGTTTAATTTATACATTTGTTAAAACTAAAATTATTACCCCATTAGTCGATATTATTATTATTAAACATAATTTTTTATCATATTATATTAAACAAAATAACAATTTATTTTATTATGGAAAGATAGTATCGTACTTGTATGATTAGTAGGTCACAGTTGGACCAACGTGACGGAAAAAAACATTTGTTTCCATTATAATAACAGACTGGCCATGGAAAATTTGGCAACCGCTATCGCAGAAAAATCAATTAGTTGTATTTTGAAAAATTTAAATAATACTTACGCGACACGGTTATGTATTTTACAAGTTACAAAACGGCCACCTAAAATTCGGTAAGTCCAAACCAAGTTTGGCCTTGACACTTGATGGCATGAACAAATTTTTAAAAATATAACGAAACAAACTCAGAATAACCCTGACCTTAAAATATATAAGGTCATACCTTGTGATTTCTTATAGCCTAGGCCGTTTTAGATTTATAAAAATAATATTTCACTTACTGTTTTTACTAGTTAACTATAAAACAGTTGTCTTTTCTTTTTTATTAAATACAATTCCTACATAGTATAATAATAATTAATAGTTAAACGGGTTCATATACGGTTATGACCCTAACCGGTTATTCGATTTAAGTATTTAAAATACATTTTAATTATTTATTCGAATAAATGTTTATCTAAGTACCAATTTGTTTGTAATAAATGAAATACCTTGTTATTTAGAAAATTATTTGAAATACAATTTTTTCTAAAGTACTGTTAAAACAGTTAAATTGTTTATTTTATATAACTCTGTATAGTGTTTAATTTAAATATATTGTTGTATAAGAATTGATATTTGGCTGCTTTAAATAACGTGTTATCATATTACATTTTATTTGTTGAAAGAAAAATGGATTTGAAATTACTAATTAGATACTTATTCATAAAAAAAAAAATAGTTTATATTATTCGAGCTTTTATGTAAATACATTTTTATTTTTACAGTATTATTAAAATTTGTATTTAAATGATCCAAAATGGCAAAAAAGATACCGATTTCAAACGCATACTTTTTGTGTTAGTCATTATTTGTTTACATTATTTTAATTACCAACTTGAAATATAAACTGTACCAATTGAACGGTGATAAAATGTCATCAAAAATTCTTAAAATAAAGGTCACTCAATTTTATGAGTTAAAGGCTGAAAATTACATGACCCCACTTTGAGGCTATTATTAGACATAACATTAATTCATTTTTGGACTTGAGGATTAAATTATTTATCAAATTTTAAAATCCATAATCACGTCTACGGTTTGAGGGCGAAAAATAAAAAAAATAAAAAATAGCATTTTAACTAACATTTTAGAAAAGTCAAATACAGTACATTATAACAGTACAATATATTGTTATGGAATATACCATTTATACTATGGACTTCAGCCACCACAAGGTTTTTTCTATTTTTACATTGGAAAAACATACAGATACAGATAAGCAAACAGAAGGGTATTTAGTAGGTAGCATAATTGCAGATTTGCTTTAATACATTGGCGGTATAACTGATTTTATATAATATATTTTTCGTCATGGCTCATGAACATTTAAAGATTTTCTTTTAAAGAAAAGCTTTTTTTTTTTACACTAGAATGTGTTTAGGTATATTCCATAATTTAACTAATGCTGTTTAGATATAAATTTTTTTTGTAGCGCATTTTAACCTACAGCCTACTTGATAATCAAACCAGTGGATTAATAAAAAAAAAATTATCAAGAATTCTAAGTACTGCATATTAAGCACAAGATAACAATTATTAAAAAAATGTTAATTGTTTATTAAATCCACGTCAATATAATTAATACAGGTAATAAGATTAGTTGACTATTTTATCAATTCCAAAATGATTATAAAAACAGTAGCATTAATATAGTTTGCTGATATGTCCTTACAAATTTAATGTATAAATACAACAATACCAACTTACGAGTTTTATTATTTAAAAAAAATTTGATTTTAATGTATACATAAATCCAGTCTTAATATTAATACGTATTATAAAAAAGAAATAAAAATACTTTTCAATAGCTAAAATACATTGTGTATTATAGTAATTATGATTATGTAAAAGTAAATAATGATATACATATATAAAAGGTAGGTAGCATTCAGTGTATATTGAGTATTTACAATATTACACTTGTTGGTAGTAAAAAAAAGGGTATTTAAATTACAAGTTTGCATACCATATTCTGATCAGAACATCAGGTTTCATTCAAACTGATTTAATATCACTTAACACGAAAGTCGTAAATAAACAATTATAATGGCACGTTTCATTTGATATACAATAATTAAAAAATGATTTTACAAAATTGTATCATGACAATTCGAAAAAAAAAAAATTGTGAAAGAACATAATGAGTAGATTGTAAATTATTATTGAAATATAAAATATACATTAGTTTATGATGTAAACCGTTATTATTTAGTTAAACTCAATGTTAATACTGATATTTTATTCAATATTGTCAAGTTATTGCGTATCGGAAATTATTCGCTTGAAGATTTTTAAATTTAGACTAACGCAAAATACACATTATTATTATTTTTTTAATGTGTACACAATTACTAGCGTTATTAATATTATTATTATTATTTCTAATCTTATGTGTAAAATAAAAACAAATACAATTACATTCCGTTAAACCAAATCCATTTCAGACTGTCGATCACATAAAAACATCACAATAAAATTAATACGTATTTGGTATTCGACAACATTTTTAGTACAGGAACTAACTAAATTATCCAAAAAGATGGGAAAAAATAACACAAATAATTAAACAAACAGTACAGTCTTACGATTTTCTTTGTTAATACATCAAATCGTCAAAACTCAGGAACAAAAAAAAAAAAAAATATATATAAACATGTTTTTAGGCTAAATCAAACCACTAATGTGATTATAGTATACATATATGATTAAAATTAAAATTAATGTATTGAAAATTTCAAAAAGACAGATGTAGTTGTTTATACAAAAATATACATTGTTTTTTTTTTTAAAACTGGTGGCACTTTTAATAATTGACTCGAATATTTATTTCAAAGAATTTTCATCACGATATTATATATTATGCATTAGAGAACAGAAATATGAATAAATATTTTTATATATATATATAAATAAATATATTATAGTCTTATTATTATTATTCTTAAATATGATACCGTACATCCTTAGTATTTACTTAACATTATTGAGGTAACAAAATATTTAAGATAATAATATTTTTTCGTTAAGTTAGATCATTTTTAAGTTATAAAATATAATAAATTAGTATGAAAAAAAAATATATATAATTTTTTTCCGTTTAAGTTGAGTCATTCACAAACCTTAATAATTGTTGTTATGGCACACTGAAGATATTTTATGCTTTGGCTTTTTCAATGAGAATTGTTATTTAATATTCTGTGTGATGTGAGTATTAACAATTTACATCAGTCGATTTCAGCGGTTGCATACCTGTTGACGAGAAAACAAAAAAATCGAAAAATGGTTATTGTTAACTGAACAATAATTGACAATTTTTTTACATACCCATGAACTGAGGATAAACTGGATAGGCTCCAGGTGGCAAGTGATGCGTTACTTCTCTTTTAGGCGTGTTTTCTCCATCCGACTCAAGGGGTAACGGAACTGCGGCAATCATATTTGTGTTGTCATTCGTTTCCTCTACAATGAAAAACAATAAAAGTAAAAATGATGGTATCCAATATCTGCGAATAATCAATAGAAGAGAACAGCAGTGTCTACTCATTGAGTTATATTTTAAATAAATACATTTTTATTATTTTATTTACTTTACAGGCACAAGTGCCCAAAACAAAATTTACAGTAATATTTGTATTTATATTTATTTACAAAAATAAGTAGTACTAAAATAAAGCTATACAATTTAAGACATTGAAAACGATGGGTCCTCATTAGCAATTTGCATGCGACAAGACATAGGGGAGTTAAAGGAATAATTAGTGGATGAACAAATGGGGCATGAAATCGAGTTGAACAAAACGGGACTCTAAAGTTGAGCAGCATTAACAAAGATAGGAAATCGATTGCACAAGATAGAAGTTTATGAACAAAATTAAGGTTAATCTCATGACGACAATCAGCAAGACATGGGAGTTGAAGGAGATTTTGAATGGGAGAATAATCATGTTGAGGACAAGGAACCTTAAGGACAAAACTAACAAAGCAAAAAAACTTGCGTTGGATTCTTTCAATCATAATACAATCCACTGATGTGTAGGGGTCCCATACTACAGAACCATACTCTACAATAGAGCGGACTAGGGAACAGTACAGACTTTTCAAAGGCTTTAAAAGTTTAAACTCACGAGCGATTCGATCCAACATACTAAACGATTAAGATCATCTTGAAGAAGTTTACAATCATCTTCAGATGTAATTTCCATATAAAGTTTTATGTTATCAGCAAACAAAAGTAATTCAGAATATAAAAGAACTGAATTAGCATTATTAATAAACAAAGAAAATAACTTAGGCGAAAGTATAGCACCTTGAAGGACTCCAGAGGGAGGAATGATGATATTTGAAGAGAAACCACCCATATTTACCCATTGTTTTCTATCACGCAAATAGGAATTAATCTAAGAAAGGAGAGGTTCACCAAAACCACTATAAACTAATATTTTTGAAAGGATAGAAGGGTCAACTCGGCCAAATGCTTTAGCAATGTCTGTGTAAATAACATCAACATGAGCACCTTGACGAAAAGAATCCATTATAAACGAATTTAGGACAAGAGCGCAAGTTGATGTAGAACGACCAGGGCGAAAACCATGTTGTTCATCAATAAGGCACGAGTTAACAAGAGGGTTTTATGGACTTAAAGACAAGGGACTCGAATAATTTAGCAATGTGGGAAAGGCAAGTAATAGGACGGTAATTCTCTACTTTAGATGGATCTCCCTTTTTTAAACGAGGGTATATTGTACCAATTTTCAAGCACTCTGGAAAAACACCTTCATTTAATGATTTCTTAAATATAAGCCAGAGAGGCCAACAAAGAGAAAAACTGAGTTTGTAAAGGAATGTATCCAATTTAGTCCTAAAAATAATTTAGAAATTTAATGAATTAGTCTTTTCAAATAATGAAAATACATTTTGGATAATGTTAATAAAAAATAATACTTTGTCTTATTAAGGCTTATAAAAATGTATACATTTCATACATAATTTATGAATGGGTTCATAAAATAACAATAGATAATAGCTATACTTTTATTTTTTGATAGGAAAAATTAGACTTGGGTTTTTAATTTTTTTTATAGATATCTAATATCTAAGGGCTCCTTAGAGAGAAATTTTGCTTAAAAAATATCCCTGATCCAAGATATTCAGTAACTAACAAACAATACATCCAAAGGGTAGATAAAAAAATAGTTAAGATTCTCAACACATTATCAGATATATGAATTACAAATAATAAAAAAAGAGCTGATTTGTACTTACTGTAGACTGGTTGTCGGCGTTTCATCATACAATAACATGGAACACAAATACATATTACACAACATGCTAATATTAGACCAACAACTAAAATCAACAGAATCAATAGACTTGGTGTGTAATTTTGAAGACTAGAAAAAAATAAGAAAAAATAACAAATCAAAAATAATACATAGTAGATAAAATAAAATTGCGTTTCAATATACAGATATTAAAAAACCTTAAAAAATATTTATTAACTGATTAGATTGGTAAATGGTTTAAACAAATAACCATGAGACATTAGGTGAATCATCAGTTTGATAAAAAGTTTAAATTAACAAGTAAATATTAGTCCAAACAATGAAATATCTGTATAGAACAAGCAGTTAATACTCCAAGACAATAATTACACATTTTGAAAACGGTTGATAATATTACAGCATTCAACATTTTCGTATGGATCGTAGCAACAGAACTTGGCGTCTAATGCCCCGTCTTGAGAAGGGCAAGTCAAAATGACCGATCGGTTGATGATGCCATTTGAAACTTTTTTTATCGTACAATTCTCACCTGGAATCAAAAAAAAAAAAAAAAACTAACATTTAATTTCCTATACCTATTCAAACAATATAGCGAGACAGGAGTCTAAACGTGGGAGATGGACAATGATTTACAAAATCATACTAGAAATTTTTATAAAAGTATCTATTTGTTATAAAAATTTAATAAAACCAAATTATTTTCCATTTTCTAAATGGGTGACACTTTGCAACTGCTCACACGTCAATAAAGGCCATTACCGGAATTTCTCAATTAAAAAACAAGAGAAAGATTCCGGACTACCTTAATTAAACAAACCACATTCACCTATGGTACCTACCTAAATTTTAATTGACTGTCAAATAAACGAGTTTGCGAAAACAAAAATCAATAAAAACAAATCTGCAAGTAACCAAAGTCTTTTTGATATTCTTTCACGGCAATATATCTTTCCATCAACTAACAGTTTGCTCTAAACCTCAAACATCGTTTTCTTTCATAACCTTCCAGACACATTATTTTTAATACCGTTTATCATCGTGTGCATAATTGAAATTTTAAGTAAATAAATAAAAAAAATCAAACTTACATTGGGCGACTGAAAACAATACCATTAATGATGCACCGCACAACAACCATTTGTTGGTACTCATGATGCTTTTTTTTTTTGGGGGTGGTTTAGGTAAGTGCTATAAATTACTATCGGCGAAAGCACTCGAACTAAAATACGGATTTCTTGACGATTAAAAATAATTAAGAATGAGATCAAAATATTTCATGTTTTTATTTTATTATTATTATTATTAGTGAAAGATCTTAATAATCTTGTAAAATGTGTTTATCTTTCAGTTCTTGACTGTAAATAGAATCGATTGTGCACAATGCAGTATTTATGATTATTGTTATGTGACCGTCGGACAGGGACTATCGGTTAAGTAATTTATTATACAATAATTTCAAGTTACAACCACACCAAGTACTAACTATAATGGATTATCGATGTATATTGTATTGTCCTCTTACGGGGGTAAATAAGTGGTATGGGCGGAGAACGAAAAATAATAAAAACGCCAAAGACGTTGCAAGAGACGGAAGAACGTAACATCTTTGAAAGCTCCAGTGGAAATTACAAAATAGGACAATAAGTGATAACAGCCGGGCGGGGAGCGAAGTTCAAACTTCAAAGCAACTAGCAAGTACACTCAAATACAGTTCACCTTATTGGGATTTAAAAGCATTGAGGTTAACGTTTGTATAATAGTCGTTGCCGGTTGCAGTGTACGCCCAGTGGCAGTACTTAGTTTTTGGTTTTCGCAACACGTCGAAATAATGAATTTGAAATTTTGTGCAAACCTATCGTTCATGTACCAAGAAGCCAGCAGTCTTCTGGAAAGGTATGGCTTGGCGGCCAATTCAGGATTTGGCACCGTAGAATGCGCTTTTCCTTATTCCGAACCATTAGAGAAAGTCGTACGAGCCAAAAACGACGCTAACGTCACGCAAATACTGATCAACACGCCTAGAGGCGACGACCAACAGTTAGGTTGTGCTGCGTTTCCCGATGCAGAAGATCGCTTTCGTTCGTCAATCGATCAAGCATTGGCATACGCAAAAGCGATAAACTGCAATAAAATTCACGTAATGGCCGGCATCGTCCCTAATCCAAACGAGAGTCATCATAAAGCGTACGAAGACAATTTGACGTACGCCACTGGTGTTTTCGAGAAGAACGGCATTATCGGATTGATTGAACCAATAAATAAGTATTCGGCTCCAGGGTACTATTTAAATTCATACGAACGAGCTGTCCAGGTGATCACTAAAATCGGAAGTCCCAATTTAAAGCTTCAACTAGACATATTTCATTTGCAACAAATCAAAGGAGACTTGACGAATAATATAAAAACTCTATTACCTTACGCAGGACACATACAAATAGCCCAAGTGCCTAAACGTAACGAACCAAACACTCCGGGAGAAATAGATTACAAGTATATTTTTCAGTTGTTAGAAGATCTCGGTTATAATGGATGGATTGGCCTAGAATATAGTCCCAAGGATAACACTGACAGTGGTTTGTCCTGGCTAAGAGAGTTAAAAGGAAACAAACAATTTTAATGCATTGTACTTTATTCAATTTATTCAGTCAGATTTTGTGCAAATAATACTAGTAATAATAATAAAAAAACTTATTCTACAATCCAAAGCATATTAACTCCGGATTTTCCGAGGTTTACGCTCTCCAACATTCCGTTTTCAGTTGTTTTGATATAATTTAGAAACAAAAGAATGGTGTAGAAAAAATTATTACGACCCTGAAATTAAAAGAAATATTGTTTACATAAGATAATATATAATAGACGTACGATTTAAAACATAGTTTCATACATCTTATAAAAGTTTAGAATAATACATAATATATAATATTACTTTTGGAAAATTGTGTGTATCTTTTCCTATTTTTAAATTGTAATGAGGAGGATTATTTGATTGTTGATAAATGACGACTTGTTTATCGTTGGATTTAATTTTTTCTGGATATTTGATGAGGTGCTGAACTGAAAAAGGATTCTTCCCTTTGAGACGTGTCAATGGGGACAACTGAGAGTCTAAGTATGTAGCCAACAAATGCATCACCAACTAAACATTTAAAACAAAATTAATTATTGATTAGTCTTTAAAATTTTTTTTTGTAAATAGATAACTTTTATTTAAAAAAAATGAAGGGCTGCGGGGAAAAAAGATCAATGTCAATTTTTTTTGAAAATGAGATTTTGGTATAAAATTATTTGTATTGACGTATTGTATCTTTTATGCGCTTGAACCAGGACAAAAAACAGATTAGTCGAGAGTAACGACCGCCGGAAGTTTAGGCATACAGGCGAAATGTATTACATTTTGAAATTAAAAACATGATTTTCTCAGAATGTTAAAAAATTGACATTGATCTTTTTTCCCTGCCGCCCTTCAAATGTATGCAACGATTACTATTTTAATTTCCTACAAAAAGAAGATACAAATTACAAATAAAAAAACACCTCAAATGTTAACTTACAACGGAGTCTGATGGTAATTCAGAAGTCCATTCTTTTCCTTTAAATGTTCCACCAGAGTTCCACCGATATTCAGTCAGGCATGGTCCTTTTGCCAATTCTAAACCAGTACTTCATAAATTAATAAAAAATTTAGAAAAAAAAAAAATTATAACTATCTAAAATATTAGTTACCTCTGATTCGTTGTACAACATACTCTTGATTGGTAGATATTTCAAAATATGGAATAATGTGTAACAAACTGGGAATAGTTTGAGCAACTTGTACGGTATGGGCAGTTTTTTTAAGTCGTTCTAGCCCAACGTTTCCTATTGATACATCGACAAATCCTTGGTTGTACAAAGCGCGATCGACATTTTCTATTTCTTTGACTAAACGTGTAATTATTGTTTGTGAAATCCACTGTAAAAAATAAAAAGGTTCTTATTTATACATTAGAGTAATAATTGCAATACATATTAAATAATACTAAGTACATTATTTTTAGTCAACGAACAAATATTTTATATTTATTTATGAACCAACTATTATAAAATATATATTTATTTCACGGTATAAACTTACAGTTCTCAAATTTACCAACCATCTTTCGACTTTGTTATTATCAACTTTAAACTTTCGCCAAACCTCTGAAGCCATGGCAACTGTTGATGTACTTTCATTTAGATCCGATTTTGATTGTTCAGCTAATAGGATAATTCATGTACAAATTATTTTATGATCATCAACAATAGCATAATTCATCACATAATACTCACGAGAGGAAGCTACTTGATAAATAGAGTTTTGTAACATTGATGAAATCGAAGTGTTTGAGCAACCTGAACGTTCCCACAACGACAAACTACGTTGTTCAGAATCACGCTCTAAACACGGGCAAAGTTTGTTTTAAAAACAATATTATGTACTTTATAAAAAGTATAAATCTAATTGTTTTTTATTAATTGATAAAGCATTGAAGAATTTAGTTTTTTGGTTGTCCAACTTAGTTAGCTTGACTGATAACGGCCGCACAGAGTAATAACATTACTTTTTTTCACTATATTTTCAAAACTATGTCCGATAGTCAAATTCTGACTTCAATATTGTTTTTAGTATAAAAAAATTGTCTACTTAGGCAATAGTTATAACAAAAAATTACCAGTAAAAGAGAAGCTGTTTTTACTATCGTAATCTTTAAGGTATTGTTCTAAGGTACACATATCTTCAATTGTTTCGTTATTAGTGTTGTTAATATTATACTTGATTCCATTACGATTTTGTTTATCTGTTACCAATTTATCTAAAACAAAATATAAAACATACATATAATTATTAGGAAAGCCATATTTATAATTTTTACAGAACAATTTTCAATGATTACATACCAGGAGATATTTGAAACCTCGGAGTGTTCCAATTGCTCATTGTACAGTTTATCGGTGTACTTGTAGTAGCCGGAGGTGTAATCGTGCTCGTCAGTTTATGAGGAGATTTAATCCTTATGTAAGCTGGTATAAAACGGATTTATTGTTATAACAATATATTCATTGGAGTAGAAATAATTTATGCCAAACAATACTAACAATTGGATAATCCTAAAGTCTGAAATTGTTCTGGCGCTAAATCAAGCGTATTAGTAGTCATCCATAACTTGAGAAGTCCGAAAATATGATACAATAGACTTGTGCATAAGACAGCTGATGTAGTTGATTCAACGAGACGCCACCATGGAGTATACCAAGAATAAGGTAAAACCAATCTGTAAACAGTTGTAAATTGTAATTTAATTGTACTCGGCTATAATTATATTGTACTAACAAATCATAGACGAGCATCGACAGTATTACTGTGTTGACGGCTCCCCAGACAAAATGCTGCTTCATTCGGTTGACGGCTATTGTTAATTGAATGGCATCTTTGACGAGATCTTTTTTCGTAGAATTGTTTTGTTGATATTTGGTGGGGGTCCTGTAACGCCAAACCGTCAAAATATTTTAAAACGTCAAATTTTCTGTAATATTTACGTTAAAAAAACAAACCTCATGGTTGATCAATGTCCTTTGATGTGCTTACAAATTTATTAGCTATAAAAATCTTAAAAACTATTTTTACAGGAACAATAGGAATACTGTGATCTTGGGATTAACAGCAATGTTATCATTTATTCAAAGACAAATGACGGCGACATACTTGATGATTGAAAAAAAACACTAACTGTTCTGGATATTTGTCAATCACCATTTCGTCCCATGGACTTTCTAAAGAGTCGATCACGTAGCTTAAGTACGGTCAAATATCTAAAATCCAAGGCTTCAGCTTACTCTTGTGATTTGAGTAGACTTAGCACGCGGCAAAGCAAAAGCCAAAAACCAATCCGGCGAGCTGAGAGTTCGAAATACGAAATCATTGAATTGAAATGATTCAATTTTAACGAACGTTATCGGCGTTTATCATTGTAACACATACAAACTAAGACAACTTCATACACTTAATTCAACAATAACGTTAATTCCGTTTCTCACTTCACTTAGTTCGTGATTTTAACCGTTGCTCTTATCAATTATAAAAAGTAATAATTGATAATAAATTGTTTTTACTTAATTAATAATTATTATTAATATTGTTATTATTTTTATTACAATTTAATATTTATTTATTGACGATTAATGATTATTGTGTTTGACGAAATTTTACTAGTATTTGATCGATCCATTTATATTATGACAACTCTTAATTAAATTGTAAAATATCGTGCGTTGTAGGATTTGACAATGCCATGTTGTTTGTACTCGATTTTGATAAAGTCGAAAAATGCAAAACAATGACAAAAATAAAGAGACGAACACAATCTTGAACAGCATTTGTGAAGTTAAAATTGACGGAAAAATGGCTTTGGTAAGCTTGTACGACGATCTACCACACTTTGAATATGACGAAACCATTGACAGAGTAAGTGCAAATCGGTTGTAGTCGCATTAGTGCCCTTGAAAATGGCTCTCAGTTTAAGCAGATCTATGGGGGTAAAGATAGTAACATAACATTTATTTCCTATCGAGCGGGTTCATATCAGGTATAATACAAATTCCAACAATTGATTGATTGAATTAAGTATTTCTTGCCCATAAGTTAACCATTGTACCTTTAAAGCCCTGGGTTACCTAAGTTTTTGGAATATAGATTCATCTTTATGTTCCATGTACATGGTTTTTTTTTTTAAGTTTACTCATTGTTTTTATATTTTATTTTACAGCTGAAAGAAACCAATATTAAATATCAAAATTATATACTAGAGTTGAATCAAAGAATTAAATGTTTGGAAGATGAAAAATCTAATTTGAAATCTGTCAATATGGTGTTGTCTAAAAATATTACTTCATTGTACAAAACTGCATTTAGTGAAATTCAAAGAAAAGATAAGATCATCAACGATTTACGTGCAAGGTAATGTGTAATCACTTTATGTAAACTAGTTACTATTACATGTTTAAAATAAATTTTTATATCTTAACAATTAATTAAATGATCTTAATTCAATTTATGTATAAATATTTCTTTATCTGTTTTATTTGACAACAAATATTTAGTAGTTAAAATAGTAAGATATCTGTTTGAAATGTTTTTATTTTTACTTTACTTCAATGTACTAATTTTAAATGTTTTTTTTTTTACAGAAATGTACCATCGTTTATGCATTCTTCAAAGCACACATATCAATCAAACTTAGCAGCGGTAGGAAGTAGTTCTAATAAACCTTCTCTACCAGAAATTACTAACAAACCCGATGTTTTAGATCATAATGAAAATCTATATTCATCTAATGTTGTTATTCAGCCAAACCAAAATGTGCCAAAAACTATTTTTTCTCAAAGAATGTACCAAAAATTAACTAAAACAAATGAAATTGCCCAAGAAAGTACCACTACTGCTATTTTTAACTTCAAAGACGATATTGGAAAAAACAAAGACAATATCGTACAACACAATACGCCAGAAGATGTAGCAGCATCCTCAAATAAAAATATATCAATAGAAGATCCGAATTCAACTTTGGTAATCTGTGACTCTGATTTAACACAAAGCGATTGTGAGAACGAGTTGCCTTCAGCAAATCTAAGTACGTCTTCATTAAAAGACAAAGAAAATGTACTATTGGGTTCGATTTTTTCAAAATTGAAACAACCCATTAAATCTAAGAAGCGAATGGTAATAGCTCCAGCAACTATTGGAGTGAATAACTTGAGCAAACCAATAAATTCATCAAAAATAGAACAATTGTCTTCCAAAGCCATCAAAAACACTCTACCTAAGAGTGCTTCGATTGTAGAAGACAACAAAAATATCCAACAATCGTGTGTTGTAAAAAATACACCACATTGTGGTGAAAATAAAAACAAATTGAACTCGACAGTTGTCAGGCCAAAGTTTTTATCCGATAATATTTGCTCGCCAAATATAAAAAGTGACAGTAAATGTCATGAACTCTTGAGAACCAATGCAAATAATAACCAATTGCCTTCCGTCAACATCGAAGTCGAACAAGTTCCTATTATTCGAAAAAGGACTGTGGTGGAACGAAGTCCTCGTTCACAAGTAATTGCGACTACACGAAAGTCATCAAGTATAGTTAACACCAGTCAATCGACATCAAATGTCAACATTAGTCAATCGACATCAAATGTTAGACGTGTATCTGTGAACGAAGAAAACAAATCGAGTCCTCATTCACAAGGAATTGCGACTAAACGAAAGTCATCAAGTATAGTTAACACCAGTCAATCCTCATCAAATGTTAGACAAGTGTCTGTGAAAGAAGAAAACGAAACAATTCGTACACCACAGTCGAAAAACCAAGTATACCAAAACGCTTCTACAAAAATTGGGCACACTCGTAAAAGCACATCAACAGAGTGTGACGGTCTCAATAGCTCTAAGAAACCTACACCCGTAAAATATTCCTACAATAGTCCTGTCATCCGGACGTCTGTTGGAAACAATGATAAAATAACGGCAATTCCAACGGATAAAACGGACGAACCGTCAATAAACATTGAGGTTGAACAAGGAACAATCTTCCAACGTTCCAAACGAAGAGTGATCGCCCGTACGGATTCTGAGTTGACCGAACATAACCAAGAACTGAAAAAAGGGAGACGAGTAAAATTAATCACTATTCAAGACCATTGTTCAAAACCGCTTAAGAGTTTCAATGGTGCCAAAAAAACCGACATTGACGTTAGTAAAAAATCTGTGCTCATTGAAAAAGTGGTTGAGAGCAGTAGTCATTTTTATGTACCTCCCGTTAAGAGAAAAAGACCCATAAACTTTAGCAGCGCTGACCTCTGATTGTATAGTTAACCAATTTATTTTATTTATAGATTTTAACAACATGTCTTTGTTAGTTAAAATATATTAACAAATTTATTGATTACATTTTTTATGGTTTTTCTGATGGGTACACCAGTTATAAACAAAATGTATTATAGTCATTTCGAAAGTATATTTAGACTTAAGTTGTTGAAACTTGTTTTTCTTTGTAAATATTCATATAACTAATATATTTATATGTATATATATATATATAATTGTATATAAGAAAATACAATTTGTTTTGATGAGTAAAGATTTGTGTATATTATAAAAAATATATAATGACCGCTTACAAAATTTAGCTATTTACAAACAAAAACATTAAGAAATATTAAGCTGTTCCTTAAATCTAAAAACTACTATGTTATAAAGACACACAATAGAATAACAATAATTAACACACCAACTTCAGTATAAATAAGACTAAAACGATTGATTTGGTAAATTACATATTTTGGTAACTTCAAAAAATTGGTATTATCAGTATACAGTACAACTATTAAGTATTATATACAGACATTGGGTGTATCATAATTTAAGCTAATTAGTACCTAGCAAAAAAAACAATTGTAAGTGATTAGCGCAACAATAAAGAGCCGAATACAATTAAAAACACTTGAAACTTTTAATTTTTTAATAATAAAAAAAATTGTTTGTGAACGCAAAAAAATGTTGCTGCAAACATGACAAAATAGATAAATATTAAATGCATCTATTATTTCATGGATAATTTATGTAATTAAAAAACAAACAGTATTCAACCTACAAACAGACTTTAGTGTTATCTAATATTATGGCTAAATGATTGTCTTGACAAGTTCAATTTGTTATATTTTGTAAGTTGTCACCTGTAGGTTGTTCAAGTTGCCGGTAAGGTATGATAAATTATTTATTTACAGTTTAAAAAAAAAAAATTAAAACTTTTAATTGTAATAAATTATTGAGTCGTTCTAAGCCTTATTTCATTTAGTTTAGCAACAGAATAATAACATATAGTATAATATGCTATAACTATTATATTTTGTAATTTTTTCTCTTTCAAAAAGGCAGTTCCGGTTATCAACACATCCAAAGAACAAAAACGTTAATTCACCTTGTTAAAAACACTATTTCCATTATTTGCAGAAGTCCTTGAGGATAACTTACGTAGAAACCCATAGGAATGACGAGGATTTCAAAGAGTACTTGGAACTATTGAAGAAACAAATATTTAATAAGTATTCGGATTTCGGGATGACTGCAAACAGTGACGATAAAATTTTGCATCTCAAAAAATAATTGTTGTACACTTATATACAATTTAAGTACACAAGAGAGGAGTTTCAGCCCTCATAGCCCCCCCCCCTCTTGAATTCCTCAATAATGCTGTTTTCTTTAATTTTGTTAACAAGGCGTTTTGCTCTAAAATCACTCAGTAAGCCGTATTTTTGGACTTAAAAAACTAAGTTTTTATGGACAATTTTTTTTTAAATCGCTGTCCCGGATGCTGTGATAGTCTGAAAAATAGTTTAACGACCAAATAAAGTCCTAACTACTGAACTAATAATTACACATCACAGTTTGACCTTTAAGTTAAGATTTTGTAAAAAAAATAGCCTTTACTTTACTCCTTAAAATGGAGGGGCTGCGCCGACACCCTCTTAGAATTAAGATCTGCGGACCACAGGAAAGAAGATAAATGGTAATAAAATATTCTTCCAAAAAAAAAAAAAAAAAACGAAGAGCAGGATCAGTTTATTGTATTATCGGTACTGCTCGTAGTGTATTATAAAATAATTACTTTTTCCGACTAAAAAGAAAAAAAAATCCTAATAAAAAATTAATGTATTTTAGTTATTTTTGCAAAAATCTTGCTACGCAATGTAATAACACGTTAAATGATTTAACGTTTAACACTAGTTTATTAGCATTTTAGTTTTATAACTAAAAATAATAAAAATGTATGTAATATTACAATTTTCAGGTATTTTATACAAGAGTTATTTTGCTTTGCTTGTTCTGTAAACGTGCCAATAACTTTGTTTATGTTAATTGAATTTGTCGTATATTTTTCTATATTATAATATTGCCAAATCATTATTTGTCTTAAAACAGTAAACGGACGTTTACAAGATGCAGAATTAACGGGAAGTGTGATATTTTTACATTTTCGTGTGTTGAGTAACGAACACTGTATGCAAGTACAGAAAAAGCCTACCGAGAAAATTGCCCACCGGGATTTGTCCGGTATCCCGGTGGGCCTATTCGCCTATGGATGTACTAAGTTGTCGGAATTGACTTAAAAAAAAATATTTTCGGACAGGTAAATAAGATTTTAAACTGTGGCGGCGGCTGCGGCCGGGACTATATCAGGATCGTACCAAGGGTAGTAGTAATAGTGCGCGCGCCGCCGCCTGTCCGTCTGTTCCGTGGCGGCGGCGGCGGCGGCGGCGTTTCGAGAGTAACGCAGTTTCGCCGGCGGAAGTCACTGGCCCGACGTTGTCCGGACCGGAAGTGCAACTTACGCGTCCGCCCGCCGCCGCGCACGTTGTCCCGTCGTCCGTTGTCCGCGCGAACCGAGCACGGCGGCTTGTATTAATCACCGTGCGCCGCCAGGCCAAGGAGTTCGGTCGTCCGTCCGTCCATATGGTGCGTGGCCCGAAGACGGCGGTCACGCAGCCGACGGTAATCTAAAGAGCCGTATCGCGTGACCACCACATACCGGCCGCCCTTTTACACACACGCGTATACAAATAACATATTAGTCGTGCGAAAAAGGCGCGAAATCCGCCGAGACACTGCAAATCATGTCCAGGAGGAAACAGGCAACGCCTCGTTCGCTTAAACGTAAGTGCCTGTACCGTATGCGCTGGACCGTTAAGTGATACATTATCTCTGTTTTTGTTTTGTTGACCGGCCGAGTTCTGTTAAACTAGTCTGTTTCAAATAATTGCCTGCGCCCCAAGTGCCGTGTCAAAGGGCGCGTAAGCACAAAACCGAACTTGCTTACTAAGTCTTTGCGACCGAATATTGTTGTTATTTTTTTAGAAATTTGTCTTCAATACGAATTTGAAGATACAAACAATTGTTTTACTGAAGTGATGTGACCATATTTTCAAATTAACAAAAAAAAAACTAACGAACATCAGCCATGTATAAAAATACAATTTTTATTTTGCTCGCTAGTCAAATTTTATAAAAAAAATCTCTTATATCCTTATCACTTATCACTTCCCCCTGCTTTAATATTGTAACAAATATTACATTAAAATCACCGTGGAGTGATCACCAGAAAGAACTGTATGGGGGAGGTCATTAATAAAGCCACGAGGACTTGCCCCCCCCCCCCCAGATTATATTTTAGCCTAAAAAATATTCGAAAGGTGCTTTATAACAAGTTAAATAAGCTTGTATAAAAAAAAAACGTTTGTCTGTACGACCCGAGCGGTATTTTAAAATTTGTATTTTTTTTCATGCTAAATGGCTACAATTGGTCAAGTAAGTACTTTGTTGTAAAGAGGGTCATCGACTTTTTACGTTTTTTTAAAAATTATTCTAGGAAGTAATTACTTCATTTTATTGTATCAAGAACCTAAAATCAAAATTTAAATATTATTTATAGGTATAACATAATATAATTTTTAATGGCAGAAAAAAGAAACATTGAAACACTTAAATATTAGATTGATTTTTTTATTAAAAAATAGACATATACATGTCAAATGGCAATACGTTTAATCTTAACCCATTTTTAGCTTCGGCGCGGAGCTGAGAAGGTATTGTTTTTACAATAATGAGTTTTTAATTTTAATTTTTGTGTATGATCAGAAATCATAGTTGGTAAGGAACTTTATTGGCAGGCCAAATATAAAAAAAAGTCCTCCCTTCCCCATCAAAATCGAGAAAATCACCCAAAAAATGTACAAGTTTTTCAACTTAAAGTTACGATGCTCCATAACTTTTTCAAAAATAATCGAAAAAGTTCCAAATTTATATGAATTATTCTTCAAACATAGTACTATCGATAAACATTAACAAACCAAAAAAATATCATAAACTCTTTTCCCTGGAAGGGATAGAATGATTTTCTTTATTTCATACTTTCAAGCAAAGTTTTAGAGATCTAGATCTGAAAATTACACCGAAGGTAGATCTAAAATGGAACAGCTATAACAATATATACAATTTTCTCAAAACTCTGTAGTCAATTTTTTTTTTCATTATTAAGGAAAAACACCAAAAATAGGGTAAATTTACACTTTGGCCGTAGTCAGTTTCTAGGTTGCTATGTGTGAGTGAATCAACAGTCAACAGGTAATGAAAATATTTTCATTATATTGTTAATTACGGTAAATGGGTAGCTGTGACAGTAGATTTTTATAGACAGACGATCAACCCTTATCGTATCCACCCTGCACACCTGATTAAATATTAAATTTTAAGTACATTACTGCTGGTCCCACGATATCTTCTAAACAGCTATAACTGTTTTGAACACACCACCGCGTCGAAGCGTTTATGTAAAAGTGATTTTATCACTTTCGGTTGTAATAAAATCTGTTGACCTGTGACCTCTCCGTCCCCACTGTGCCCCGACCCCACTGTACTGGCTTTTTTTTTTTACAAAATATAGTCCTTACTACTCGGTTGGATTTATTTCATCTTCATCGACAATAACCAACGAGTTTCATAACGTTAAGCAGTGCTGTGGTAAGTTCGGTAATATTCTGTCAAAAAATAAGTTTTCAGTTGATGTTGTGTAAAGTTCAAAAGCGCTCGAGTTTGTTTAAGCGTAAAACGAAAAACGAAAAAAAAAAAAAAACGCTTACACATTGTGTCCGATACGGATCATTGCGATTCCAAATGGCCAAAGACAAAGTAAACATCACTCTCTTTCTTGCGCAGTGCGGTCGAAAAAATAAACTTGGTAAAAATGGTTTAATTGGTGTTTTTGGACTTGTTGTAATATTCGCCGAAATGTCGCCAAATCGCGTGGAAAACATTTCATTTAGTTCCTAGCAACTATTATTGTTGGCTTGGTCAAATTACATTTACAGAATTCAAATACAAAAATTAAATTATAGCAGCTGCCTCGGTGTTTGCTGTGACCAGTGTATGCATGTTAATACTAATTTATTAATTGTACATATTTTTCTCGTTCCGCTTGAGGCTGTAATATGTCCAACTCTTTTTTTAAACTTTTTTTTTATTAAGAAAAAAACCCCCCAAAAAAAAGGGGTGGAATTACACCATTCTAAGACAATAAATTCTCGCCCTAATCGTACAACTATCCTTCCTAATACTCGACATATTGTAATTTTAAGCACATCTTATAGCTTTTACGATGCTTTTGTGGATTTTTGTATTTCCGCCGTCAACGGATTGGCATCGAAGGGTTTATTTGAAAAGCGATTTTCTCATTTTCGGTTATAATAATTTCAGAAAACTCGTGACCCCTGTACCGACTATGAACCGACCCAAATTTTATTGGCTTATCTTTTTATTGGAGTGAAACCGTTGGGGTAACCGGTAATGGGAAGTAAACGGGCAAACGTGTTACACGAACACGGTGACGCTCGTTGTCGGGGATTTCCCCGTTTAGAGGGGAAAAATACAAGTAGGTATAAAAAACGGTCGGAGAGGAAAAATAAAGTAATTAACGGTATAAGATTATAATATATATATATTATCTGAAAACACGATTTTCGGCGCGGTACCTTTGTTATCTGTTTACCTCTTATGGCAGTGATACACACTGTCATTATACTTTTTTTTATCCAAGTCGGATTCTTGTGATTAAAGGTAAGATGATATTATATGATATCTTCTTCTTCTCTTCTTGGGTTCATTGGGCCTTTAAGACCATCCCGTCTCGCAACCAAGCTTCCGTCCTTCTCTGTCCGACGCTAGATTTCTCCAACTGGAACCACCTCCCATCATCTGTTCGACATCCTTTTTTATGACATCTTCCCAGCGCATTCTTGGTCTTCCCGAAGGTCATTTACCTACAGGATTTTGGCGTTCCTAATGCAATTTATGCAGCCGAACACTACTAGTCAACTAAAGTGTTTATATCATAGACGGCTCCAGAAATCTTACTTAATCCCTACACACACACACACACATATAAACTTCATAACATTTTCCTACTTAGGGGGTATGGTGCGAGGTCACTGGTCACCTCAGTTGGCCCTCGACACCTGAGGTTAAGCTGGGGCTTTAAGCGGCGGCGGTCCATGCTACGACCCCACGTCTACCGACCAATCCCAATCCTACACCGAGCAAAAACAATAGGTAACGGGGGGGGGGGTGGCTGAGTTGCCAGAAATACTAAGTAAACTACAAAACCATTCGACGTACTGTGTCATTTATTAAAACAATAATTTGTCGTTATTCTCCTATACAATTACTGATTACCCATCCTTGACCAACTTTAGTTGCATATTAACAACTGTAACGTTTCTGGTCAAACTTGGTTTTTTTCCATTACTTGGCCGTTAAACCAAGTTTCGCGCAAGCAGTTCGGAATCTGGTCACGAGCCGGATCATATTGTACCTAGGCGCGGTGATGGGAATCAATTAATTCTTTATTGCGGTCTGCGTCAATGCCTGACGATTGGCGATCCAATAATTATTACTTTGATGTATACGAGTCGGCCGGCGGCGGCGGCGGCAGTAGGGGCATCGGTCAAAATGAGTTCTCATTGTAACGCAATGGGAAATCCAACGGGCACGGTCAGGTCTCTGGGGACGCGGCGTTGCCGGCTCAGTTTTCCCGCCGGTATACGCTCCGCGTGCCGGCAACCCTCCCCTGCCGTCCGTGCACGCGGTCCTACACTCTGTTGACGGCGAGGCGAGTAAACCCCGTGCAAAGGGTGGTGGCGCGGGCCATGGCGCGGCGGTGGCAACAAACTTTTCCGTCCAGAGTCGTACGGCTGTTCCCGTCGTGCCGGTCTCTGGGGGTACGCGCCGGGAGAGCGGCATCTCTCTCTCGTATAACTGCGGGGACCAGCTGTCTCTCGAGCGTCTCGGTCCCCCTGGGATTTATACATATATATATATACAGTGTAAATATATATATATATAGCGGCGTTACAGGGCGCAGAGAGAAACCCGGTCAGGTGGAGCATTCGTCTTATTGGGCAACCTTCGAGCGAAAACCCTGGCACGTGTGTGACAGACGGAAATAATGCAAGATTAAACTTTCTGCGCAGGCGCACTGTCGCCGTCCGGTAAACCATTATCTCGAACATCATACTCACTGGCGGATGTCAGGGGGGTGGGAGGGGGGGCTTGGGATAGTAAAAACCTTACAATTCAAAATTAGCGCTTTTTTATTTTTCGGCGAGAGATTTGTTGAAATAAAAATAAACGTACAACTGATTTTAATTCTAAAGTTTTTTTTTAAGGTTTTTGTCTATTGAACACGATAAAAGTGTTCATAATCACGTTTGGGGGGGGGGGGGGATTCTCGCCATTAAAAATAACTTAGGCTTAAGCTCAGAAATAAATTCTGTTATGCTCGATTTTGAAGGGAAAGGGGTCAACTTTTTCAACTTTTTTTGTCTTAAGAAGTAAATTTCGTGTACGATTTCTGTACGATAGACTTGCTGTATGAAAAATCTGGCCATTAGTTTTATCGCGAGACAAAAATATTACAAAAAATCAAATACATCATTCTTAAACCAATCTAAGTTAATGAAAGTCATTAGCTTAGTTTAGTTTCGATGAGATACTCTCAGAGATCGCTTTCTCCCCTTGGGGGTTGGAATTATTTATTTTCTTTACTTAATTGTTCCTGTTTTTGGGCACAGCATATTAAGACTTAAGATCTTGTACGTACCAAAAAATATACAAAAATTCAACACAAAATATACAGGTCGCGGCATTGTGTTGAATAATGTTTTTGTTTCTTTTCAATAAAAAAATATATCTTCAGTCCAATTTACACGCCAGAATTCCCCAAAAAACTTTCGATAATTGTATTTTGCTTTGCAGTGGCCTTTTCCCCTTAGCCATACTTCTCAGACCTTAGTACTTACTATTCATGTCCGATTAACATAAATAATTGTACAATGAAATGTTGTACATGCTCAATTTATACTCTGTTTATGTCAACGTCTACTGGATTGTTTTTGTTACTGACCATCACTTTGGTTTTCTTTTGATTTAGATTCATTCAATATTTTGTTTCGATTTCTTCTATTTTTCATAGTAAACACTGTATAGGTAATTTTTGTTTTCAGCTCCAAAAACAACATTTTTATTATCAATCGTAATGTGCTCGTACTTAGCTAACAATATACATATATTAAGAAGTTTTGAAGGGTGTACGTTTGATGTTTGCACGAAACTGTATATGAATGAGACATCCTTCGACATCCTTTTCCGTGTTTCGCATTACGAACGCTTTTTCGGAAGCCATAGATTCGTTTTTAATTTGTCTTGTTTGTTTTTCCAGTAACATTTTTTAAACTACAGGATACACTCGTACCTTTCCTGCTGCCGGAGTGTAATATAGGCCAAAGCGTATGGAAATTGGTTGAAAAAAACTAAGTGACACAATTGTGCACTACAGGCGTGTGACAATTGAAGTATAATATTACACTTGTGTTAAGTTCAATATAATATAGTGTCGTGACCTCCTTTCCATTTTGGTACTAACAAATACCGGCGATGCAATTTTTTTTCAACGACATCCGGTTAATTATGGTTTAAAGCACTGTTTTTTTTTTTCTCGGTTTAATTTTATCCGATTCTTTGTATTATATCACCCCTCTCCTACCGCGGTACTACCGAAAACTCGTGTGTCCACGCGTTGTTAATAGAGGTTGAATAGGATAGGGTAGAAAATTGCAATCACACCTACCGTACATACTTTTTCCTATACTTACAAAAAAAGTGGTATTAAATGTTCCATTGACGGACATCTTAAAAGGGCATGCACTCACCATGTTTACTGTAGTTCAGTGCACTCGAATAAAAACTCTTTAATTGTTTCTAGATGGACAGTAGTCAATTGCCATGTAGTTATAGTGATAATTTTGATATCTTAAAATTAAAAAAACCAGTACAGTGGGGTCGGTGCTTAGTGGGGACGGAGCATAGTTGGGACGGGGAGGTCACAGGTTTACGGGAATTTTTAAATCTGAAAGTGATACAATCACTTTCGAAAAAACGCTTCGATGCAAATCGGTAGTTAGTATTTTCAAGCCAGTACAGTCCGAACCAAGCACAGTATAAACCAGCAAAGTTAGAAAGTTTTAAATGAAGGTTCTGTATTTACAAATGAGCATCAAAGCGTTAATTTGAAAGTGATTATATCCGAGAGGACTAGTACAGTAGAGTATTGGCATAATGTAATCAAAGCAATGAGGAAACGGAGAGGTCACAGGTCTACAAGAATTATTATAAATAAAAGTGACAAAATTGAATAAAATCGCTAATAAATAAGGGGAGGGACCGAAATTTAGACAAACCCATGACCACTTACTACAACGGTGTATATTTTTGTTGTTTTTCAGATGGAAATCCCGACGCGGACGAAATGATTGCCGACGAGGACCTCGCCGCACCGACGTTATCTTCTTCGGGTAAACAAAACAGTTTCCGTTTTACACGTCATATTATTATTATGCACACACACACACAGTGCACGTGTGTGTGTGTGTGTCGATAGATGTTGGGAAAACTCGCCGGAAATCATAACCGAATCGATTTGCCGGTGCACACTTTTGTTTCTGCTGTGTGTGTGTGTGTGTGATAAAATCCCGGGGTTTTCGATTCGTTCTCCCGCAGGTGCCAGTGGGATTTTCGCGATTCCCGCGGGACGGCCGTAACGAAGAAACGAGGTGCAAGAAACCCTTTTTGCAATTTCCAACCACCTCACCCCCCCAGCCACACACACACACACACACCCCGTCCGCGCCGCAAAGGTAACCGGCGACAACGCGGCTGCTGTTCGACTAAATTGGCCGCTTTTCATACGGCATTTCAGCGGGGTCCGTACGGTTTTCATTACGCCAGTGGGAACAGTTGTATTCTTTTTCGGTGCGCGCTGTGTAAACTCTCCCTATTCCCCTCTCCGCCCCTCTCGTTTGTTGGTTTGCATCCGTAGTAGTAGTAGTGGCATGTCGGTTTTAAGTTGCACATGTACACACTGAGTTTTGAACGTACCGAGACGAGAGTAGAGTCGAAAACAAAAACCTTGTAAAAAAAAAAACCCCCATTTGTTTTGGAGTGATTACCAAACATTTGACGGGAGCGAACCGAAAATAGAAAACCCGTTCGGTTTTTTTTTTGTGTTAAATCTGAAGATAGAGATACAACAGAGTTATTACTATACTGCATAATAATACACCGTTGCAGAAGAAAAAAAAATTTTTAATGACCGATCACGAGCCTTGTGATGTTCAAGGAATCGCCAAACGTATGGTTATTCATTTAAATTTTAACAAATGTCCCACGCAACCCGGCATATTATGCTTTTTGAACAGATTTGTTATTGGTACAAGTGTGTCTTCTTGGTAGTGACAGCGTAACTGGCTTGTATGTCTAACAAATTGCAAAATTAGATTCGATAACAGAGTGATTCGTTTAGGGTTAACCACTAAGTTTGTTTTTGAAATAATTACAATTTCGTAGTTTCTCTTTTTCAGAACTTTTTTGTTTATGTTATTTTACAACACTACAAATTACTAGGTATTTACCGTTTTTAGTATTTTCCAAAGCTCTGTCACCTGTTGAAACCAAAATGGGGACGTACCTATGTATTTAATGAACTTTTTAAGTGTTAAAAGTTGATCTTAAAATTGAACTGAAGTTTTTCTTAAAAAAATACAAATTTGAATATTGTAAAATACTTGTAACATAAACCAGCGTGTCTCTAAAAAAGAAAAGTATTAAAAAAATCAGTACTATGAATACTAAGCAGTAAGTAAATACTTAGTATAAAGGCTAAGGACATTAACATGATTGAGTTGAAAGTTTTAACATAATATATTTATTTTTTTAAGATTTATTGTACTACTACATTTTTATTAAAAATACAAAAACGCTGATAATAAATAAACGGCTTTGTAAGTATAACGAAATGTTGTAACCTATAAATCATAGATTATTAATCATAACCGATTAAAAGACTAAAAGGTAATCATATTTTTTTAACAAAGTATTTTAAGCCCTTCGGTGTATATAAGTGCATTTTTTTCATTTAGATATTAATAGTATACACGATAAATTTCAATTTATGTTTTGACCAAATATATTAGGATTTTTTTTTTAAGATAACGGTTGAAGCATAAAATTAAATAACGTTTTAAACACCGATTTTTTCTAAAATTTTAATAATATGAAATCGCTTTAAAAAAAAAAAAAACACTTCTATAATTGCGTGATCGATATTTTAGTACCTGAGCGAATTTTCCAAGCAATAAAAGACCACGATTGTACTTTCACCCAAAATTGGCAACGTTATCTTTTAACGTAGCAGCTAAAATATACATTTATTACCTTAGACGAATGAATAATTATTGGGCGCGTTATGTGGCATGCGTCTAAAAAGGACAATTTTACTTTTTCTCGCTTGTAAAAAATAAATCAAAAAATCTTCTGTGACCTGACCAAACTCAATAACACACGTTAGGGCCTCGGCGAGTATCGTTTTCGCCAAAAAGCGGGGATTGATCCTTTTAGGTCCGGGCCGCAGACAGACGGCCGTGTCGGCTGTGGGCGGGGGGGGGAGGAGGTGGGCGGGGGGGGGTGGTGTATTTTAAACAGATAGCGAGGACGAACGGAAGGCACGTGCACGGGCAGCCCCGTTTCAATTACAGCGCCAACAGATAAGGAGAAAACAGGGCGGCGGCGGCGGCGGGGCGTCTGGCCGGGAACTTACATACCTGCGTACCTTTTATGTGCGGCAGGGGGTTATGGTCCTCTTGGGGGTTTGCCGACTAATCAGAGTTTTTCTTGCACGCGTTTTCTCTTTTTCTCCGGTACACCCTTTCAGCGGCAAACGAGTCAATATTAGGTATGCGAACGATGGTATCCCCCCGGGGTGCTCCACCGTGTGCCCGCTTTCAGCGCCTGATTAATTGCATATATCCCACCGCCGCACCGTCGACGCGACGTTATACCGTTCGACTCACTCGGCCTGGAACTCTGAATTTTTGCGACTAAAACGCTTATGTTTTGACTTGCTATGTTTTGTTAACTTGTTAAAAACAATAACAGTCAACTAAAAATATTGACTGGCCGAACACCAGCTTCGAATAATTATTAAAATAGAGATTTAAAACTTTAACAACATCAAATGTAGTTATTTATCAAACTCGCTACATGATCTGTCAAAATGTTCAGCAAATTATTCTTATTATAAAAAATGAATTTAAACGTTACCATTTATAATTTTCAAAATTGATCTGCGCTCTGGAAATTACATACATATAATTCATAATGTTTTTAAAAAGAAAAAATTCCATTTCTTACGTAAAACGGATCATCTTAATAATAATAAAATAAATAAATAGGCTTCTTTCTCGAAAATATACTTAACAACATATTTTTGAAATTTTATTTATAATAATAGTGTGTATATTATCGTTTACCATAAGTCTAACAATTTACAGAAAGTACAAAAAACTACTCCCCGAAAATTGTTGTGTTACGTATCATTGTTTTGTTAGGGATTGAATTGTAATCGAATAGTCAACGATTTACAAAAAATATTCCAGCTTGGGTAACTACCGGAATTTGCTTGTTAAAGTTACATCAGATCTTTGGAGCGAGTTAGTCATTTTATAGTCATTGGATAATTTATTTGAGAGTTGTAAAATACTATTTCTATAACCACAACATAATTTGTGTTCAGTTTAGTGTACTAAAAGTTTTCTCAAAGTATTTTGACTGCACACAAATATTTAACCGTTAAGACTGCTGAAACGATTTTGATTAAAATATAGCATGTATTGCATTTTGTTTTTGCGATCTGCCTCGTGTAGCTTATAAATCCACTTTTATTCATCATTCTGATTAAATTGCCTTAATCGGTAACTGCGTTATTTTTTCCTTCTTACCCAATGCGATCACTCCAATATCTATTTTATGAACAATAATTGTGTAATATGTTGTTCTACTCTGAGGCAGCGTTGACTGTTCTTCATTGGCGGCTAATGTTAAATCTATAAAACATAGTTGGCCGTAACTGATTGCTGTGTTCCATAAGCGATAAACATTTTTTAATCTCGTTTATATTAAACAATAATCAGTAATTACAAATTAAGACTACACGTTTTGTTATCATAATCAATCGAATCGTAACCATGGTAATAGTATGATGTTAACCTACATTTTATTTAACCGAGTTTAACCTCCGTTTGCTTGCGTCGATTAAGACAAACAAATTATGTCGAATACAAAACGTCAACGTTGAACTGGGATTTTTTTTTGAACTGTATCGTGTGATACGGGTATGCTGTCTACATATACTACAAACCGCAATTGGGTTTTAGCAATTCGGTATTATGTGCAAAACAACACTGCGTGTTGTGCGTGACGAGTTGCTGGTAAATGTAAATCCGACCTAACCGTATGAGCTGTACGGTTAGGTATTGGATCGCTGCAATTCGTCGGTCGGCAGAAGCCATTTGGGCTTTACAAACATTATTATTACTATTTTCGGAATGTCTCGCGTTATAACGTTACAACGCACGTGTGCCGATTTCAATTGTTATGTTCGAATTACAATTCAACCGCACACGCGCCCAGCATTACGACGTATAGGTACGTGTGCCGGCCGTTCGGTGTACCGGCCGGTTTGGTGGTAATCCCGGGTTAGGTTCGGGACACTGAAAAACCGACTCGCAGCTGTTGGCGGAGATCATCCGGTATATTATTTTACGCACACTCTTCCTCGTGTCTGCCGGAGTCTGAAAAAAGCTTCGCCGGCGGATTTCCTCTCCACCCGTCCCCCCCCCCCCACCTGTGACGTCGGTCTGGGCATACGCGGCGGCAAGAACGCGGGCACGGGGGGCGGGGGGGGAACTCGAGGGGTTTTGCGTTCGGCCGGCGTGCGAATTCGGAGGTTGGAAAGCGCTCTCGCGTGGGCGGGAGGGCGGGGTAGATAAGCCGAGAGGCCGCCGGCCACCTGGGATTGCCGGCAACTCCATCAGAGTGGCTTAGCGAGGCGCAGCAATTTCCCCAGAGTAACGCTCGCGCTCTGCTTCTCCTCGCCAACCGTCGTCCCCTGCCTCGGCGTCCGCCGCCGCACCTCCGCCGTCAGTTTGTGCCGCGCAAAACCACCGGCAGAATTGATGAGTTCTTCTCCGTCCGCCGCCCGCCACCGTCAGCGGCCTGTGTATATTCTACACACACACACGCACACGCGGCCTACGGTCGTAGATTTTGCACGGGGTTCACGTTTTAAATACCACCCGGTCCGAAAAAGAGGTCTTCGCGCGCGCAGTACTTAAACGGACCGCGAAAACCGCGTTTGGACTGCACGGATGTGTTGCCTACCTGCGCCCCTGCGGAAAGCGTTTCGTCGAAAGTAAAAGAAAAAACGCCGAGCCGACCCGCCGATCGGAGAGCGGTAGGAGAGTACAAAAATGTATGTATAATAATAATAATATTATTATTATTATTATTATTATTCGACGATCATATATAGACCGCAACGGCGACGAACGGCCTCCGGGGTGCCGTTCCCGCAGAGGTAACCTTCGGAAAACGCTACCGCGCTGACATATTAGTCTACAGGGGATACCGTGGTATATACACACACGGAGCTAGGTATATAGTATGCGTGTAATGCAGTGCGTTTGTGTGCGTGGGGGGCGCACATCATACTGTCGCCTCCCAGCGGTACCCCTTCCCTCCCCTCCGCCTCGACGGCTCGGCGCCAGCGTGTGATATATATATATATAAATACTTCTACCCACTCGTCGCTCTACCACCCCACCCACACTCCCCTAACCTCCCCCTAACCTCCCCGTCGGCGTTATATTGTTGTTATCTCGCGTGCACATGGCTTTTGTTTACCGGCAGAACGCCCGAAGGCGTCGAACGTCTCCGGGGACGCCGGCAAGTTTGCATTTTAAAACTACTCCCGGGAGCACTTCTTTCCCCTGTAACCACCCGTCCGCTAACCGCCGGCTCTCATACTCGGTCGGGGGGGGGGGTGTGGGGTGGGTTTATGTACGGGTACACCTTCACAAGTGTATACCTTGTGCTAGAAATGTAATTTATCTATACCGTAAAATATCGCCGGCGTGTATTAGGTTTGCCGGAAGTTTTATGGCGGACCATAAGACGTGTAGCGCGAGCGAGTGATGACGCGACAAGTATTGGCCGAGTCCTGTATTGTATAAAGTATATTGTATAGTACCTATCCCTACGTGTACACCGTGCCGGCGGGTGTATCGAGATGTCAAAACCGAAACGGTCAGCCGTTGAAATATGTGCTGAAGTTGTTGTTTTCGAAATCAACAAACGTCAACGAATCGAATAAACTCCCATACTCGGGATGGTTAACTCTATTGCTTGTGATGGTATCGCTGTGGAAGAAGCGACGCCATCTGCCAAATTCTGCCAAAGAAACGCAGCAGACGTTGTCGATTGTTCAATTTTTACTTACAATAATTCTCTTGCAACTGCAAGTTTAAATGAGTACAACAAAAAAGGAACTTTATAACTGTGGTTAACACAGGACTTGTATCTATTGTAGATCTTCAAATAGAAACCCAAAGGATAGAGCAGATTCAGCACTAAAAAATTAGGGCCTTTTCCTTCCTTTTACGCCCGATGCTTTCCTACTCCCAGCGACCTTTGATATTCGTGCACCCCGTCTATACTCACCTTTGCCTAGAACGTTCTCTGGGGCTCTTTGTGTTCGGCCTACATCTTGTTACCTTCCAATTAGACCTTTTTAACTCTACACGTGTCCGGTCCATCCTGTACTACTGCTTTTTAAGGTTCCGACTATACTTGCTTCTCCGCATAGGTCTTCTAATTCTAAATTAGTCCTTTTTTTCGTACTCTCCTTAACTGATCCTTTACGGTCCGTACATTCTCCCCAAGGACTTCGTTGAAAACACTTCCAGATTTTTATAAAGTATACAAATTAGTAGACTTACCATGGGGATAAATAATATGAGTAACAGCTACTCTCTCTGGTCGATAAAAGAAAAAACTTTAAAAAAGTATACTAACTTCATACTACACATGTTTGTATATTATTTTGCATAACCTTTCTGAGTATTAGTTTTAAAATAACGGTTTTGGCAAGTTCTGTGGTACAATTTCTTAATACAACTGTCAACTTTGTCTCTAACGTTCATGAGTATATCTAATTGGTGCTTTTTGACGGTGGTTGAAGATTGTTAAGGCACGCTCTTTCTCGAAATCAGCTAATACTCGGAAATACGCCGAACGAGAAGTGCAACATTTACTATTTGGTTTTTTAAATTAAGTAAGTCGTTGTTTGTGAGAGTTAAAATTTAGTTGCCTTTTATTTAAACCTCTCATACAGTTTAATGCTATATCAGTATTTTTTTTAAAACTGGTTATCGACCGGATATTGATTTATTTGTTTACACAAGTTAATTTTACATTAGAACAAATTATTTATGTAGTGTTTTATGAAATAAAGACTATATTCGAAACTTTTTTCGCTATAATTATTTCATTTCAAACAAATTATGTTGCTTTATGCCATTTTGTCCTGTTTACTAGACAATGTTTAGTATTTGTTCAATACTTCTCTGCGGTTATCGGTTACAACACAAATTCATATCACCTCTAGCGGTGTTTATTATGAGTAGGTTTAGCGTTGGTCTTTCGATCAACGCTAAAACCTACTGATAGGCTTAAAATTGTGGGTATAGTTATTCCGAGAACGATTTAAGCCGGTAATGCTTTGTTTTAGCGAACACTGAGTACAACGATAATTGGATATTATACGTTTGTGCAGGATAAAATGTACGTATTTGGTTATCTCTTGACTCTTGGTCGTGGAAAGTCTGTCTTGTTTGATGAGCCGGCAAATTCGATGGTGAATTAATTCGGATTTTCCGAAATGATTTTGTGAGATATCTTGCGTCGTTACTCGGCGATGGAGAAAACTTAGTACAATAAGTTTGTCTAGTCAGTAAGTTCGAATTCGAATGTAAACGCAGATCACGTTATGTGAGAAAAGTGTACCGTTTGGTATGCAATTACCGGATTCCTGGCTGAGTGGCCTTTTCAAAACTCGTCGGTACAGTATTTTTTAACTCTTTTTTTTTTTTTTTTATAAAATTATATGTGTGCCGTTATGCGTTTACATGCGACATTAAACGTTCTTTGCTGACCCCGACGGTCAGTGCGCGGTTATGTGTAATATTTGTTTGGATTATGTGCGATGGGGTTATATCCTCTCCGGGATATCAACGCACCACCGACCTTACCGAGGATATTGTCCAGGGACTAATAGTGGCCGCGGCCGGATGGGTTAGATCGCTGGCGAGAGGGGAGAGAGTAAGTATATACTAATAACCGGGTTCGAACAGCCGTTTAATTGATAAGTCCAACGGGAATGCTGACAATTTATAACTTGTGTACAACGAATACGGTATTATACCCAAAGACTTATATAATAGCGGTAGTAATAACGCGATTTTGCGTTATATTATACAAGCAATAATTAACTGATAGCGTGTTTTGATCATCATCATATATAAACACATAGTCATTGTCGTTATTATACACACAATATTATGGTGGTTGCGATGCCTTTGGTCAACGATATTAGATTCGCTAATATGAGTATTATTAATTTTGCTTATGAATGTCAGTTATTTAGCAAAACGTTAGCTGAGTATATTAACGTATTAATATCACACTGTGCGATTTTTTTTCGGGGGGGGGGGGGGGGAACAAGAACCAAAACACGTATGTTTTTTAAAAATTTTATTTGAATATAAATCTGGTCTTGGAATGTCTCTAAATACGTTTAGTATTATTTTTAAAATAATCTATAAAGTTAGGGTTTTGTTTAAGAAGAATACAATATTTTATTGTAAAAAAAACCATAGATATTTGATCTGTTATCACTTATCTGTTATCTCTAATCTCTTATCTTTTATCACTTATATCTAATCTCTTATCTCTCGGTTTTTCAAATATTTTTAAACATTGTCACACGAAAATGGCGTCATAACATTTCTTGTATCCAGCCCAATAACATATCCATGTTAATGTTGTTACCAAAATATGTGTTGCCAAATGTATAGTTAAAGCCAAGGACAAGTCTAAGAATGAAAAAGGACTAGGAGAGGGCTAAAAAAAAAGTCATAAAATAGTCATAGAGTTGACGTTTACATAGCAATAAAAATACATATTCTAATAAAAAAATATTATAAAAAGTAAACATAAAAATACTCTTTTATTGCATACAATTAAATTACATAAGAGAGGGCTTCGGCCTCCATTACTTCCCTTGTATCCGCCTCTGGTTAAAGCTTAGCTGTGTATTACTTTTTTTTTTTTTTAATTAATGCCAACAACACCTTCGTATTGTCAGCTTCGCTCATAGTTGAAACCTTACTCGTCATTGATTTCATATAATTTATTATATTGTCTGCTCACTCTGCTACTGTTGCTCAACTATTAGAGTTTAGTGGACCATGCCCATCCTTATCACCTTCACGCCTTAATTCCATATTTTGACGTGATCACAACTACTTTACTTCAGTCACGTGCCCAATGATATCGTCTTAATGTAGGAGTATTTTTTTTTTTTATCTTATTATTATGCGCAAAATAGTCGGGTTACTTTTGCGGCGATTTATAAATTACCGTATGTTTTTTATTTTTAGGATCCGTGGGGTCGAAAAGCGACGAAGACGAAGGGGACGAAGACGAAGAGGAAGAAGAATGTATGGACGACGACGACGACGATGACGACGTATCAGTCAGCTCAACCGGCGAGTCGAACCGCAGTATTCTTTCAGGTGAATACAATATCATCCACTCGTTGAGTTGGTTTTTTTTTTTTTTCTAATGTAATGCCCACATAATTATCAAACATTATTGTTGGAATTGTATTTCCCGCGATTGTCTCGTTCGTGCGACGTCTTTGCGTAACTCTAATGGAAAGCTGTTATGGTTCTGACATTATATTATTTTACAATATTAATTATACGCAGGTATACCGTGTACCTGCGTACCTGTACGTTGTTTATTATGACGAAAAAAAAAAAATGAAAAAGAAAGCGCGTCTTAATGTTGGTGACCCTTCTGTGTATGATGTACATTACCTGCTATGTTATTGTGCTCGTGCGCCCCGTCAATATACTGTTGCTTGCTGCGGAACGTCAACTGGGAAATAATATTGTGGCATTGTTACCGCCGGTGTGTGTACTGGAAATAATTGCTACAGACGACCCGCATGATAACCGACTGTAATCACCTTTCCGGACTACCGCATATATCAAAACGCTTTATAATAATATATATACTGTACACAATAGTACACATACTCGGAGTAAAATAAAAAAATACAGTCCGGTCGGTCGCCCCGGTGCTTTTCGAGGTTCATAAACAGGTCCGTGGGGTCCTGCGTTTAACAACCCCACAACCCTGGAATTTTCGAGCTCTGCCCGCAAGAGCGAAAATCGCTAAAAACTTGCGTGCAAATAGAGCCCATAAAAGTACATGTACTACATGAACATCGATATCGCAGTGCACTACGCCATAGACATTGTATTGATTTTTAATAGAAAATAGTTTTAGCTAGAATAATTATTTTTCAAAGCACAATTAATGTCGAGTCAAGTTTGAGTAATATTTTGTAACTGACATTTACTTTTGGAATTTCATTGTTGAATTATTTGTCATCATGCAACGGATTCGATTGACAACATGTTGATTATCTTCGTAATTCGGTATCTAACTACAGAGTATAAACTAATTTTCAAATTAAATAAAAGAAAATAGATTTTAAAATTATTTTGTCGAGTAATGAAAACAATTTGCTGGTAACCACCGAGACGGAGTGTGCTTTTTTTAAGTTATGAATAAAATGATGTGTGCTTTTGTAGGCCACGTAAATTCAGGTGTTTAAATAAAACTGTGCTCCTCCGAAATTTTTAAATTTAGGTCTACCATAAGACAATTGGATGTTTAATTAGCGTTGTGGATTTGTAGTGCTCTTTTATACTTATTTGTTTAGCGTCAAAACAAGGTATTACTTTTATAATTAATTCATGGTAAAAAAAAAAAAAAAATGTTGGCTACATGGTTTTTTTTTTCCAAGTACCCGCTAACCTGGCAGGGAACTGTTTACACACTACTTCCTGCCAGACGTGGAGTTATAAAAATCCCGTTTTCCTCTTCGCGTGGCGGCTCGCAATTTTACTTAATCTAGTTACGATATGCACATTGTCTTGACTATTTACATTTGGCCACACGCCTACACATAAGTATAACATAATTTTACTCGGCCTCCATCGGGATACGTTTTGGAGAATAACAAAATAATTAAAAATCGAACGGTTCGCAGAGTACTCGCGTCGGCCGGGCGAAGGGGTTAAACAGTTTTGCGGAGATAATATAATTGAACCCTTGGTAAAAGTTGCCGGCGCCGTCTACACGGTCGGATTCTCTGGGGAACAGTAATATAAACCCGGGGCGGAGATCATGGGACATTCATTTTGTTTGATTGTTATTGCCGGTCGTGTAAAAGCCAGGAAAAAACCAACACAGAGTGCTCCTCCGTAAAAACAACAAAAATAACGCAAAGACTTATATGGGGGGGGGGGGGGGGGACGGAAAATAATCAATGTCCTTGCCGCAGTGGACAAAATTAACTCCGGGCCCGGTTTAGTATACACTCCTGTCAATTAGGCGTTTGACACACTGTCACGGGTCGACCCGTAGACAGTGTACACTGAAATTCACTTAACCCCGTATTGATACCACGCGTTGAACAGTAACAGTTTGCACCGGACTCGGCGGCGAGGCTAATTTAATTATTGCAATGCACCCGAATAACCATAATAATATTGGTAATAATATATTAATCCACGGTCCAAAACCGGATGGGCCATCCAGAAGTGCATCACGTGACGACAACAAGTCGGTGATTCAACAATATCGATAATTCAGCGTTACTGCAAATTACGGCAGAACTAATGCAGAACGCTGGTTATTTCTACTGATGGCCGCGCGGATAAAACTCAAAAATTTTGGATACATTCACATATTTTCTAGACTTGAAAAAAAAATTCGCCATGTTTTTTTGGGTTTAGTTTTCTTTTGCCAACTCTGTGGCAACGATAATCAAGATTTAAGCCACGTTCACCGGTATTCGTACATTTCGAATACCCGAAGTACACAACTTTTTAACCTAGGACTTGGAAAAAAAAAATAGCAAAAACATCTCATCTTTAAATTTTAAAATTCTTTCGCAATTTATGTGCAGTTTAATACATAATTATAATATTTACTATTTTGTGTATTTATTTAAAGATTTAATTTTGCACTAAGTGTAGTTTAACCACTACAAGTCATCAATGATTATTTTAAAAAAAACCAGTACAGTGGGGTCGGGGCATAGTTGGGTCGGGGCATATTGGGGACGGGGAGGCCACAGGTTTACAGGAATTTTTAAATCTGAAAGTGATAAAATCACTTTCGAAAAAACGCTTCGATGCAAATCGGTAGTTAGTATTTTCAAGCCAGTACAGTCCAAACCAAGCACAGTATAAACCAGCAAAGTTAGAAAGTTTTAAATGAAGGTTCTGTATTTACAAATGAGCATCAAAGCGTTTATTTGAAAGCGATTTTATCCGAAAGGACTAGTACAGTAGAGTATTGGCATAATGTAATCAAAGCAATGAGGAAACGGAGAGGTCACAGGTCTACAAGAATTATTATAAATAAAAGTGATAAAATTGAATAAAATCGCTTTCAAATAAACGCTTTGATGCTCATTTGTAAATACAGAACCTTCATTTAAAACTTTCTAACTTTGCTGGTTTATACTGTGCTTGGTTTGGACTGTACTGGCTTGAAAATACTAACTACCGATTTGCATCGAAGCGTTTTTTCGAAAGTGATTTTATCACTTTCAGATTTAAAAATTCCTGTAAACCTGTGGCCTCCCCGTCCCCAATATGCCCCGACCCAACTATGCCCCGACCCCACTGTACTGGTTTTTTTTTTTTTTGCAAAAACTTAGTGGACCAAATAACACATATACAATGTCTTGTTATATTTTGTTGGAATGGTCGACGATTCATGTTTCAATCGTTTGTACTCCATAGTTTAAATTATAATCGCTTATTCTCAATAAAATTAATATTTATGTATTATATACTTCCATTAAAGCAATCTCACACAAACTATTTATACTTCACAGATTATATTATTTCAAAGCTATATTATACTTTTATTTTACTAGATTGACAATGTACAAAATAAAATGCAACTAAAAAAACCTTTTCATAGATCCTTAAAATGTAAAGGGTGGGATAGTGAAACGGGTTTTACCATTTAAATACATTAGAAAATCGCCGTTTTACTGCCTCATCCTCTATAACAATTTCTTGTTATTTTCTAAAGAAAAATCGATTTTCTTACATTTAAATTAAAATAAATCGTATACTGGTACTGTGATGGAGAAAACAATACATTTTACCTACATATATTACTTATTAGTTAAATATTACTAACGTGTATAGCCACTAGCGGTCGGCTGTTGCCTGTTATTTACAATAACCTTTTATGGAGATTTTAAAAATTTTGTTTTTTTAATAATAGCATAGGAGCAGTATCATGATGTTAAATGTTCACGAGATTTGATCTAGTCATAAAATAAAATATTATCATTTATGACTTAATTATAATTAAAATTTATCTTAATAGTAATAGTACATAGTAATAAAATAATGAAATATTTTATACAAAATTAGAGCTACAAGTTGATAAACTAAAAAATTAAAATTAGCACGAAGCAGATTATCTAATATTAGACAATTTAAACAATCAAGCGTGAATCACTTTAAATGAATAACAGTATAACAATATGCAAAACATTAGTGTTTTTTTAAAAAATTGTGTAATAAAAAATACATTTTGGGGCGGTATACTGCATAAAACCCAACACTTAATCTGAATTAAAAAACCAAAAGTCCTCTTCATAATTTGCAGGTAGTTGGACATCATATACTCATAGTTACACTTCGGTAAGGTTATATAACGCAGGCTATAAAATAACGAGATAACGACAGTGGTTTTGTCGTATCAGAATCATTAAGTGTCTTAATAAGTACACGGACAGGTTTTTTTCCCAATAAATCGAGTGTCTACTTTAATCAGTCACACGATTTAGTCGCCTGTGATATCATGTAATAAACACAATATTATGATACCGTTCATTGGGCCCTAACCTAATCTAACACGGATAGACGTTACCAACTGATAGTTTTTAGTGTCTGTTCGTTTCTCACATCTGGTACACTGGGTTTTTAGTTAAAAAAAAAAAAAAAAAAAATGAACTTTGTGTAAACTTAAGTCAAGAGTGGTACTTGAGCACAAAACCTAATAGTATCATTCTGCATAGATATAAATAAAATTGTTTTAATGATTTGATCAATTTTTTTTAAATATTTTAGGTGTTTTTGTTAAAATATACACAATGTGCGAAAACACGGTTTTCCGGCAATTAAAAAAAAACCGTAGTGCCGAATTTTTCACCCGCTTAACATGTTATGGATACATATGAGTTCCAACTACTGGCAAATTTTCAACCCAAAAGTTTTAAAATTACGGCTAAAAATCCCGAAAAACAAAAAAACTTGTACCCCCCCTAGGGGGGCGGGAAATGGGTATATTTTGAAATTGACAAAACTGACGTGCGCGGGCATACTAAATAAATATTTCTTATACATTTCAACTCGATCCGACTCTTTTTCTCGATACTATAGCCAGTAAAAGTTCTAACTTAAAA